CCGCCGCGCCTCCACCGCGTCCATGATATCCACGTCATCCCTCGCATCGCGTCCTCCCTCAACCCAGCCCCTCGATATCGACAACACCAACGCCTACAATACCGCAAAGGGCTACATCACCTCCAACAACACCAGCGGATCGGCCAATACCAGCAACCCCGGCAGCAGTCCCGGCGGGCTCAGCGGCGGCTTCCCGCACGGCGGCGTCATCATCAATGCGCCAGATAAGCGCGGGGATGGACGCGGCCAGCGGAGGAAGAGCAAGGCTCCCGACTTCAAGATGACGGTGCACAAGGCCGGCAAGGAGGGGCCCAAGGTCCAGGCTCGCGCGGTCAGAGGCGGCACGGTGCTGAAGTTTACCTAATCTAGAGTGCTGGGAATGGCAAGAGTTTGGTGGGGAGTAGTTAGCTGTGGCGAACAGAAAGGCTACTGCGTTACTTACTTGCTTACTTCCTTCCAGCCGAGTATGGCGCTTGAGAGTGACCTAGGTAGGCATGGGGCAACACCGGAGTGAGAGAGCGGATAAACTGCGCCTTGCTTGGGGTCCTGGCGCTGCCCGATTCTTGTGTCAGACAGGCATGGCATGACTAGCATGCATAGCATAGTAGAGCAGAGCAGAGCATAGTAGGTTGGCGTTTTATTGCATAGCGTTGTTATTACACAGAGAAATAGTAAATGCTCCATGATTTTTGCTTGCTTCACACCGGTTCTGAGTAGGTAGGTTGAAATCGATTTCTCATCATGTACGATTGATTGATTGATTGCGTGTGGAGGGGGGGAGGAGGAGGAGGACATCCAGACCAGGATTCCACGTACTAGTTAGAGCAGAGAGAGCGATGTTCCTGTCCTTGTAGCCGTGTGGTGCTGTAGTTGCAGGAGCTGCAGGCGTGACGGACGCCCCGGGCCAGAGGCTTTATTTCTCTCAGAAGGTTCTTCTTCTTCTTCTTCTTCTTCTTCTTCTTCTTCTTCTTCTTCTTCTTCTTCTTCTTCTTCTTCTTCTTCTTCTTCTTCTTCTTCTTCTTCTTCTTCTTCTTCTTCTTCTTCTTCTTCTTCTTCTTCTTCTTCTTCTTCTTCTTCTTCTTCTTCTTCTTCTTCTTCTTCTTCTTCTTCTTCTTCTTCTTCTTCTTCTTCTTCTTCTTCTTCTTCTTCTTCTTCTTCTTCTTCTTCTTCTTCTTCTTCTTCTTCTTCTTCTTCTTCTTCTTCTTCTTCTTCTTCTTCTTCTTCTTCTTCTTCTTCTTCTTCTTCTTCTTCTTCTTCTTCTTCTTCTTCTTCTTCTTCTTCTTCTTCTTCTTCTTCTTCTTCTTCTTCTTCTTCTTCTTCTTCTTCTTCTTCTTCTTCTTCTTCTTCTTCTTCTTCTTCTTCTTCTTCTTCTTCTTCTTCTTCTTCTTCTTCTTACTCTAGTCTACGCACAGCCACCCCCCGTTTCTTCCACACCCACTCCCTCCTCCTCCACTCCCTCCTCCACCTCCTGCTCCGCCCCTCTCCTCTTCTCCTCCTCCAGCTCCTGAATCCTCGCTTCCAACCGCTGGATGTACTCCGCTGCCCCCCTGAACACGATATGGTTCCCTGTTCCCCGCGGCCTTGAGCCCCTTCCACTCCCGGTCAGCTGGCGGCGCGCTCGGCGGGGCGCGTGATGTGGGTCTGGCGGCGGGCGCGGGCGGATTGGGTGGTTGCGGTTGTAGATGCGGATGCGGATGCGGTTGTGGTAGGGTGGGGATGGGGTGTGGTGTTTGACGTGGTGTTTGCAGTTGTGGATGTGGTTGTGGTAGGGTGGGGATGCGGTGTGGTATTTGACGTGGGGTTTGCAGTTGCTGTGATGGAGTTGGAGTTGGTTGGAGTGCTTGTTGTGAGCGTTGAGGTGGTATTGCGGTGGGTGGGGTTAGGGATGGCGTTCTGCGCCCTGAGGGAGTGGTTGGAGTTTGGAGGCGGCAGACCACTGGCCGTGATGTTGACGAAGGCGTTCTGTGTGACATCGTTAGGGAGGAGTTGGAAAAAGACGCTGAGGCTTGATGGTTCATGGATTGTTTCGTACTGACCTGGTTACTGGAGAACGGTAGAGGCGTATATGGAACTGTACCTTGCTCAGACTGGGATGGCAGGACGATTGGAGGCTGAATTTTAGCAACCATGTCGAGACTATCGATGAATTCTGAGTGCAATTGGCTCAAGGTTGGATATACAAAAGCACGGTTTCCAAAGTTGGACTCCATGATGCCGATTGATGATGAATTCCACAGGCTGGATGATGTATACCGGATGTGTGTGGTTTTTTCTTTCGCTCTCTTACCGGTGCAGTGGTGCTGAAGTCGAGTCCTGCGGTGAGTGATAATATACAGAAGACTTGATTTGGAGACCGCACAATGAATTTATTGCGCTGACCTCTGGGTGCGGTGTTCAGGGAACACACGACCCTCAAAAGCCGCATCATACCGCACGAATTCCATGTCCGACACTGCCTGTGTCAAACAATTCAACAAGTCCTGCACCAAGGCACTCTTCCAATACCCAGTCGAAATTCAGCCCATAGAGCTGCTTCCATTTCTTCGTCCTTCCAGCTAGGACGCCGGCATATTCGCCCCGGACCTTTTTGGCATTAGACACTTTGTTGTCAGAATCTACAGCACCATCCCATCGTTCCCGCAGGATATACAAAGGAGCTTCCTTGTATTTCGACTTCCCAAGCAAGTGGAGGAGATGTGCCCGCGCATCATTGATCAGACGGAGATACACACCTGTATTCGGAAGAGACAGTGTGAGCTCCGAACCTGATCCGGTTGCGACTAGATCACAGCTGTCGGACCTTGCACTTCCAATACCTCCCAAGCTTTCAAAAGCAGCCTCACCACCAGCTGCCTCTACGGAACCAGATGCCTGTCGAGCAATAGTTGCAGGTGCAAGACGGTTTCCAGCAGTTGTGGCCACACTGGACTTTCTAGATATGCCAGACGAAACGAGAAAGCCGGCATTTCTTAATGCTGTAATCTCACCCGCAGACAAGGATTTGACAGATATCGTTGAAGAACGGGGTTGTTGATGAAGAAGCTCAATGAGTTTACCTAGAATATGTCAAGGTTCGAAACCCACAGAGGAGCATTACCCACCTAAAGTGGATGGTTCCAACCGACTATCACGTATCTTTGCTTCCAGATCCTCGGTGTGAACGAGAAATTCACCAAGGCCAGACACTTCATTACCTCGGCCAGATACAGAAAGTTTGCGAATGTTGCCTGCTGCAATCAAATTGGCAACCTCTCGCTCTGTTCGGGTTGAAGCTGCGAGCAGGGCATGGACATGTGCAAGTGATACTATCAAGGGCAAACTCCTGCGGAAGTTGAGGACCTCGGCAATGCGAGTGCTGTTCATTCCAGCACGTTCCGGGACATCACTGAACATACTTCCATGACTATGTTTGATGGCTTGAAGGACGTTGCTGACAGGAGACATGCCAGCAAGTGAGATGACTTGGCCCGTATCGCCGAGCTTCTCACTTTCGTCATCGCCTGCTATATGAATTTCATTCCCCACAGACTTTCTCCGCTGAACAGGTTTCCTCCTTGGAAGGGTGGAAAATGGAGAAGAAGACGACCTCTTCACTGATGGTGTCGTGGAACCAGGCTTACGAATGCGCGAGGAGTGAGCAGCATTCAGGTAGAGCGGCATGCTTGAATCGATGTCTCTGGAGTACTGGAGTACGGAAGTACAGAGTAGTCCCTACTGATAGGCTTGAGCTTGGGTTTGTACGCGTTTTCTGGTTAGTAACACTCCATAATCCCCTCTTCCTGTTGACACTACTAGTAGTGAGTTGAATGGTGGCAACTGTAATAATAATTATCCGGGCCTTACTTTGCTCTAACTGGGTTTAGATATATTGCCGAGCATAGCGCGCGCTTCTGGGGGAAGCCGCAGTCACGGCGGTTTTGATACACCCAGCCTCGAGCCTCGGCCTTTGTTTCAGATTCTCATACTCCATAACCATTCTCCATCCCTTCCGAGTGCTTACATGAGTGATGCTTATCACCAAGGTATGAAAGCACAGTATCGCTCAGCAGAAGGTTGCAAATCAACACGCGATATGTACAAGGAGAACACATTACTGTTATGGACGGAACAGCATACAAAGTAGAGTTATTCTCAACCTACCACCAGCTCAAACCGCACAATGTGCTGTAAAGATCGAGCTCTCAGCATCACATCTCAGAAGGAAGTTCCTAGCCAGCAGTGGACGGGGAAAATCGACTCACTACAGCACTTACTGATTGACCTGCAGCTTGCATCATAATTCTATTGGAGGGAGGAATCATCAATTGTTGGACCAACAGACCGCGGCCCTCGGAGGACCTATTAAATAGCTTATATCCGACATCAATCATTGTGCATTCTGACCTCATTTCGAGTGGTAAGCGTGAGTTGTTGCCCAATCGACCCCCTCCCCTTCCCCCTAAGGTGTTTAGATCCATTGTCGATTGAGGTGTGCAGCGCGGTGATCATCCCTCTGTCTTTGGGTTTTGCCGTCAATCACTTGCTGTTTAGCTAATTACGATCACAACCGTGAAAATCAGCAACCTTCCTACTAAGTCCAGGAGACGACATCAACGAGGATACATGATTTTTGCACACCTGGTCTACAAGTACGCATAGACACAATAGATAGGATCTACCTGCATTATATTTGTTCTTTCCTTATTGCCACCTAGTACGTGCTCGAAACCCCTACTGAACAGTTAGAGCCTCTAGAAGACAGGGCTGGTGACACCGGAGACCCTTTTCTAGTACAAACTCACGGGCTCCTTACAGCCTGCTAGGCGAAGTAGATCTCTACATCTTTGCGGGATTTTCCGGACCTACCGCTCATGATTGTTGGTAGAGGAGACAATTTGTCTCGCAACAAACCATTCTTGGGTGCTTACCAAGTACGGCCCATTTTACTACAATAGTATGCATACTACGTACATAACCGACTACAGGGCCCTCTATTCAGTCAATTCACACTGCCTTTGAAAATGCTACGAGATTACCCGCGTAGTCTCGCAAGTCCAAGCTACTTCTAGATCTACGGAGTAACTGCTAACGGTTTACAATTCAATGCTTTGAATGAGCTGTTGGTTGTCATTTCGGAACCGTCTTCTCAACTCATCCCTGATATTTCTTCCACCGGGCAGAAGTACCTGGCTACAGAATGGAGGCAGTAAGGGTACAAATCGAAGTGGTGGTACGAAGTCGTGCATCAAAAGTCTTTAGTATGCGCTCACTAGGATAATTAAAAGCTAGCTTTTCTTGTACTAGGGTTCTGCTAGTATGCGGTCCTGCTGTAAGGATGGTCAGAGGGGTGGGTGGCTGAAGCTTGGCTGACATAGGCGTATACGTAGTAGACCACGTTAAATCATCTAAAGAGGCCCCTAGGTGTCTCTAGGATAAGGGGGTGATAGCAGGTATCTCTAAGGCTCTACCCCTATAGCGCATTTTCTATGTAGTACGCGCCGTTAAAGCTTACGTACTACGTAGTACGTAGTAGATCGAGTGTGCTAGTGACGCTCTAAATTTAGCGTATATTGAAGACTTTTAAGGCACGACTTCGTAGGGTTCTCATCTACTACTAGTTAGTACGTATGTGCATCTTCCTTTTCTCAACCACCACGGCTGCTTTGAAGCATGGCTGACTAGGAAAACTCAGAATCATGGCAACTTTCAGCCAACATGACGAATTCTTCTTCGCTTTCGACCAAGAATTTTGGCATAGCCTGACCTTATTCTGGTCTTGCTACCATGCACTTCTCGGCCAAATTGGCTGTGGACACATCCCATTGACGCGAGTTAAACCTTACTATCACACCATATTGACCTTGCTCTCAGACGTGATCAACTGGACGGAAGTAGAAGCTGTGTAAACCACTAAGCGACTTACCCTGACCTAAAACTGCCATATCCGCATTATCTTGCAGGAAGTTTCGCATAGCAAATAGTGCATATCAAGTCACACGGAGCCAGTCTATGGAGTTCGGAGTCTCGTCAGCGTGGGGGCAAAAGAATCCTAAACGTATCATCAATGCCGCATTTCGAACTCGTTGAGTTGTGCAGAGGGCAGACAAGGATGCTCAGGCAGATCCAACGTAGTGCAGCATATACTACTCGGCGAAACCCAACATCTCATAGCAAAAGGCCTCAGCGGAAAAATCTTGCTGTCTAGCTTCAAAGCGAATATTTCACAAATCAGCGATGTGACGTCCGGGTTGACTTTTAGTTTGGCCGGGGTGGGAAACAACAAGCGAAGGCCAGTGCCCGTTAGTACTTAATGGGGAGGCGAAACATGCGATTTGTGGATGGATCATGGAAAAGTGACTTCCGACATAGTGAATCGCTTATGTGAGTTGCGATGAAGGTTACACCGCACTAATCCCAAAAATTCACAGATGATTGGACAGGAATGCTGGAAAGCCACACTTTTTGTACGGTTCCGACATCACCCGTACAATATGGTCTGATGGGTGGGTTGATTTGCAACCTAATCCGGTGAACCATTCTACTATTGAATATCACGATAAGGAGAAGGAAGGAATACTGCTCTAGTACTTGCGTATGAACAGGACAGGTTGAAGATTCTTTTGGTCCGGAAAAGAAAAAATGCATGGAATGCCATTCGTCAATGCAACACGCTGCCCTAATAGCAAGCGGAGATTTTTGACTTGTTAGGGGGGGAGGCATTCAAACGCGGCTGGTGGGTGGCTGCCTCTAGGATCCGCCCCACACATGCGACTTTGACAAGCCCTCCCAATCAATGACCAGAACTGGTTAGTAACATACAGTCATCTACTCCGTATATTCGTAATAGCTTTTGGTGTTTCATGTGCTTAACTGAATAACAACACCAACTCCTTGAAGGCTAAGCTTCTAACGAGTATCATGCCACGCCACCATCGGGATGATGGACAGACTACAGATTCTGGTAGGTCGCCTGATAGGACACACAGACATGCCGGTCCCGTAACTTCAAGTAAGGATGATGGAGAATCATGGAAGCCCACAGCACCACGGTAACTAGACATCAGACATACCTGGAAAATGGGTATCAGGTAGAAGGCAAAGATTGAGTCGAATGGGAATCCAGGTTTTCTACTCGCTAATCCACACAAAAGTAGAGCCTGAAGCAGAGCCTAAAGCAGAGCCTAAAGCTAACAGGTGCGTAATCTGGCAGCTTAACGGGCTGGTCTGAGGATGCGCTACTGAACAAGCGTTGTCGATCATGGGAGGTCGAGGGGCGAGTCGAGGGCGGCTGTCGGCGGTGTTCCTGGTCTGAACCCAGTACTCGGGTAGTCTCCCAAGCGTTCTTCCCGCAATGGCCATGCATTTGTTGGATTTTTCCATGATCCATGATCTTCCTGCCTCGTTTTTTTCTCTCTTCACATTGTGGCTAAGTACGGAGACGTCGTGCCGAACACATGCAGCAATCGAAGATCCCAAACATACATAGTAACATGTTAGCATTAATAATTAACAATGCTTGGGCGTTCAGTATGCGAGCTATGCGCGCTCGGTCCTCTCTTCCGCCCCTTCGCGTTCTATAGCTGTGACGTATTGCCCATCTCGACCTACCCCCTGGCTGCCTTCCACAATAAATTGTTCACCAAGCCTGCTCACCACCTTCCACAATTCATTCAAGGCCTGTAACCACCTCTTGATCCAAGATCTTCGTTGCTTCGTCGCTTGATCGCTTGATCTCTTGATCGCTTCATCCATATTCGACTCCCATTCGACTCCCATTCGACTGCGCCATCAAAGTGGGTGTTGTGCCGGGCACATTCTCATATGAACTTGTCGTCAGCTCCACCAAAGTTCCTACATCGGAAGAGTCGCATCTCGCCCTTCTTCTTTGGGTCCTACACTCAGACTGCTCAACACTACCACACTCTCCCAGAGACAGCTTCTCCAACCATCCAACATGACGACCCTCATTGTCTCGTTGTGAGTGATACCTTGCAACTACAACCCTGCCAAACTGACATAACTCTGCCAAGGTTTCACCCGTACACGGTCAACTTCGATGTCCCCAAGGAAGAAATAGACGTGCCAATACGCCCACTCAGTCGACCTGCTCCCATCCCCAATGCCAAAAGCCAGGAAATCAGTCTCCTCAATAAATCCTATGGGCAGGTCACCCCTCCATTGACCCCCTCTACCACGGAGCAAGACGAGCTCTTTCTCCGGGATATCAGCTGCAGCCGTGAAAGCGTACCTACCTTGAACAGTTTCAAGGCCACGACGCCCTTCGAGTCGCACTCCCCTGGGTGGGGCATGGGTCTGAACTGGAATCAACCAACATCCCGTGCTAAATCTCCTCCACCTGTATCTATCCTTCAACACAGTAGGCACAGAGGGCAAAGTACAAGTCACATGAGAAAAGCCATGCAAAAACAAAGAGCGCGAGAGCAGCTGTCAGGAGTGAGCCGTGACCGACAATTCTCCCATGCTGGTTGGACTGTTGAAAGAGCAGATCTGGGAAACGCTGGTCTGTCCAATGCTGTTAAGGCTGTCTCCAACGAAGGCTTTCTCAAGGAAAAATTGTGGGTAGGCACGTTGGGTATGCCAACTGATGCGCTTGAAGATCATGTCAAATCTGGCATTGCTGAAAAGTTGGAGGATGATTTCGAAACGCTCAACGTCTTTGTGGATGACAAGGACTTTGACGGTCACTATTCCCATTATTGCAAGACGATGCTCTGGCCCGTTTTCCACTATCAGATCCCTGACGGTCCAAAGAGCAAGGCGTACGAAGAACATTCTTGGAAGTACTACGTCAAAGTCAACCAAGCCTTTGCCGATAGCATTGCCAAGAACTACAAACGTGGTGACACCGTCTGGATCCATGATTATCACCTGCTCTTGGTGCCGTCTATGCTTCGCAAGCTCCGGCCCGAGGCCAAGATTGGTTTCTTTCTGCATATCTCCTTCCCTTCGTCTGAGGTTTTTCGATGTCTGGCCACCCGCAAAGAACTTCTCGAGGGCGTTCTTGGGGCAAATCTCATCGGCTTTCAAACGGATGAATACTGTCACCATTTCCTTCAGACTTGCAGTCGACTGCTTGGTGTCGAGGCATCGAAGCATGGTGTTCAGCTGGAGAATCGTTTCGTCAATGTGGACACTTTCCCCATCGGCATTGATCCGCAAGCCCTGGAAGAGTCTCGGGAGGATCCGGAAGTGGCCGACTGGATCAGCATCATCACCGAGAAGTACCAAGACAAGAAAATCATAGTGGCGCGAGACAAGCTCGATCATATTCGTGGTGTGAGACCCAAACTTCTGGCGTATGAACTGTTCCTCAAACAGTATCCGCAATGGAAAGAGAAGGTGGTCTTCATTCAAGTGGCGACGTCCAACACCGAACAAGGAGAACTTGACGCCGCTGTCGCCGATGTGGTCACGCGAATCAACAGCCATCCGTCTTCTGTTGCCGATGTGCTTCTCGTTTTCCTCAAGCAGGATATTCCATACCATCAATACCTCGCACTTCTCACGGCTGCGGATTGTCTCATGGTCACCAGCCTCCGTGAGGGTATGAATCTGACCAGCCATGAATATGTATATTGCCAAGATGGGAAGCAGGGAAGCAGCAAACATGGTCCTCTGGTCCTCAGCGAGTTCACCGGGAGTGCATCAATCTTTGACGGTAACAAGTCGATATTAGTCAATCCTTGGGATCGTCGAGCATGCGCGGCTGCTATCAACCAGGCTTTGGAAATGAGCGACAGCGAAAAGAAGCGGAGATGGCACGAACTCCATAGCGCCGTCATGCACTATACGGGCAGTTCATGGTTCAAAACCTTCATCAATCAACTTGACCACGTCTATGGAGAGCAATCCAGACAAGATGGTGCCTCAATACCCCGTCTGTCATACGATGTCCTCAAACAGAAATATGACAATGCGCAACGCCGTTTGTTCATCCTGGACTACGAAGGTACCCTTGCCTCGTGGGGTTCACCATCCAGCATCGTTCAGTCAACGCCTCGAAGAGCATTGGGGGTTCTTAATGACTTACTCGATGATCCTCGAAACATCGTCTATGTCATGAGTGGCTGTATGCCGGAGGAAATGGAGCGTCTGTTCCGACAAGTGCCCGGATTAGGTCTGATTGCTGAAAACGGGTGTTATGTGTTGCAGGCATTCAGTGGCTCTGACTTCCAAGACTCGACATGGACCAGTCTGATCGATGAAGAGAAGGTCAATGCCTGGAAGGAGGGCATGAGAAACATTCTACAATACTATCAAGAACGGATCGAGGGTAGTCATATTGAAGAACGCCACTGTTCCTTCATCCTTGACTTCAAGAATGCGGCCGATGCGCCCGGGGCCAAACAAAAGGTTGACGAATGTGCTGATCACATCAATGGCCTCTGTCAAGATCAACACGTTCACGCCTTGAGTCCGGATGGACATCTTACCGTGGAGCATGACCGCATCAACAAGGCTTCGGCTGCAGCGATAATCGTGAACAATCTGCGACGCATGCAAGAAGGCAAAGGAACTGTCGCTGGATTCCCCGACTTCCTTTTTGTTGCCGGCGATTCAAGAGAAGACGAACATGTTTTCCGGTGGGCCAACAGATTGGGTAACAAAAAGGTCGTCAAAGACGTTATCACTGTCTCTCTTGGTCATGGTAAGAATACTGAGGCTACTGCGACACTGACGGGTGTGACAGGGGTGCTTTCGGTCCTTCAGAGACTTGCTGCTGGCAGGTAGAAAGCGTTGTATAGTGGAAGTGATGTTCTCTGGGGACTTGGGCTTGTGTTTGTGTTTCTCTTCTTGTAATATTTCTATTGAGAGCAGGAAGGTGGTTGTGCCTCTGAAGGAGGCTTGACGATAGGAAGCCTCTGTGTTGACAGCGTCGTACATTATTATGCGCAAGCGTTCAACAGATCATGAGATACGGTATCCATACTTTCCTATCTGCTATGCTACGTGGGCCTTGCAAGCAGGTTGTCACACGTCCAATGTTTGACGCAGACACCGCTGATGTGGCAGCTCCCTCTCTACATTGTTTCCCTGGCTGACAGTACGGAGTCGTGCCCCAAAAGTAGTTGAATTACGCGAAGAGACAGCTTACCGAGATAAAGAGATAAATCTGTCTTGCCACTTATTCTTGTGGTGTCATTTCAAGTTGCCTCAGTTGTAAGCCGTGCTATGTGGCTTGGACGATGACTAAGTCAATGTGAGACCATGACTGCTTAGTCAACAACTAGCTCATTTCGAGCTTGGCGTGTGTGGCGCAGCGCACTAAGCCTGTCTGGGGGGACCGAAGCAACTAACTACATTGATTTAATAATCCACGTCAGCTTAGTCGACTTACTACGTAGTATCGATCGAGGAATTTGAAGCTCCCAAGACGATCCGCTAATAACCTTGACATGCGTGGGAAAATCCAGAATGCTATTCTCCCGCGCCGAACAGACCTTCAGGTGAAACAAGACCCTCGTGGAAATGCAGGGAACTGAGATCCATGGTGGAACTGGTTTGATATAAAACTGATCTGCGTCTGCTACTTTCGGGGTCCTTTATTTATCGTCTAGGCCTTTCGTTCTACTAGGCCCTTGAATCTTTTCATAAAGAAATCTCTTCCTATCCCCCCACTCCCCCTACCCGCTTCACCTTTTTCAAATGAACGTCTCCGGCAAAAAACCGCGACCAGGGGCACACGTGTTGATGAACTTTGTTCGCTGCAGGACCATCGAGATAACATTTTTTCTCTTATAACCACACTCATCATCACTCTTCAATCCGTATCCCAAACCCACGTTGGCTCTGCAAATCATGTGCATGCAATAAGGTAAAAATAAAATAAAAAATGTGACTCATTCGATTTTCCTGAGTGCCCAGCAGGCAGCATTGAGTTCGAAGTGCAGCAATGTGTCGGTCGAAATATTATGTATGATTGGTCGAAACCGCAGCCTGAAGCCTCGTCTTGCAACTCACCTCCACTGCTCAGGTAGCTTTTCTGATGCCTTTTTCCTTCTTCTTCTTCTTCTTCTTCTTCTTCCCCTTTTGGGGCTCTTCCACTTCCACTTCAGCCCCCGGTTCAATCTATCGCGTCAATTTTGTAATTGCCCAGTCGCGGAGAGGATCCTACTGTCGGACTGGCTCGCAAAGTATAGTGGTATGTCTCTCCTTTCACAATTTTCTAAGTTTTGGTTCTGTCAGGGTTCAGCCATGCAGGGAATGATGTTCAACACTGAGGGGGCGGTCCAGTGGATCTAACTCGGCTGAATCTCACTCATTGGATTCTGCTGCCATTGAGGAGAAGGGTGCAGAAATGGCCATCAGTGCTCGATTCTTCGCCGGCTCCTGGCCTCCCTAACCAGTCGACACGAATAGGGCTGGATGGAGTATGGTGGAGCCCTTGGTTATTGGCGCTGCGCGCTGAGCTTCCCAATAACATCAACGGATCCCCCAGTCATAGCAAATAGGATGAGAGGGATAGACAACCTCCCAACCATCTCACATCTTCAGTCATCCCCGAGTCTCTCTTTCTCTCCCCTCCCTATCTCCTCTTCGAACAAACTCCAACAGAGTGTGGGTAGGACGTATCTGTGGCTGAGTCGGGTGCCGGTGGATTGTTGGGTCGATGAGCTGGATTTGAGACCTGCTGCGGAGAAGTTCACGCCGCATGTTGGTCGGATGTCGTGGTTATGGAGGACGCTCATTAGTATATGTATATATATATATCCATCCATTTGGTGTTAGGTAGGTACAATCCCATATCTACAACCAGACACATCTCCTGATATTACCCCACCACCCATCCCCTCACCCTATCTAGCGCATCCATCCTTAAGCTTCATATCCTACTCGTCCTCCCCGCCAGATTCCTCTCCGTGCCCATCATCAAGGCGACATGCGAACTGATCGCCACCACCTCCGCCTCGGCATCCAGCACCAAGACCTGCAGATCCATCCTTCCATTCCGAATCACCGTGGCGCTGACACGCACGAACAACCACTCCACCCCGTCTGGTTCGGGTAGAGCTTTCTTGACCTCCAGGTTCAGGGAGAGGGTCGGGTACCAGAAGCGTGCTCTCGGCCGCCGCCGCGTTCCCACCTTACCCTTAATCTGAAGGGAAGGAGCATCAGCCGCGTCGGCTTCATCTAGGAGGAACAACTCCGCCACGATCGGCGGGAACATGTCCACGACGAAACCCAGGGAGTCGTTCGTCCAGCTTCCCGGGCGTCCTTCCGGGTGGAAGCGCACCCATTGGTCGAGGTGGTTCTTCGCTGTGCCGGCGCTGCTTCTGGGCTGGATCTCTGGGCGCGGGAGATAGATTCGGATGTGCTGGGCGGCTTTGCGGAAGGCGGGGATCGCGCTCGGCGGGTACAGGATCCAGTTTTCGTCGCCGGAATTGGATTCGAGGGCGGAGAAATTGCTGGGTCGTGATGGAGGGGTGGGGTGCAGGGTGAAGGAGGTAGGGAGGGTGAGGCCGCGCTCGGTGTGGAGATTGGACATAATTATGTATCCCTCTACATTATCTCGGAGGGCATGATTCGGCCCGTTGGGTTGGGAGAGCGTAATGTGGAGATTGCTGACGCGCGAGCCGAGTTTGAGATCTCGGACCGTGAATGTTGCGGGTGTGCTGTCCGTGTTGGTGGAGGCAGAGGTGCGCCGCAGAAATTCGAGGTGTAGGTTTATCGGGTGTGATTGGTTGCGGGAGGGGTGGTTCAGGGTCATGTGTTTACGCGCGACGACGAGGAAGATGGAGGTGGTGTAACCGCCATGGGGCACGGAGCCGATGTTCCAGGAATCTTCGATGATGGTGGAATAGGTGTGCGTAGTGAGAGGCTGGATGGGCGCAATGTCGGAGAAGGTCAGGGCCATCCTGGTGATGGAAGGAAAGGAGAGCTCGTTGCCAGGCTACACGGACAAGGAATCAAGCGCGGCTTGTTGCGGTGTACCTTTGCAAGGGCGAGTCAGTCATCAATCCTGGCCAGTAAGCCTGGATCGTTGTTGATGCTCCATGATAGAAGTTGATTACCCTCAGTAACCATTGTGTGGGCCTTTACGTACTAGCCAAGTTCCGCAACGCCCATCTTTATCCTCTCATTCGGCAAAGAGCAAAGACCTCCTTGATGTGTGAGCAAGGAGCGGAGAGGTGGTAATCGCCCTTCAATGGTAGATCTTGTCTATCCTTAATGGGTTGTTACAACCACAGAGAGATGACGGACTTAGTAACTTACTACGTACCACGTGTAATACCCTGAACTTCCTTAGGCTGACTTGGCCGTAGATTTAGTCCACGAAGCTTACTACGGTAGGAGGCAGAAGTAGCGATAGCTCGGCGCTAGTAACAGCTAGTTCAGATACAGCGCCACATTAATGTCTAGAAGCTTCTTAGACAATTACTCATACTTATTGGCTATCACAGAACTTCTTAACTATTTAGGGCATAGCGATCTCGTTTGCAGGCCGTCTCCGGGTAAAGATACTAGTGCCGAGCTATGGCTACTTCTGCCTCCTACCGTAGTAAACACGCCTTACCAACTTAGCAGGAAAAAGACTGAATTGGTGGCCGTCTTGGCTCCTGCATATCTGTCACAAGAAATGGGACTATCTAGGCGCAAGAGTCGCCCTAGAACAGCCCAATCATTATGACGCTTTTGATTTTGCCCAGACGGCCACCAATTCAGTCTACTCCTTATGGGCCTCGGGCAAGTTGTGTTCCGCTGTGCCGCAAGGCCTGGGGCAAGAATCTTTAGATGTTCCGTACCTATTAGTCAACCCTTTTCCCCTTCGAAAGTCTAATGTACTTTGACTGAAAGATCTAGAATCTACATAACACAGTCTGCCAGTCATTTAGGGCCATGCTGGGCTTGAATACCAAGTCTCAAACAGACCTGGCGACCATTGCCGCCTAATGGTGTGTCTGGGGAAAATGCTGTAGTAGTAACAACCGGATTGGATACCCAAGTACCCAAGTTCCCAAGTTCCCAAGAGGCAGTCCTCCTAGAAACATTTGCAAGACATTGCAGCAGTCCCTTGTGCACGAGGGAGCGCTTCTCATGCTCATTCTTGGGCTCTGTTGCTCTCACTCCTCCTTCCATGTTTCCCACGCCATGTGAATGACCGTGTATTACAAGAGAAAGGTAAATTGGCATGGAGCTTAGGTATCAGGTAGTGTGTAGGCGAGTCGCATCTCACAAGGATTGACTGCTATCCTTCTGACTTCCTGCTCCTCTTCTGACCTTCGTTCTGGTTTTCGTGGTGTGACACAAGAATGAACAGTGCATTATGACACATGTCCCAATCAGTATTACCTGTCCACCTGACAACAGCAATATGTTAGCGCTATTACCCGAGTATAGATGCAAACTTGATGGAACTCATTTCAGCTCTTGTAGAACAAATCACAGGCCAGCTCTCCATACTCTTCCAACAGACCCCTAAGATCGGGGTCTCGCTTAAGAATTTTGGCTTCGCAAACCGCATAATGCACAATCAATTTCCTCAAATCGTCGTCGTTGGATTGAGCTCTGTCAGTGTTCGTGTACGTGAATTCTAGAATCTCGAGAATATCCCCAGTATCACGCTTTGTGAGAGCCAGGTTTTGCTGACAGCCGTGAAGATGGCGAAGAGCGAGGATACGTAGGTTGTGTATAAGATACTTCTGGGCAAAAACATACATCTTCGCGTGATAGAGGAGCGACGCGGTTGGTGTGTGGGATATAGATGGGTCGCTGTTCAGAGCTGGTTGTTCGTTCGTGCGAACAGAATCGTCAAATGTGAGTAGTTTGAAGTCGTCCCAAAGGTGCTCAGTATTTGATTTTTTTTGGCCCTTTTTGGCCTTTTTGTTATGGCCCCAACCACCCCAGGTGTCCTCAATTGGGACGTCAAACGCAGGCTCAGGCGCAGGCTCAGGCTCTGCCGCCATGGGTTCCTCTTCCGCAGCTGCTTTTTCTGGTACCACGTCCTCCTCACTTGGTGCGTCATTGTTGCTTTGAACTTCTGGCTTAGGGTCCTTCATCCGTGAACGATAGTCACCCGTGTAGGCAAATTCGCAGAAGCCTACAAATGTAGACTCCTCTACGTCCTCTAAATTAGCGCGGCCCTCTCTTGCTTCTTCCATGTGCTCATTGTTCATCATTGCATGTAATGGATCCGAAAGATCCTTCGCAAGGCACTTGGGAACAGTGAGACATGTGCGATCTTTCCCAACAAAAAATCGGAAGGTTGGAGAACGAAGGACTCTGAAAGGATGTATCAGCATATCAGCTCCTCATTATTCCTAGTTGCAACATTGTTCATATATACTCAAATACTCACCTGTCAAAGTCCAGCATCTTGCTTTGAGATGGCCAACACAAGCAGATGCCGGAAGAGAGTGCTGGATGTAAAAAAGCAGGTGGAGAGGGACTTGGACCTTACTCTCCAAACTCATAACGTGTCTCGCATGTCTATCATGCTCTAGACATGACCGACAACAGCAAACAAAGAGGCCTTGGAATCCACTAACTTAGCAGCAACGTTGATGGGATACCCGAATCTGTCGCAATGCACCAGCCACTTCATCAGCAAAACGGAGACGAGTGGTCCGTGCCGCCTTGAAGCTCATCCCGAGACTCCGGCCACGGACAGTCAGTGAGGGGTACATCAATTAAGTGTGTTCGAAACCCACAAGCGCTGTCTTTTTGGCGGAGTGGTTAATGTATCCCTTTTCTCGGACCAGTCAAATGTGTACACGTCCTCCATGCTTGCGCGGAAAATCCTACAGACTGGTACGATCATCGGCAACTCACAATTGGGTCCTTGACTGCATACGTGTCTGAGTTCATTGCCATATACGGAGTACTGTAGGCGGAGTCAGTTGGCAACTATTAGTAATTTTCGAAAAGAACAAGAACCTAAGGGACGAGGCCTGGGGAGAGAATTCATGTCGCTGCTCACACGTTTTATTTTAAGTGGAAGAGCGCAGCACGGATTCTGTTCCCCAGGCTTTTAGGCCGCCAGTGCTGTTACGGAACCCCCTCACTATTATCGTACTAAGGGGGGGCTGAAGTCATGTTAGCTCAGCGCTAGTATCTTTACTTGTAAACTATCTCTGTACAGAACAGCTATGCTCAAAAGAAGTCAGATGTGATGAATTGACTTATCAGAATGGATGCACACAAAACAAGCTTTGAAGTGACGAATCATAACAATATATTTTCGTGATGATAACTACCACATAGTAGCTGCTCTTAGCACCAGACTAATATTTCTTCAGGCCCCCCGTAGTAAAAGCAAAGTTGGCCACATCCCGACGTATCGCTCGTTAGCCTCGCTACTGCAACACTTCAACCCTTGCAGTCCTGTAAAATCCAACCTAGCTTAGCAGAGACCGGAGCAAACTTCTGAGAGGTTGGTCACTGCTCACTACCTGTAGGTCTTGCCATTACGCTTTCCCCAATCCTCCAGCCCTTCCTTGAAAGCCTTCAGCAAACGACCATGAGTGGCATCTCCCTCGTAAGAAATCTTCATCCTCCAATCCAGCCAGCCCTCTGCCCTTGCTCCACTAGGAGCCTCCAGGAGGCCCGCCGCCACGTCGATGACTTGTGGCCGGCTATCGCTCCAATAGAAGATTGTAGCGCCACAGCGACCACAGTGATATCGCGTCACGTTTTCGGAGCTTTTGAAGGATTTCAACGTAGAACAGTTGAATTGATAGCGCTCGCCGCTTGCATTCGCCAGCCTGGGAGTAGGAACATATGCCCATTGTACGAGTTCCAGGCCAGAGGTAAGACGACAGCTGTTACAGGCGCAGTTGCTTGCGAGGTATCGATTCTTGCTTCGAACCCACCATTCCTTTGGATCCAACGGTTTGTCTGAGTGAGGAATTCAGCAGACAAGATCTTCAGCAGCAACCAGCCTGACTTACCGGCTTCCTCAGGCTCCCGCGGCCGCTTGATCAGGAAGTCCACTCCACCACACTTACAATGGGCACGCAAAGTGTCCTGAGCGAGATCCTGGGCGAGATCTTGACCCTCAGAGCCATTCCAACCTGACGCCAAGACTTTACTCGTTTCTTCTTCCGCTTCCCATTTGGGAAGTGGTCTACCTTCGAAACTGGCAAGCCAATCGCTGAAGCCACCGTCAATCGTGTCTCCAACGAAGATGTGAGAGGTGATATCCAATATCGAGTCTGGGTTCTCCAGGAGACCTGGCACCACAGCCACGTAGTCCGTGGGATGATGGGTATGCCAAAACATGTGTGCTCCACACGTAGAGCAGAAGTAGGTGTCGCAATTCTTGGAAAAGGCGTACTTCGTGAGCGTATTGCTATCGGGAACAGGACTCGGCCAGTCGACAGCCGTGTACTGTAAGAGTCCGCTACCGTGACGGCAACTGTTACAGTGACAGAAATGTCTTCGAAGCGGGAGGGATGAGTTGGAAGTGGAAGCGGAGTACTCATTTGCACCGCAAAAGCAGCGTGTCTTGATGATTGTGCTGTCTGCCATTGTATGAGGCGTGGGGCTCTGCTTGTGACACTGCCTCTCAACTTTTAGCTTTCTACCGGAAGAGCGGGACTACTGGGTGAGTGCACGTGGTTCTCGAGATGTCCTAGGTTGAGGGATGTGGAAGATGAATCACCTATGGATATATTCTTTCGCAGACGCAGTTGAAAATGGTCACAGGGCGCAAGTTATCAATTACTGACTAAGCCATTGCTAAACTCCCCAATTGGTCAGATCGTCCAGGCAGAGAGCAGAAGCGTCATGCAGGGCGGCTGCTGCCTGGGGACCGAAGATCAACAGACCGAGAGAGCCTTGGAAGGATAGCCTTGGAAGGATAGCCTTGGAAGGATAGCCTTGGAAGGATAGCTACTTAGCTAGCGTCTTCATAACTATCATACACTTGTATATAGCTCTAGTATCTGTAATTAACCTGCCTTAATATGTCTGGTCCAGCGAGGGTAAGAACGGGTATGTGCTATGCATGCATGCATGTCTGCCTTTCTGGCTGTGCGCCACGCTTTTTGTTCACAAATAAACGAGAGAAATGCGTAATGTACATAGTTCGTCAGACATCGAAACAGCTTTCTCACCACCCCCGGATGGATCTCGTCTCAAATGCTGTGGTGAAGGTCATGGTAATCCTTTCTGCGAAGAAAAATTCAATTTTTGCGTTCGTTTTGTTCTCAAGTGGATCGTCCAAAGGAGGTTTCGAAGCTGAAATGCATTGATAAGCTATAATATGATGAACGAACGCTAAGATTAAAGCGCCCCAGAACGCCCTGGCTGATTGCTGGATGGGTATTTGTAATAGTGACGGACAAGAAGAACATCGAACAACTAGTAGGTGCTCGGTAACGAAAGCAACCATGGTCAACTTTTGACACAACCTGTGGTGGCCGTTTTGAACGCCGCGAGAAATGTCTATCAACGATGGTCAGATCCAGGGCATTAGCCAGCAATGCCATGTACGTCGAGGAGGAATCTATTAACGAGGGTAGCATGAAGTGCACCTGGCAGTAGAGTCTGAAGCGCCGAGAAAGGATCCAGTAACGAATGTCGGACGGGTGGCAGTGGTCAGGAAGCCTTCACCATTAGACAAGGCCCTTATCCAGGTCTTTGTCAACGAGAGTTGGGCTGACTCGCAGCGGCCAGCTGGTCCTTGAGTGACGCAACCTCACTCTGCAGACCATTAACTCGGTCCTCAAGACTCTTCACATAGGCCCATAGCCTGTCCTCTCGTGGGCTAAAGATGGCGGCCGAGTTCTCCCCGCTGCCCCTTGCAGATTGTCCATGGCTGGACAGACTATTGCTCTGCGAGGACAAACCTCCTCCACTCATGTGGGTAGGTGGCCCGGTTGGGCCAGTAGGCGGATGGGCCGGTCCTTGACTCGGCAGAGTATAACGCGCATCTGGAGGATTGAGCCCAGAGGGGTGGGGTGGTGGCAGTTGACTTGTGGTAGACAAGGGAGCAGCCATCGAGGCAGGCGGTGGGCTTCTTCGGCTGGAACCTCGGCCATAGGATTGCTGTTGGAATTGTGAAGTCATGCTGGGAGACCTGTTACGATACAGGCCTCCTTCGGTATGGGTGCCATGCGGAGCACCAGGTGATAGTGGTTTTGGACTTTCTGTCATAGAGCCTGGAGGAAAGATAGAACCGCCTGAACCAGCAGGGTGCAAATTCGAAGAGCTGCCGGGTGCAGGTGGGTAGCTATGTGTACCGCCTTGAGACAGCTTCGACGCGGAAGACCCCGAGCCACTCGGTCCGCTGGGAGGAGGAGGAGGAAATAATGCAGCGGCAATACCGCCAGGAGGGCGACCTTGAATTGGTGGATAGGTGCTTGGCTGCCGGGGTTGAAAACTCCCCTGTTCCGCCGCTTGTCCTCTCACATTCATTGCTGGACCTTGGCGGCGGATACTTGGCACACTCTGTCTTCCTCCTGAGGCTTCCTCCTCTTCCATAGCTTCAGGCTCACCATAGAGGCCTTCCATGGACTCTTCGTTTCCGCCCTCATAGTCATCGTCGCCGCCAAAACTACCTGTGCTGCCCCTACGACCAGCACAGCCGCCGGGACCTTTGTTGTGCCGGGCCAAAGCATCTCCACGGGCAAATTTACGACCACATTTCGGGCAGATGTGAGGCCTTTCACCAGTGTGAAGTTTGGTGTGGCGCTTGAGATCATGCAAGCGACGGAAGCAGGATTGACAGGTCTGACAGATGTAAGGCTTTTCTTGGCTATGGGTTAAAAGGTGACTTTTGAGGTTATGGTGTCGTGTAAACTCGGTCGCACAATAAGGACAACGATGCTTTTTGTTAGACGAGGTTCGCTCTGAATTCCGTGACTCTGAGCCCGGCAAGCTCATGCCCCGATTAGAGTGCACTTGAGCCTGCAGCATGGGTCCAGGGTAAGAGAAAGACTTTGGACCCTCGTCAGCAGAGGACGGGCGTTGAGAGGCCTTCTCTGGTGATGCCTCGGCCTCTTGGCTTGCAGCATCGATGGACCGCGGACTGTCTACAGTTGCCGTCTCCAGACCGGACAAGGCAACATTGCTCTCGAGAGTGCCAATGCTTGATAGACTTACGGGACTGGTTTGTGCAGGACTATCCGAATGTGTGTCGTTTGGCTTCTCTTGGATGTGTTGAGCCACCATGTTGAGGGGTTCACTTATGGTTTTAGCAGGCTCGAGTGGCGTGTCCTGAACAGCACTTGTCGCTCCATTATCGATTCCCATCAAGACACTCAGGGCCTCCTTGGCTGGGTTAGGACTAGTCTTTGTGGAAGGAATCTGTGATTTCTCCGCTCGGCGCTTGTCCTGTAGAGCTGCTGCTGCAGTCATGGGAGGTGGATTCGGCCGGGGCCGCTTCCCAGGTCTAGGTGAAGGATCATTTGAAGACCTCCCCTGGCTGGGTGACCGCTTTGGCGGATTCGATGGTTTGACAAAGGTGGCAGACGAGGACCTTGCGCCGGGTGCTGGTGACACCTTTGAAGTGTCCGTGGGAGATTCAGAGGGTTCAGATGAGGAACCGGCCATTAAACGACCAAGTCTAGCTTTCAAGGATGGCAATTGAAAGTCTCTAGGGAATATGGGTCGAAAAGAAGGAGCAGCTGGAGCAACTAGATACGTGGACATCTTAGCTGAATGGGTATTGTTTCTCTGTACTGACCACAAATGCTAAGAAGGGCACTGTTCAGGTTGCAGGCTATGTAAATAGAGAAGGAAAGAAGAGGAAAAGAGAGTGTAAGAATCGAAGCAAAACAACTGCTAGGACCGAGCGGTGCAGCAGTGGGAGGGTACAGCATCAGAGCATATTTTGGGAGGGTAAGGCCCACCTTTGTGAGCGAGATTGTGGCGCAGGCTTCAAGCTGAGCCGCTGTGTCAACAACCACTGTACAGCCGCTGCACAGCAGAGAAAACCCCTTCAAATCAGCCTTAGAGTTGTCGCTTCACCTTCCTGACAGCAGGCTACTCGAGAATTGCATGCGCTTGTTCCCAGAAAGACCAATGCTGATGTTGTAACAGCAAAGTTGTGCCCGACCCCTGGGCGTAGGGGTCCAAAATTCTATATCATTTACTCCAAACTGCGCGCTTTCTTGTAATTGTCATGGATCGTCTCGGAATTTTGACAAGAGGCTTCGAAGAGTTTCGATGCCAGGAGGAGCGAGTTTGTGCGCGGCGGGGTGTTGGGGCGCCTACGGTCTGCTCGTGAACGTTGCGAAAGGAAGGGTGCGATGGCTGACTTTGATGGCAATGCGGGTCAGTTCACCACGCGTGACGCTCTTGGGACTCGTGGGATAGAGAAAGGAACGTGAAAGTAAGGTAGGTAAGGTACGAGTACTGCTCAATGACTGTTAGCTTTGGTTAGGGAAAGTAATGATGGCTGGCTCAGCGAAATGCAAGGGAGTGGAGGTGTCTACTACCATACTATCCTAGAGCAGGAGGCGGAAGGTGGCCCAAAATGACGTCCCCGACGCCCCAGCACTAAGCCCCCCGGGATCCCTACGAGAGTTTAAAGAGGACTGAGGGTCAGGATTTAGTGTGGCGCAGGTCTCGCTAAGAGCTGGCCTAGTTGTTTAGCGAAGCATGGGTCATAAATACGTTACCCACTATTTTATCATCAACAAATAGATGAATTTGTACTGTGCAAACAGCTATCATCGAACCAATGAGCAAAGATGAATTATGTATTTGTCCCGTGTCTGCTGCTCGAAGACAGGGTGATCCAGCTTCTGCCTCTTCAGGACATAGCAAAGCTGCAATGCAACCGGCATAAATCGATGGTATGAAGCTGAAGCATGATTTAAGGTCGTCCCGTATTCGTGATTGGTGCCTTGTCCCCCAGCCATCACTGAAAGGCACTCAGGTCCGGACGATCGCCTTTACCTATTCTATGCGCCCGGCGCCCGACCCCTCTCATCTCTCTCCAAGTACGGATAACCTGACAAGCATATTGGTGGAGCCATAACCGGGCCAGTGTCTCAATGCAGTAGCCGAGCTGCAGTCTACTGTGCCATGGTGGAGCCCAAGTGGCTCAACTAAACGTAAATCTTGCAGGCACGGTGGCTCACTCCACCAATTCAACCCACTCCGCCGTGTATTCACCAACAGGATAACCAAAGCTCTTTGGCTCACCCTGTTCTTCTTTTGCCCACGTAATCAGTCGTCTTTTCATTGTTCACAGATTTATTGACTCTGCCATACTCGAAAGGCCTTTGTCAATAACAGCATGACTTGGGGGGAATGTAAATCATGATCGCCAAATGCGTCATGGGGCTGCCACAATCCTGATTCGTCCAAAGACTGAACCAAAAATTCTACGCCGCGCCACATCCTACGTAGTACAGTACGACTGGGGCTGTTGATGATTGACATCTTGCGACGGGAAGCTTCGTCCAAGGCCCGTCCTAGTAAACTGCCCTAAACTAAACACATTGTCCATCTTTCCAAAGAACATACGTGTACCGGCAGGGTCAGCCGGGGCCGGGGCCGCTCCGTCCCTGTTGCTCGTGGAGTGGCTCAGTCATGATTAGTTTTTCGAACGGCGATCATGAGATCTGACTCGTTGCTCAGTGCCTTGTGGTTGCGGATAATTAATATGATGTTTTTATCCATGCAATCATTTCGTGTGAGGCGTCGAACTTGATTGTCTTGCTCAGTTGCATAGGTACTTGAGTGTAATAAATCTCGGATTAGGCATGCTCCAAGTCCACAAGTGCAATTTATAAATCATTGAATCATCTGTATGTATGTGAACATCCATCTTCGCCGTTAAGTTGGCGGATCATCCAACAGGCGTCTTCGAGGCATTGCGTAATTTGGCCGCTTCCAGAGCTTTTTGCACCCGATCCTGGTGCTGGGGATCATCTCCCGTCCGCTTTATGATGCTTTTGAGAAGGAACAATGCATTCTCAGGTCCTTTGGCAACACTTCCCATCCGGGTGTCAACTTCTGCTTTGATACGTTCATCCTCCCTGCCTTTCTCCTCCTGGAGAAGTTTCATGCTCGCCTGCGTTGCATTAGACACTCTGGCTTCGGCCACAGAAACATCATAGTCTGCGCTGTTGAGCATGTTGTCAACTTTGTTTGACAGCATTAGGAGCGATTTTGAATCATTCGCAACGTAATCCAAGAGCTCTTCTATTGATCGGAGGGTTTCGTGTAGGCCAGCCAGCAACAGCTCTTTGGCGTTCTCCGGACGTTCTTTCAACAGATCGTTGATACTTGACAATCCTGCAGAAACATCATCGATGAATTGCTGATTGTCGCCAAGACCTCGCACAGTCGCACGATCGAAGGTATCCATAAGTTCATTTGCTCGCGAGTCCTTCTCCCGAGCTTCATGTAGAGCCTGTTGACGTTCAGCCTTACTGAACTCTTGTTCAAGCTTCTTCACCGCCTCGCTGTCGCCGTTCGTGTAGAGGACGGACAGCTCGAGCTTCTTCCTGCGCCTTTCGCGCTCATAATGAGCTTCAGCTATCTTGACGTGTCGGATCTGCATCTTCTCATATAATGCCAGCAGAATCGTCAAAGCCTCTGAGCGTGACATACGATCGTCATTACGTTGAATGTACTGACTGCCGCTATCGGAATCGAGGTCTAATACATCAACGGCTCGCATATATTGTGCTTTCAGGTGGATAAGCTCCTCTTTCAAACGCTCTGTCACGGGATTGAAGACCTGGTCTGTGAAAGAATCAAGTTCTTGTACGTCTTCGTCGTATCTCCTAGTAGCTTCTGCCAACTTGAATTCCAATTCCAATTGGCCAATGTCCGAGTATCCTATCTCGTGCTCGTTAAACAGAGCGTCGATATTCTTCCCGGACTCCTCTTGCCTAGCTTGTCTTTCGTCTTCTTGTTTCTTCCGAATCACCCTGTTCTGTCGATCCCACTTGACAACAGTCTCAGGGATCCAAGTGAAAATATCCGGAAATCTGTTCATCTCACGTTCCTGCTCCAAGATTTTATGGCTCCGCTGACGTTGCTGAGGCATAATCCTTGGGATGAACGTGCGAAGACCATTTACTGCTCGTGTCTGCCGATCAACTAGTTTTGGCAACGGCATTGGTTCCTCGGCCAGGGGACCGGCCGCCTTCCCTAGCTTTCCTTTGCGGTAGACACGGCTTTTCTCCCGAATTAGTCCTAGAAAAGCCTCTTCATGCTCACTACGCACAACTCTGCCATTGGCAGAAACGGGGGTGTCTCGACGTATGGGACTTATAAGGTCAGCTGTGCCTTGTGCCAAAATACGCCCAGAGTCCACGGATTGGTGTCTTAATGCCGAGTAAGCCTCGTAAGCCGGCCGTGCTATCACATGTTGTTCAGAGCTTCTTTGGAGGCCTTCCGCATATCTAAAGGGTGTGTAAGCTGGCCTCGGAGGCTCGAATTTGATAGGGTTATTTATTGCGCTGCTTTGCATGAGTAAAGGTGCAGTGCCAGGTCGTAGCGGCAAACTTTCTTTAGCAGCTAGCACTTTGTTAATAGGCGAGCGCATCAATTCATCAACCACAATCGGTGCATAGTCGCTGGGGGATGATGTCGCTTTCTGGGTGGGTGCAGGTGCAGGATGCGAAACAGTCCTCTGCGGAACGCGTCGTGGCATGCGTGGCCGACCACCCGGACTATATTCAGACTGATCGTCTCGCTCAACAACAACGAATGATTCTTCGTTAACAGCTGTATTGGTGTCAATTTTGAGCCTCGGAGATGAGTCGCTAGCTAATTGTGGTGCCTCTGATATGCCTACCTGAAGTGGCAGTGACTGGCTGGCACCCGGCGCATTTGTCTGCGATGGTGCAGCGACGACATTCGTACTTTCTGTCTTTTTAGCACGGGCTCGTGCTGGATTCCAAATATCTGTATCGTCAGCATCCACAGCATACAATATGCTCCGGAGGCGTGATTCCTTCAACACAAATGCCCTGAAGATTTCATACCGTTCCTCTTCTGGAGCAGCTTCTTCTTTTCTGAGCATAGTAACATAACGAGCAAGAGAAGCCCTATATTCGGGTCCAAGGTCTGCGTAGGGATCCCTATCTATGATTTTCGTCGAAAGTGATGGAGGAGCAATAGAATCTTGCCGCACAGGCACATTGCTGGGACTAGTTGAGTGCTGTTGATCAGGTTGGATAATTTGGTTGGACTCCAAAGCCCCTTGCTGATCCCGGTTTTCTGGGGAGTCTCTTAGAGCTTGCCCTGACGAAGACCTGATTGAGTCGAACGCATCTCGTCGCGAACGATCAAGCGTTGATACCGAGCTCTTCCGGCTTTCCCCGGGGGTGATGTTGCTTTGTAATGGTGTGCTCCAGGCCTGAATCACACCATCGATGGTTCCAGTACGTCGCAGACCGTTGATGCTAGGTTCTGGCGATACGCTATGCTCACGGGCTTGGGCTTCACCCACAACTGAAACGGAAGAGGTAGACTGCGTACGTTGCATGGGAGCATGACCAGAGGATTCTTGTTTTGGTGCAGTTTGGGAGGAATCGGTGGGCAGTTCGGCGTATGCATCGTTCACAGCAAATTTCCCTAGCCGGTCCTCGGCGTTTGCGGTATTCGTGCCTTCATCTTCAACATCCCCGGCTGAAGCTTGAAAGTGCTCCCAGTCAGATGGTCCGCCAGCTCCAAGCGCAGAAGACCCAGATTCAATGCTCACATGCTGGTTGGCTGGGAGCACGGGCGGTTCGCTGACCCATGACACTGCATGTGTCACTTCCGGGGAAACAGGTGGCTGTTGGTCATTGTGATGGTTCTGTGTTTCGTTTGATGTGAGAGGATATTGCGTGATCGGACGGTTTTCTAGGTACGGTTGTTCAATCTGATTTGGTTGACTAAAGTTGTGAGGTTGTGGGTGGTCCTCCTGATCTTGTTGGAGAGGCGAAGCGTAGTGCAAGGTTTGCTGATGCGGCCATTGTAGAGAATCGGGTTGTGCTTGGGATTGATACGCGGGAGGCCGAGGAGGAGGAGCAGGTGGTGCTGGAGACTGGAGAGGTGGTTGATAGTTTGAGTGTGAGTGGGGCTGCTGGTTTGAGAAGGCTCCCGATGACCATTGTTGTCCAAGATCATATCCGGATCCTTGTACATACCCGCTCTGGGGCTGCAGCACGGGATTTTGCCAGATCGAGGCCTGCCATATGGGCCCGCCTGCAAGCGGGGCCGGTGAAGGAGTGTGTGCCAGTCCACTAGGTGGCCGAGGAGGAAGTGGTGGTTTGTTTGAGCTAGAAAGCCCAGACTGCTGAAGCTGATGATATCTGACACCCAAGCCCGAGGAACTGGGCGCAGTGGGGATATTGTAGGCCTGCACAGGATTGAGAGGACTTTGTGCGACTGGAGGGCTGGCTATGTGAGAATTTTGGTTCGTGAATCGTGGATCCTGCCAGGAACTGCGGCCGTTCTGTGGCGATTGCCATGGTTGCCGATGATTTGCGTCGTACTGTTGGTATTGCCATGCACACATCGCGGTGGATGACGATATCCTCGACAGAGGAATGCTGTCTAAGTTGTGAATGGGCAAGTAAGTAACCTCCAAGCGTTGTGTGGCGATCACACGTCTCTAGCGGAAGCGGGCCGAAACTGGATGCTCCCATCACTGACATGGATCTTCCCTTTTGTGAAGTCATCCTTCATGCACCACAGCATAGGCAATGCATACAAGTAATGCAGCTCGAAGAGTCACATACAAAACTACGGTATAGTGATGGCAACAAGAAGGGCGAGTTTACTTAGCAGTTTTCAGACAGAGGTAGTTGATAGAAACAGCTGTTTGCGAAAGCAAGGACTTCTTATTGAGAGAAGCTAGGGTTCTAAAAAGGTGCCTTGCAAGCACATAAGCAAGTTCGGCCGAAAAAACTAAAGGACAGGAAGTTTGTGCACGCTTGAGGGAGATGCAGAAGGACTCCGCAAGTTGTCCGTATTAGAAAATCCATCATGCCAACATTCATTCGTGAGTCCAGGATGTCGGCCTTTCGTGATGAATTGCTATCGGCATGACTTGTGGCTCTACTCTGTCTCCAGTAAGAAGAACTCCAATCGTCAGCAGTTATGAGTAAGGTTATCCTGTAGCAGAATATCCTCATCCAATGCAGTATGCTGAAAGAAATGCTTCGGTCGATGAGCCACTTAGAGGAAGAGCTTGAAAGCGGTCATGAAAAGAGCTGCGAGGGCTGTTGTGGAAATCTGTTGAGAGACGGTAACAGCAGCATTGGTCGGAGCGGCACTCGCAGTTGAAGCTGCGGACGCTGATCCGGACGCGGCCGAGGTGGAAGTTGCCACGGTGGAAGCCGAGGTAGCTGAGGTGGCCGATGAGGCGGAAGAATCACTCGAGCTGCTCTCAACTGCTGTGGCATTCAATGTGCCGCACCTCTGGTTTTCTTGGCAAGTATCTTGTCCTTCCGCATCGTCCGGGTGTGCTGCAATACATTGGTTGAACGTCTCCGTGCAGATGTAGAAAGGCAGGGTATCTCGATACGCGGAGACATCAGGGACAGTGCCGTTCGAGCAAACGCACGAGTAGGTCAGATCATTCTGTGCAAAGAGATGTCAACCTGTGTTTGAGACTTTGGAATTGAACAAGAGCTATTCAAGAGAAGAGCAAAGACAGGTTGAAAGCCTTGGGCATCTCACGGTAAGGAAGAAGCAATGTTAACTCCATCGCGATAAGGATGAACGTACCTCCTCGCAGTTATTCGTTGTAGCTGAGCCGCCGCAGATCTGTGGACAAGCATTTCTCTGGCCCAAACACCATTGGACTGTAAGACGGGTCAGTTTGGCTATGCTTTCCGGGAGAAGTGCGTCTTACATCTCTGTTGTCGAGGAATTGGCGCGCTGTTGAATCCAGCAGTAGCAGTGGGTGGCATGGATTGAGAGATAGTGGTTGAAGCTTGAGCAGCAACCGAAGTCACAAGGGCCGCGGAAGCAGCTGCGACAAGACCGGAACGCATCTTGATGGATATGTGATTTTACTGAGGCTTGAGATGGTCCCAGCTAGTGTATGGAGGAGATAAAAGCTACAGCAAGGGGAGTTGTTGATGCAAGATTGAGAGATGCGGTTTGTGTTTGGTTGTGGATATACAAGAGAAAAGAGTTGACAAACGGAGCTGCGGGCTTTATGCAGCGTGATTTGCGGGCATCCCTTGAAGGGAAGGCAGGTGCTGGCAAATTGCTAGCAAGTGAAGAGGAGGAACAGGGCAGGAACAGGGCAGAGGCTGGGTCTGAAATGCACCTGTCACATAGTCACATAGCAACGCCGGATAACTATCGTGGTTGCAATTTGGGCAAGAGATAAGTGCTAACTCTGCTCATAGCTTTGCGTCTAGCTTGCAAGGTTCGACCTACTGACATGATCTACTCATCCATTCTCTGTGCATGACTAGCTGTATTGCGTTACTCGTCTTTATGCACTCAGAGCTCTAGAGTTTGGCCAAGACAATGCTCCGCACAGTAGTGGTAATACGTACTAACCAGACCAGACCTCATACTACGTACGTAGTATTCATCCCACACCCGATTTCCGGGCCCTGGAAGCTCGGATCTTCCCCAGCAGCTTAGAGCTGCGCTGGAGATGCTTTGATGGTACGTCGCGGGAGCGATTTTGGAAGTACAAGTACGAAGCCGGAAATCCTAGTTAGGTGATTCTTGTAGCTACTTGATATTTTTGCAATAGACGCGCAAGTGTCACATGACCCCACTTTGCCGCAATCCTGCAAGGATGTCCTGGTAGAAGGTTCTTCCACCAGAGCCGAGGCATCAGATTCATTTCCCACCGCAGTTTTCCCACCACTGCACATAAGCAGTGCTGCATCCTTGGCTTAGGCTGGACGCGTAACCCTCTTCACGTCGATATTACGATGAATGCAGACACCCAAGACAGCCCAGCTCCAGCTGCAGCCATTTCGCATTTCAAGTCTACTACATGGGCGGGCAAGTATCTTGACTCCTCCAGCTACAGGCTCATTCCCACGTCTCCCAGATACCTCAAAGCCACTGGGGAAGATGCTTTCTTCGCTCGTACCATCAATACGCCCACAACTATTCCTTACTGTTTGAGCCTCTGCCGACACGACCTGAAGTTGCCAGAAGGAGGCTCGCCCTTCAATCGGATAGCTTCTCCCAGCACCAAATCATCTCCATCACCCACCCCGTCTGTGTTCGATTGTGTTTGGCTGCTTCATCTTGCTGAGCCTGGAATCAATGGGCATCCCAGAACTGCTCACGGCGGAGTCTTGGCCTGCATTCTAGACGAGCTCACTGGAATGTGCGCGATATTGCATCAAGCCGACAGGTCAATTCCCATATACACAGCCTCCCTCGAGACAAGATTCAAAGCACCGGTTATCCTCCCTACTGATGTTATTTGCCGGGCCTGGGTTACCCGGAAGGAGGGCCGCAAATATTGGCTGCGAGCCCATATTCTGGACGAGAGAGGTACGGTGATGACCGAAGGCGAGGCGCTTCTCATAGAGTCGAAGACCAAGGAAAAGCTCTGAAACCTTCCATCGACAGCTTTCAGCCACGGGACATCCTCGGGAACCTTTCAGGTAAAACAGCCTGTGTCAAATTTGACAAGAATAGAACGGGTAACCAACTGCAAGTGTTGCTGAACGGCTGGCCTTATTCACTCCTTGAACTCCGTCGGGCCATTTCCCATAGGTCTGCAAAATTCAATTATATCTGCAATAAGGACTGCCTACAGTATCCAAGAATGGATGGGCCCCTTTCATCAATTTTTGGTCTCGGTGAGCAGGCCGGTGAACACTACTGGACAAGTACACTGCACGTCTTGCGAGCCTCGAACTTTCAAGAAGTTGAACTGAGGGTTTAGAAGTGCTGTATTTTTCTTGCACTCTATAAGAACAATAGAAGGCAAGGGGGAAAAGTGGCAAGTTAAAAGAATGAGATGCATGATGTTGCACAATACACTTCATTTGGAGCAGAGAATTACTGGTTTCCAGACACCACTATACAGATCAGAAAATATCATATCCTGCTGAGGACCAAATGGGGAATCACGACGCATATTTGGCAACCCCTCTCTGGTGGGCGCTGATGGATGGCCCCTACGATCAGCCCACTGGGTGTTGGTGGCATGTCTAGACTCTGGGGTAAAGATACAAGTTGTCATTAGTTTACTTCTATACGAACAAGTCTCAGACAATATCAAGTCTGGTGTGTCTTCCTTCTACCAGTTCCCTGTACTCTTATAAGGTGCATATCTGGACCTGCAATTGGTCTGTCAAGTTGGACAAAGACGAAAGATGATATAACATCCACATGGTCCAATCTGAAAGCCCCATGTGTCACAAGCTGGATACAGATGGCAACACCCAAAGACTGGCATTGTAAGAGCGGTTCCACTATCTCTCCACTGCTGTTTTGTTGTCGACCTTCCCCATGCGCAGTTTGCAGTTTTATCATCAATAATGGCCGCCAGAACGGGGGCAACTGTCTGGAACACGTTTGCAGCTATGGCTCTCAGAGGATCATAGATACAGGTCATCAACATGTTGCATAAGAAGAGTTAAGCTAAGGCCGCCCCCCAAATCCCCACAAGGAAGTCCAATTAGCAGCTTCTGGGAAAGGCAAACGAGTGCCCAGAAATGGGATGATATGCATTAGCAGCCTTCCCCTCTGCGTGTGTAAGTTTCCATATCTATAGTATATGCCGTGGTGGATGCCAATGCTGTATCGATCAACCAGTCTCAAGGTTCAAGCGAAGCGTTCAAGCCTGTTGGCACTGCTTTTGTAACCAGGAGATCTACCAAGACAAATCTCACGAACCCAAGCTCGACGCTAGGCGCTCAACCATACTACGTAGATTACACGACACGGTAAGTTACCAAGGAAAGTGACGAGTCAGAGCACCAATCCCGTAGCTCATCCCTGGCTCGGCTCGCTTCGGTTCGCACTCCGAGCTTTGGACCGAAGCTTGGCGCCAAAATTTACGGGAGTCCTCAGATTCCTGCTATGCTACACACCCCTTTAATAGGGGATAGGACGCCCATTTCGGCCCTATTAATCTCATCCAGAGTTATTTTATCCCACTCCTCCTGGATAGCCCTGCGCAGAACAGCTTCTTCGAAGATGACCCCCCTGGACTTCAAGCGCTGCTTTATTATTCTCCAGATCGTCTCAATAGGGTTTAGATCAGGCGAAGTAGGAGGGTTCATCTCCCATTTGATCCCTAGATCGCTTGCGCCTGTTATCAAAGCCCAAGATCCTCGTGGACCGAATGATGTGAGCTAGCATGGCATCAGCGAATTCTGCGTGCACGCGAGCAATGGCCAGCAGGTCTTACAGGTTTTCCCGGGGTCACAAATGTGCTTAACAGCACCCGTGTGAGTTCGCTGATCTGAAAAGCGAAGTACAGGAATCCTAACACAAGAAAGAACCCCGCGATTATCGCCTGTGGTAGCGAGAGTTGCACAGAATTGATTGAGACTGCCATGTCGCAGAAGGTGGAGGGGCACTGGTTGGTTCTGACAGCCGTACGCTGGACTTCCTGCAACTTTATATTTCTTTGAATAGCACGTTCAGAGCCATTAGCTATACCAATAGTCTTTGCCACCTTGAAATGACTAGAAGAAGCAAAGCCAAAATTGGCATCTTCTACTGCCTCAATTGCTTCACACTCATATTGAGCAAGTACTTGCTTTCGACCTCGATTGTGGACTTTCTGACTGCGGCGCGCAGTTCCTTCTTTGATGATTCGATAGCCAGTTGTTTCAGATATATTATGTATCTTAAATGGCTCTGTGCGAGGTAGTTTGCCAGCTGTGTGGCGTGCATCGGCGAGGAGGCGCGCGCGGCGCGGCGTATCAAGCATCGTTTTCAGCGTTCGTGGGGCCGCAGGAGAAGGAGGATCTATCGAATAAGACTTTCGGCAGACGCGCCGTCTATTTCCCTGTTCAGAACTCATTATTCCCTAAATTTGAGTGAGTATTGGTAGAGAAATAAGGGAATGAAGTAGGGGGGGAGAGGAAGGGGATCTGAGAACTCCCGTAAATTTTGGCGCCAAGCTTCGGACCCTTCCGCAGCCTCATAAACCGGTTGACCTTTTCTTTTCACAAATGTCAAACGATACGGAGTGGTGCATCAAAAGTCTTCAATATACGCTAGCGAGATGAGTAAAAGCTAGCCCTTCTTGTGCTAATTATTTTACTAGTAATCGGCAGGCGCGTAGAGATGATCAAAAGGGGCAGATGGCTGAAGCTTAATTGACATAGGCCTGTGAACTACGTCAAGTAGTCTAAAGAGGGCCCTGGGGATCTACTACGGTACTAGGCAGAAGTACTCATAGCGCGGCGCTAGTATTTGTACGTAGTAGTCTGGATCAGATTGCTTTCGTAACCGCCAAACCTGATAGTCAATAGCGGTTTTCACACAGCTTATCTGCATGGTTGAAACGAGATAAGCTCCCACAAAGTGAATGCCATGATTGTAGCGCTGTAAATGTAACTAGCTCCTACTAGCACCAAGCTATGAATATTTCTGCCCCCTACTGTAGGAAAGAGGGGGGGTCATAGCAGCAGCTCTACGTAGTAGGGCTCCACCTCTCTAGCACATTTTTTACCTGGCGCTAAAGCTTGGATCGACTGTGCTAGTAGCGCTCTAATTTTAGCGTATATTGATGACTTTTGATGCACGACTCCATACCAATTACCCATTTGGTATGCCTGCCTTACAGTATGCCCTATCGGCGCCGGCGCTGGTGATATTCCCAAACTTTCCTCGAAACCAGGATACGTCGAAGAAATAACCGTTTGAAGATAGAGTTTTCTCAATATGAAAAGTACCTAAATCGGGATTGATTGTCATTGGACAGGGCATACATAGTTTCTCTGACTCTGAAGTTTTTGAACCTATCGAACCCGTCTTCCACGACAAGAAGAAAGGTTGATAGTCGTCCGCATTGAGAATCGCAAGGGGGGAAGAATATTACAACACTCGAAATACAATCCCGCCCTATTCACTACCCAGCGTATTTTCATCACAACCAATAGTTAACCCTGTTTCAGCTGCTTTGGCATTGTATAGGAACGAGAACGCGGCCCTTGATGGAGATAGGCGGGAATACGCGGGCTTCGGACGGGGTGAGCATTCTAACTCCGCATTGCTCGCCATTTTTGGGAACTGCCAGGAGCTAGGTATCAGAATGTTTGAGACTTCTTACAAATTCTAAGTGATATCTGACCGATTAAACGATTATGAGAATATGTTTGACGGGTGTTCTAGAAGGTGATGGCCAGAGGTGAGAATGATCAAGCATTCTGGCAGCAAGCTCCGGCCCTTTCAATATATTTACATGCTCCTGATTCTACTCTTCAGCTTCTTTCCGGATTTGATCTTGTCAAACTACTCAACACATTTGACACCCAGTCTTACAACTTCCCCCTTAGCCAATTCCCTGTCTCCTTCCCCCCTAAGTTAAGATCGAACACCACAACAATGGCGACTGGGAAACAGCAAAAGCGACTCTTCATGACCGGCGCCAGTGGTTACATCGGCTCCGTGGTCACAGAGCTTGCCGCAATGGACGGCTACGATGTACATGCGCTCTCGAGGAGCGAGACAAGCGATGAGAAGCTGCGCAGCCTCGGCGCCGTGCCCGTTCGCGGGGACATCACCTCGCTTGACGTCCTGCGCCGTGAGAGCGCCGAGGCAGACACCGTTATACACCTCGCAACCGCTTATACGATCGGCGTCGGCACGTACGATGCGGTCATGTCTGTTGACATGGCCGCCGTAGATGCCATCGCCGACGGCTTAGCGGGCACCAACAAGCCGCTGGTAATCACCTCAGGCACACTGTTAGCTGAGCCCGACCCTACAGGAGCCGAAACCACCGAGGCATCACCGCCATCGTCACACCCTATCAGCGCTCGTATCAAGACTGAGCAGCACTCGCTCGCGCTAGCCAGAAGAGGCATCCGGGTTGTGGGCGTGCGGGTGGCGCCGTTCACTTATGGCCGTGGCGGCAGCGGCGTCAAGCTGTTCATGGGCATGTCGGCACGAGCCGGCAACGTTACGTGCGTCAACGGCGGCAAGAACCACACCACTGTCGTGCATGTTGATGACGCCGCGCGTCTATATCTGCTAGCAGCGCAGAAGGGCAAGGCCGGTGAGCTGTTCAATGCCAGTGGGTCCACCGACTTCACGGCGCGCCAGATATTCGACGCCATAGCCGCGGCGCTAGAGGTACCAGTACGGGACATCACGTATGAGGACGCGCAGACGCAGGTGGGAGAGACGTTCGCGTGGTTCTTGTAGGCCGAGAACAGGGCGTCTGGCGCAAAGGCGAGGAAGGAGCTGGGATGGCAGCCGAAGGGGACCAGCATTTTGGACGAGATCAACCACGGCTCGTATCAGCCGGTCGCGCAGGCGCTGCGGAAGCCGCCGCCTGCTTGAAGGTGCTCAAAGAAAAAATCCCAGGGTTTCAGGCGAGCCAAAGACGGAGTCGCTGGATTCTCAAAAGGTTCTACCTCATATATGTGGACCAGCTCAGAAATTTTGACACCTCCTAATCAAGGGGAGAATGCCAAATCACCTCTTGACACCCTGAATCTCCCTGACTTCTGGTCAAATGGACAGATTACTAAAATATGTCTTCTTTGGTGACAGTGATGGGGCTGATTTAACATAACTTGCTAGGTGACAATCACTGAACATGAAATGAAAAATGCACTAACTTACTCCGTACCTAGCAGGAGAAGGCCCTCTGAAAAATATGCCTAAATTACCATCAATGTGTGCTTAGTTTCGGCCTAACCGTTGATATGATCTAAGTTAGTTTACATAGAATTATGCAGCTAAACATTTGAAGTCCAATAAGATTATGTTATTTCAGACGTCATCTTAGGAAAATGACGGTCAAACGATGCCTAAACTATGGTCATTTGAAGCCTGGAAGCGCCGGAGGACTGTTTTTCATGTTTGAAAGGGGTAAAGAATTTTCGGTACTTTTGCTATTATGTGCTACCTGGCTACCGGCATATGCACAATTCTTCGCCTGACAAAGGTAATCGAGGCATGGATACCTTACTGTTATGCACGTCCATGTAGCAGGGAAGAGGCGTTGTAAAAGGGTGCTGCGCATTATAAAAGGGATGGCAGCCACTTCCTCTCTCATGTTGCTTTATTGACAATTTAGACCGGCTATCTAAACTCTGCAAAGTAATGAAAGGACCTCATTACTTCAAGCCATTTGGAACCGCCTCAACCTTTTCTGGCATGGCTATCGGCCCACCAGGCGAGGTTGGTAATCGTGCTGTCAGAATCTCCACTCCATCCTCTGTAACAAGAAGGGTGTGTTCGAACTGTGCTGTTCGAGAACCATCCGTTGTGACGCTAGTCCAGTCATCCGGCCACGTCTTGTCTCGATACGAACCGAGACTGATCATCGGCTCAATGGTGAAGCACATTCCAGCCTTTGCGGTGCCTACTGCCTTGTTCTTCGCGTAATGAGGAATATTGGGCACTGTGTGGAAGAGTTGATTGATGCCGTGACCACAATAGGTCTTGATGACGCTGCAATCACGGCTCTTGGCATGCTTCTCAATCACATTCCCCGGATCTCGGAAGAGCATTCCTGGCTTGACAATCTCAATCGCCTTATCTAGACATTCGCGAGCCGTCTCTACCACGCGGACCGAGTCTGCGTCTGCTCGTGCTGGCTCACCTACGTGGTACGTTTCATTCAGGTCGCCATGGAACCCTTCATGGTAGAGTGTGACGTCGAGATTGAGAATGTCGCCTTCGAGAAGAACTCTTTGGTCGGGTATGCCATGGCAGATAACTTCGTTAGGCGATGTGCAGACTGACTTGGGAAAGTGATAGTAATTTAGGGGTGATGGATATGACTGACAACATTAGCAGCTAGGATTACAATGTTGACTCATAGGGGATTATACATTTCTTTCTAGACATGCCTTGTGGACGACTTCATCAAGATAGTCAGTCGTTATTCCAGGCCGCACCTCTGTCGCTGCTATGTCCAGAACTTCTCTGGCTAATCTGCAAACCTTTCTCATTCCCTCTTGCTCTTTTGCATCCAGGACCTTGACGTTGTGCCTGCCCACAAATTTCTGCTCTGATCGAGGTATGCCATCTGCAGCATAATCGGGGTGTGGTATCGATCGGGGCACTTCTCGCTTGGCAGATAAAGGATAGACCGGTCGTAGGGGGCCAGTAAAGCCAAAGGTAGGGAAGGGGTTGAAATGACCACTTTCTGGATCGGGTTCAGACACGATGTTGGGAGGAAAGAGTTTGCGCAAGGGGTTGGTACTTTTGTGGACCTTCTTGTGCTCTCCCTGGTGTCATCAAGTCAGCAAGATGTCTTCCCTTGGAGGTTGCAAGCGTGCACCTTGTCAACCCCAGAAATTGCATACCCAACTCCGCTTAAAACAGTCCTGCGAACAAAAGTAGCTCTCTGTTCCCTGCTTCAGACAAGTTGGGCATTGCAATGTGCTTGCATCGTTTTCGCATTCTAGGCCGGGGCATTTTCGTGGTTTCTCAGCTGCCTGGTCCATGGCGGACAGACTGATCCGTTTGCTGCAAAGAAGACAAACTAATAGAATGCGTTCTGAAGCGTCCAAAAGGCCTCGAGAAATGCCTCGAGGAATACCTGGTGGAGAATAGTGTAGTGCCTGAGGTGTAAGGCGTAAGGCTTGGTATCAGAACTGCCAGCAACCCGCATGCGGCCAACAACCAACAACGGATAACGCACAACGCACAACGCAATCTCGTATTGTGCTGACGAAGCTAACGTAGTAGCTTCCCAGCGGGCCGCCCCACTCGGCATTCCAAGCTGCATGTAAAGGATTAGGTTCGATGAATCATTCTTCACCTCACACACACATTCAAGCGGTTCCTTCGTCCTGCAAATGGTGGAAAGCATGGGACGTCGGCGGCCTCAGAAAGTTGTCGTGGTGGGTGCTGGGCCTGTTGGTTCGCTGGCTGCACTTTACGCTGCCACTCGTGGCGATGACGTTAAGTTATATGAGCTTAGAGGAGGTGAGTGACATTCTTATTCTACTTCCAACTCCAACCACCCAGTAGAAAGGTTGCAATTGTATGTTTCTATGACAATAAGTGTTTGCATCTTAACGAGATCCTGTGTCGAATGTATCCAACTCCTTTTCTCCCATGATGCCAAGACTTGACCCCTGAACTGGATTGAGGAGCCAAAAGAATGCCTAACATGGAAGATACTGGAAGAAACATCAGAGGCACTGCTCCCATTGATGAGAGTTCTCATTTCAATCAAATCAAGCTAAATCTATTCTGTCCAGACCTCCGAGACACATCAACAACCCCTCTCAATTTCACCAAATCCATCAACCTCGCCCTCTCAGAGCGAGGTATTAACGCTCTTCGCCATTCCCAGCACCCACAGCTCGTCAACAGCATAATAGTCGAAACAATCCCCATGTACGGCCGCATGATCCACGGCCTCTCCACCACAGGCACCCCGACCCAATCACCACAAGCCTACGACGTCCACGGCCGGCATATCTCCGCTGTCGACCGGGGCGGTCTGAACAAACGACTCCTCGACGAGCTCGAGAAGATGCCCAATGTTGAATTCTTCTTCAACCACAAACTAACCGGCGCCGACTTTCAAGGCAGGAAAGCATGGTTCGAAGTCCGGAGGCAGCCCGAGGAGAAATCAGGTCCCGGCCATCGCGCCCCAGGGATCGAGGTCTCATTCGACCTTCTTCTCGGTGCAGATGGCGCTCACTCCGCCGCAAGATACCACATGATGAAATACGCACAGACGAACTTCTCACAAGAATACATCGACACATTATGGTGCGAATTCACCATTCCCCCGTCTCTAGAACACGACTTTCGGATATCGCCCAACCATCTCCACATCTGGCCTGCCGGGGATTTCATGTTCATTGCCATTCCCTCCCTCGATAAATCATTCACCTGCACACTTTTCGGCCCAACTAGCCTTTTCGAAAATCTCAAAAACAAAAAAGACGCGTATCATTCCCCACTGGAAGACCTCTTCACCGAGCACTTCCCAGGCATAATCCCGGACCTCATTTCCAGACAAGACGTTCACGAGCAATTCAACCGTAACCCCCACCTCCCCCTCATAAACATAAAATGCAATCCGCACCATTTCGACAGCAGCGTCGTGATACTAGGCGATGCCACGAATGCCATCGTGCCGTTTTACGGACAGGGCATGAATGCCGGTCTGGAGAGCGTACGTATACTATTCGAGTTTCTCGATGACCATGGTGTCTACGCTGCCAATAAGAAGGCAGACGAGGTGCAGCAAGCAAGAGCAGCAGCGTTGGCAGCATACACCGCATACCGAGTCCCGGATGCACATTGCATCGCTGATCTAGCGTTGCAGAATTACATCGAGATGCGATCGGATGTGCGCTCTCCGATCTACCGGATCAGGAAGTTCGTGGAAGAGACGCTAGATCGCTACCTGCCGGGATTGGGGTGGGCGACGCAGTACTCGAGGGTGAGCTTCGGAAATGAGCGGTATAGTAAGATTGCGCAACAAACGAATAAGCAGGGGAAGATTTTGGCAATGTCTCTTGTTGCGGTAGCTGCTGGATTGATAGGGGGAGGTGGTGGGCTGCTGGCCCGGCGCTGGTATCATGCTAGACAGGGGCCGGGGTGGTTAAGCAAGTGGTTGATGACGACTGGCCGGGAGGTGGAAAAGAGAGGACGGTGACGCGGCTGCAATACTGAGCGTTTAGGAACCGTTCCGGGTGGAGCTTGGTATAGAGCGCACATCTGATTCTACACTGGTGATTCAGGTGCTGCTACTGGATTGTGTTCAGCTCTGGGGCGTAAGCTTTTCGTTGCAAGCTCGTCAACGCTTCGATGTGTCGAGGATTATCTTGTTCAGACTTTTGGAAAGAATACCTGTGCTTGTCGGAATTTCTGCTTTGAACTTGTACAAGATGGTTACTTTTGAATAGACACAAGTAATGGGCGCGGACAGCTGAACAAAGATCCCCATGCCAGCCTGCTTCGCACTCTGGTTTCATATGATCAAGATCCTAAATCCATGGCTCGCAGGAGTTCCTCCAGCTGCGCCAATTCGCAAACTACCTCTCGGTAAACGCCCTCTTGCAGCGCAGGTTGGCTCAAGTCATCACCACGGCCAAAGTCGCATGCGAGACATTTTCTGACGATCTCTCCGTAGCGTGATCCTGATTTTGCTGAGACGAGCCGACTCAAGCGCTTCGCGGTGAAGAACAGGGTGTGCCTCTCATCGTGGCTGTTAGCAACGTCGCATGACTGTTGCATGCTGCGGAGCGGCTTTTGATATGCTAATTCCAAAAGCATGACACCTAAGCCAAACAGAAAGTCGTTAGGTGCGAAAGGATAGCATGTGGTGCTCTGACCACCGTTGGTTGCAACAGTTGGATCTCGAACAGAGACATCAACGAAAGGTTCTTTCAGATCTTCGATAAGGGCCGTGCTTGACGGTTGCTGTAATTGGAAAAGGACATCACTGCTACCCCAGCTGTTTCGAAGCCACGGTGTAGAGTAGAACTGGAGCACTGCAGTGGCAAGCTTCCTTGAGAGGCGTAGACGCTCGTACTGTGCTATCCCAGCTGTTTGATCTGAGTTGCCCTGATACTGGACAAGGAGCTCAGCCAACGACTTGGATGGAACATTAAAAACTTCGTCCTCCCTCGGTTCTTGCCCTTTTAGATAGATTAAGTGTTTTGTTTTTGATGAATGTTCGAAATACCCAATGCAACATTCAGAACGAGGAGCTGATCTGCTTAAAAAGTTTTGCAAGTGATTGCAAAAGTTGCTGTGGGAGCACAGATTGGCTAGAGGCGGCTTGGACACCGTTTCTGGTACGTACAAAGAGCTAAGTTGTAGGCGACTGACCCCTTGCATTCCAGAATGGGGGTTGGTTGGTTCGTCGTCTTGCCTGGCGGATTGGGAACCATGCGCTGATCGGCTGACCGGACCCATGGAGGACGTAGCCCGAAGGATTTCGTTCTTGGATGCAAGATTTGCTAACTCGCGCTTTAGGCGTTTGTTATCTTCGTGGAGTTTGTTAGATGCCGCTTCTAGATCGTTAAGTCCAGCTTCAAGTTCTTTGGCATGGGTTTTGCGTTTACGGAATGCGCGTTGACTGTGGGACCACAGATCTGATAGGGGTGGCTTTGACACGGTTTCTGGTGCTTTGCAAGTAACTGCTGGTGACCGTGATCGGGGCGGTGACGAGTGCTCAAACTGAATGCACTTTCCCCGGAGCTTCGAAGGTTGACGTTCGGGTGGTGGAGAGGAGGGCGTTCGGCCTCGCTTTATTGATTGGCCGAGAACTGCAAGAGGTTTATGTTCTGTTGAAGATGGACAAGCATGGGCCGCTGGTGTAACACTCGACTCCACTGTAAACCATGAAGTCTGCTTCGAGCCGGATGTCGAAGCTATAACTTGCCTAAAGCCAACACTGAACCGGACCTGGTGGGCTCCTGGCACAGGTATGGGTTGCAGACTGAAATGTGCTTGGTGCTGGGTGTGCTGGGTGCAAGCCGTGCTCAGAGCTTCGTAGAGATTTCGTGAGGCAGTCTGGACCAACACAAATTGCTGTATCACTTGTTGTGCCTGAGCGGATGGCCGCGATAGTGGGCGGCGCTGCTCACTTCTTTTGGTCTGTGATACCAAGGTTCTAAGGTTCTCTATGAGCTCTTTCAACCTATTCATAGATTCTTGAAGTCGTGATTGCGACAACGCGAAGCGAGACTTTTCTCTGATTTGATGCCGCCAAAGCCTATCGTTTCGCATGTCGCCCTACAGCACGCACATAAACTTCTAGGAACCATCGTTTGAGAGGAGCCACCTACCTCTTTTGTCAGCTGTGCCACCTCTTCAAACCCACTCAGTCTGGCCTCCATCTCGGACAGCTCGGCATTGATCCATTGCACCAATTCGAGGAAGGACTCCCGTGTATTCCCTAAACTTGCCACGAAAGACTCTTCTAGGTCTTTATCGTCCCATCCGGATTGGTCTGCGTTGTGTAACAGCTGCTCAGCTCGGTCCCAACCCACGCAAGATGCCAACAACGATCGGATTTCGCCCTGAAATATAGTTCTTTGAAGCCTCACCAGTTTCGAGAGATGGCCAACTTCTTGTGAGAAGTGTCGGTACCTCTTTAAGGCCCGAGCGGCAGAAGAGAAGTTTTCGGCGACAGATATGACAATGGGCAGAACCGCAAGAGCTAGGCTCGCCGCTTCCACAGCGCCCGTCATCGGTGACTTGCAAGGACGTAGCACTGGAAGAATACCGAACAGTAGGAAGTCGATTTGGAACAACAAGGAGGATTATCCAGCTTTGTCTCTTTCATTGTCTCTGTGTAAGCACAAGGCTGCAAAGAAATCTCACAGCCTCAAAGCAGCATGGCTTGGGCTGAAGCCCAATTGGCCAGCCTCTTACTGCGCCACGGGGTGTTGCATGGTGCTTCGTGGATACTGAATGAAGCCCGGCGCGCCAACATCAGTATTTGCCCTCCCTCGAAATAGTCCTTCCTCTTGAGACGAGCATGAACGGCATGCATTGACAGATCTTATGAGACGATGGCTTCAAAGAACGTAGAAGTCGCGGTGGCAGGCAAGCAATCGCATCTCCAAAACTGGATCAACGACCAATCATCGAATTCACATCCAAGCTCACACTTCGAGCTCGGCTTTGTAACGTCGTTTTACCAAGAATGTTGTCAATCACTTGCACAAATCTGGGATGCTTCCCAAACTCAGAGCACTGTGGTGCCAAAGCGGCAGTTGCAAGAAAGTATCACTCGCTTTGTCCTTTGGGGCTCGGGATGGAGCGAAGGCCGCCTCGACTTCTGCCTCAATGGTTCGGTTGAGCTACGAAACAACGTGATAGAGCTTCTTTCAGGCCTTGCGAAAGCGCTTCTTCAAAGTAATTTCTTTTTCAACTAATTTCGGTGGTTATTAGCTGACGACAGTCCCTAGTATGCGATTCCCATCTCAGACAACCGAAACCCGTTACCCAAGAGCATGTTCGTGCTCTTATTGCCTTGAGAGAACAGGCGAGGCAATTTTCGGTCCCAGTCGACAGTGACAGCGAAGCCTCTGACAGCGAAGCCTCTGACAGCGAAGCCTCCGACAGCGAAGCCTCCGACAGCGAAGCCTCTGACAGCGAAGCCAGCGAAGCCTCTGACAGCGAAGGCGAAGCCTCTGACAGCGAAGTCTGCCTCAGTGATGAGGAAGCTTCCACAGCAGAGATATCTGTTCCAAGATTGTGGCGTCGCGCATTGGAAAACATAGAATTCCATACAAAATGCCTCATGGATCTTTTGCCATCAATGGAGCAGACCTACAAAAACGTATGCGACCCGGGTCTACGTCTGGATGATGGAAGTGGAAAGGTCTCCTTTCGAGTCACCAAAGCTGCACGACCCTATGTTTTGCAAGTTCATGATAAGTTCAGGAATGCTAGTATTTCTCTTGCCGAGCGTTTGGGAGAAGCCAATTGGCAAAGATTTATGCGTGTTCGACAACGTATGGCAGGTGGACTGCGTGCGAACGACTTGGAAGATCTTCATGTCGGTGCACGCTCTACATGCTTTCCAGCATCCAAATTTCACGACTCTGGTCCGGGAAGCTCGCTCCGCCCAGAGTCTTCGCTTGCGCTGACGAATGCCTCGCACTCGTCATTCGTCTCCAACCTCTCAGAGAAAGATGGTTCTCGCGCGCGAGTTCCTGCTACACCTAACGAAGTAGCAGAAGGCATATCATTTGAGTGCTTCATCTGTAGGCGTATTTTGACAAAGATCAAGAATCGCATTGATTGGAAGTAAGTTGAGAAGCAAAAAGGAGAACAAGCATGCTAATAGTATTAGGATACACGTGTTTGCAGACCTCCAACCATATATCTGTACGTTTGACAGCTGTCGAAGCATGCTTGTCACGTTCCCAAATAGGAAAGCATGGTCCGAACATGAACTCACACAGCATCGTACCCACCAGAGCTGGAGATGTCGTTTGTGCGCAACCACGTTTACTAGCGAGACTAGCCTTGCAGAGCACTCGCAGCTAAAACATGAGCTCCCACAGCATTATTGCAAGCTTCTTGCAGCATCCTCGGTGGCGAAATCAATCGACCCTCTTCCAGTAACAGATGAGCGGTGCCCTCTTTGTCTTCAAGAAGGATGGCCAAGCCGGCGAAAATTCGAAACGCATGTTGGACGTCACCTTGAAGAGATAGCGCTTTCAGTATTACCAAGAGACGTGGAAAGTGACTCTGATCAACAAAGTGATGCCGATGCAACATCAGAGGTCAGCACTTGGTCTGCTCGTGATGACAGGATTTTGGAAATGGCACGCACTACGAAGTTGAGCTTGGCAGAAATCTGTGAAGACTACCTACCTCACAAAAGCGCGGTCAGTTGCCAGAGACGGTACGCGCGGCTAAAGCTCAAGCAGAACATATCCATACGTCCTAGAAATAAAGCAGTGGAAGATAGCTCTCCGACTTCAAGTTCCCCACAATGGGAACACAGCCAACGCCAAGCACCATCACCCACACCAAGCCCCCGTTCATGAAGAAGAGACTATCAGAATCTCTAAACTTGATAATACTCGTCGTGGTAAGGCTGAACGACAGCGAGCCCGTACTGCTGAAGAAGACTTCAGGATTGAGCGCAAACGTCGTCGCTCGGTCCAGGATATCAACCGTGAACTGGCCGAAAGGTGAGCCCAAAGAAGAAGAAGAAGTGCTGAGATGGCTACTGCGTACCTACCACAGGAGAACGAGCGACTAGATCGTGAACGACGACTTGCCGAACGCGAAGCAGCTGTGCATGAGCTGGAACGAGTACGTGAGTGGGGACGAGGGCATGAGCAAAAAAGAGTACGTGGGTCGTTCAGCGGTACTTACGACGATCTATCAATAGCAAAAGACGCTCCTGGGTACGGCAGTCAAGCTTCTCAGCCTGATGTATTCACGTCTCTCAATGCAGATCTGAAGGTCAAGCCAACACTACTAAAGGAGCATGAACGCCAGAACCATAGCGCAGATCCAGAGCATCAGGCCACTTTTGGTTCGTCAACTCCCGCTCTTCCTGATGATGCTCAGTCCAGATTTGTACCGACTGGATCAGGGGTGCAATATACTCATTATACTTATACGCAATGGCAAGAGAAAAGGGACATTATCACCCAGCTATATTTAAAGGAAGGTAAGTCTTTACGCCAGGTGAAGAACATCTAAGGACAAAGTACGATTTCAGACCCACGTATGCATCTCCCCACAAAACACAATTGTGAAGCTTGTACTCACCAACATCCTAGAGATCGAATGTACCGAAGAAAATTAGAGGAATGGGATATTGGCAGAAGGCTAGAGATGAGTGCTATACTACTTGTGGCAAGACAGCGACAAGCAGCTGGCCAAGAATCAGCTTTCTGGATCAGAGGCAGGAAAGTTGATATGGAAGAAGTCCGTCGCTACTTCGAAGCAAGGGGGGAAGATCCAGATTCGCTAGATGTCCAGGATAGCCCGATCCCGTCAACCATAACCGTCGAGACACCACCACCAAATCTCACGTTGAAGCATGACTCCGAGCTTGACATGCGCACTTCGAATTCCTTTGGTGGAATTTAGCAGCTATTCCCTCGCAACCACTTACTTAGCAAATCTTCACCAAGTGTCTGGCGTGAACTACCTGGCAATCAATGTCGGCTTGGTGTTCGATCCAACTTGCGTACCAGGCGACACAATGTCTGATCTGCCCTCGCTCTCTTCACTCTCTCAGAATATAGACAATTTTGGGCGGAAAGGCATGTCGTTCGAAAGCAAACTCATTCAAGAGATTACGGCTCGGAGGAGGAGTGAGTCTTCTCCAATCTCACATGCAGGTGAAGAGGAGAGGACACCATGGCACAAAGGACCTTCACCGTTACCACGAATGCAAGTGGTTCAATCATGATGTTGGGTTGTATTTTCCTACAGCATCGTCCTCCATTGCTCTGAACTGTGGAGGATTGTCATACATCGATAGAGCGACGATGCCGTGCATATCACCGACACGGTTCGATTATCAGAACGAGCAATAGTGGAGAAAACAAATTATGGCTCTCTTCAGCGTATTTCGGTAACTGAAGACGTAGAGCACATCTTGCTTGGACTAATCATTTTGTGCTATAGACTTCAAAAGCTTTATTTAATACTGATAACGAAGTGATGGAGGCTTTCTTACCACAGAGGAGGTTGGCTTCAAACGATTATGAAGTGTACTACGAAGTAATAGAAACTAGAAAATCTGAGACAGCAGCTCCCTGTGTCTTGGCGCTACATATCGGGTGTTAGGGCTGGGTGGCAGGGCATGACTTCATCACTTCCAACTTGCTGGAGGAGTATGCCCATACTGGTACGCTAGGATCAGACCACTGCAGATTCAAGCTGCAATTGACATGCTCAAGGCATCCTTGTAGTGATTGTGATGAATCAATGGCAGCTTAGTGGCCATGCTGTGAAACAGAGCATGTGCTTTCACCCAGCTGCAGCCCCCCGATTGCCCAATGACAGACATGCCAATTGTGATCCAATACATCATGATATTCGGCTCCGTCATGACAAGGCACAGCTCTCCACTCTAGTATGAAACGTGGTCGTGTTTTAAAGCGCGTACAACCCTTAAACCTTGCTTCTACATTCAAATCCCTACATGTTTATCCGCACTTTCTGCCTAAGAAAGACTCAGATCCTACACAGCTCGAGACCCCAAACCCGCTACGTCTCCATCGCCACCACCGCCATGGATGCAATCAAAAGCACCCTTGCCGAGAACTTCGGCGGCCCCACCCACAATCTCGTAGACGCCAAACACCAGTTCACGCTCGAGGAGACACCGGACCAGTCCGGCAAAGTGGCGCTCGTGACCGGCGGCAGCCAGGGCATCGGCTACGGCGCCAGCTTCACGCTGCTGCAGAAGAACCTCGCCAAGCTGTTCGTGCTGTCCATGAGCGGAGAAACCATGGACGGAGCCGTCAACGACGTCAAGGAGAAGCTCGGTGAGGAGGCGGCCAAGAAGATCACCTGGCTGCAATGCGACCTCGCGGACTGGAAGGCCGTGGCCGAGACCAGCCAGAAGATCCGCGACCAGACCGACCGGCTCGACATCCTGGTCCTCAACGCCGCGCGCGGCATCATGACCTACCAACTCACCGACGACACGGGCGTGGATCTGCACATGGCGCTCAACCACATGGGCCACGTGGTGCTGACGTCGCACCTGCTCCCGGTGCTGAAATCCACCGCGTCGGACGGGCACAAAGTGCGCATCACCGTGCAGAGCTCCAACGCGCACCAGAACGCCCCCTCAGACACCCGGTTCGCCTCCCTCGACGAACTCAACCGCGACCTCGGCCCCAACGGCCAGTACGGGCGATCGAAGCTGGCCAACCTCCTCTACGCCCGCTACCTGGCCCGGCACCTGACGCCGCAGAACCCCAACATCCTCGTCAACGCCACCCACCCGGGTTTCGTCGAGACGAAACAGTCCACCAAAGACATCCACGAGCCGTATCCGATCGCGGGTGGGGTGATGAGCACGCTCATGAACCCGCTCAAGAAGGATCAGTGGATGGGTGCGGTCAGTACGGTGTATGCTGCGACCAAGGTGGAGGACAGCGGGCTCTATATCTGTCCGCCGGCGATCCCGGAGCAGGGCAGTAAGATGGCGCAGGATGAGGAGCTGGGCGAGCAGCTGATGAAGTTGACCAGGGAGATCGTCATGGAGAAGACGTACAGCGACAGCAAGGAGAAGAGTTGTCCTTTTGAGTTTTATTAAATCCGAGATGGAGCTTTGGTGGATATTAGATGGTTCTTAGCAGGAAGAAACCCTCGGAAAGCTCTGTTCTAAATTACCATCCATGTGTGCTTAGTTTAAGCCTAACCGTGATATGATCTAGTTTGTGTAGAAATATATAATTAAGACGTGTAAAACCCAATGAAATTATGTTATTCTAGTCGTTTCTTCCCAGATTATGATCATATGACGGTCGCATTATGATCTCTGGACGACCTTTACAATCACAAATCATTGGTTAATGTGCTAAGGACCAATAAGGCGTCATTTTCGGAGCCCTTTCTCCAGGTAAGTTGGGTATCGGATTGCCCAGTAACCAGTTGCTGCAATGGTCAGTATTGTAGGCATTTTCGGTCGACTTTTTTCGTTGTCGAATATGCTGTTCTCGGGATGATTGCCACGGCAGAAGCTAGACGGTCTTCCATCTTGACGTTGTCCCTCTCAACAGACGCAAAGCGCTGCAAAAAAAACCCCCCAGTCTCGCCGCCTGGTCCTAGCAGCTTTCGATGCATGAACAAAAAGTGCTTCGCTAGGCTCCACCCAAGATAATCCCTTCTCTAAGATGTAGCCGAAGTACCGAAGCGATAGCTGGATGCTGAGTATTCTTCGTGCAGCCCATCTCATCAACAGAAGATCCATTGAATATAGAGGCAGAGGCCGAAAATGCAATGCAGGAATCGCTAGTCAACAAGATAATCCAGGAAAGTCAGGATCAGAGAGCTTGGGTGAGAAGAGAAGAACACTGGATTCGCTGGCAGTGAACGGAGAGCCTGATCCTCCAACCTGTGCCTCCAACCTGTGCCGCTTGACGTATTCTCAGAGGTGCCATCCAGAAAAAGCGAATTGTCAGATGGCAGAAGTAAATCCCAGACCGGAGTGTTAAAAATCGCAACATGTGCGAGAAGGTTGAGAACAAGACTTGAGATAGAAGGTGTGAAAAGGAGAGCGAGTCAAATCGCGGACCGGATGAAGAAACAAGGGCTGCCAATAGATGTAAGACAAATTATGTTGTTGATTGATAGACTGAGGCTGGTACTGAGTCTGGGATTGTTTGCTTCGTCGAATTAATCTGCTCTTGCTGTACAGTTTTACATGGCAACTCCAACTCACCGCCTCGATGGGACCGCTAGATAGGACATCGCCTTTGATTTTATCTTTCGACAAATCACTGGGGAAAGAACGCCGCGCTCAATGGACAAAATCCTAGTACCACATAGCACTCACTGCGAGACCCCTCTTGTACCAGTAGACCCTACTGCCCTCCGAGGGTAGAGACGATGTTGACTGTCAGGACTGCTCATTCCAGCTTGCTGTTGCGGCGTCTGAAATTGAAACCCTTCGCTCTCCGGATTTGGCGACGTCTCAGAGCTAGGAAAGCCATAACTGGTACTATCGTGGGTGCTCACGGGTGTTCTTTGGCCGGTTGCAATTGGTGGTGAGACTTGCCCATGCGGTTGACGTTGATATTGAAACCCGCTACTCGTTAGCGTGGGAGGTGGGGAGCGAGGTTGAGGTGCAATGATGCCTGTTGAAAGTGGGGATGGCATCCGTTTGGGGGTCATGCTCGCTGCTTGTGAGTGGTAGGCGCTTGTTTGAGGACTACCGGCCAGAGCAGCTGAGTCGAGTTCGTGGGATGCATTGCGCCCAGGGCCAAAGTCAGGAGCTAGGCTCATTGGAGGAGGGTCGCCATAACCCGTCTTGACTTCTTGGGGATGGCTATATGGAGATGAGAATTGTGGTGGTGGCGAGGTAGGTGCCAGCGACGGGTGATGAGTCGACGGAGCAAAGTTTGAAGGAGGCTGTTTTTGACTCTGTTTCCGCTTGCGTGCTCGTCTGAAGAGGAAAAAGCCAAGTCCTATTATTGCAACGGCCCCAAGAGCACCTCCGACGCCGATTCCAGCGGCAGCTCCTACACTAAGCTTACTACCTCCGCTTGAAGAGTATACTTCTGATGGGAGGACTCCTGCTGTAGGTTGGCCGTCTGCGCCGGTTGCAGTAGCAGTTGCACCGCCTGATGTTCATTTGTTAGTAATTGAGGGCTGCTCCTGTAGTACAGGGGTCATACTAGTTAAGGGAGGCAGAGAGCTCGTGCTGGCGGGGCATTCAGAACAGAGGACCATAAGCGGATTTGATTTGAATATGATGCCCTGTCCACCAACACTTTGAAGCTGGTAAAAGTATTGTCCTGGGGTTAAATTGGATCCTGGCAAGCATAAGTGTACGCTCGAAGAAACCTGTGTGCACAGACGTACCAGCTGACCAGAGGAAGAAGCCTTTTGTGTTGCTGTCTACACATCTTGATCAGCATGAGCCTTTCTGCTTTTCTGCGGAATTCGTACAGTCCAGTGGCACCTGTGGAGCAGACGCATTTGGTGCCAACTGTTGCAGCCATAGGTTTACAGGTCCGGCGAACGCGTTCGTGTCCCATCTCACGAAACCCGCTTGTCCGATGGGTATCGAAGTGTTGTAGTAAAGGAAAGGTTCTTGCGCGATGACTTGCGAGCAAATCACAAGCAGCAAGGCAAGAACAGCTTTGTGCAACATCAGTGCAGCCATGACTCAGGACCTAATACCCATGCACTGCTGCAGTCTGCTTAAGAATGAAGATCGACAATAAATTCAGGACAAAAGAAAAAGGCAGAATGCGTTGGATTGCTTCTGAAGGAAGATAGGGCTAGGCAGACCAGGAGCAACGAGTACCGGGACATTATGGGTCAACTATACGACCCCGCCAACAGGGCGTCGTAGTCACCACATGCTACTGTCATTTGTTACTTGAGTTCGAAGTAGTGAGAAATTGCAGGCTCAGCCGCAGGATCAGGCCAGCGGAGGCGTTCAGGCATGGATGTAATTGGCCAGGATCCGGGATTGGTGAGCTGTCTAGGATTTCTCCGTGTGGTCTCGGCCCTAGTAGAAATTTCTTTCGGGAATCTCTGATGTTCGAGCGCAGACATTTCGAGCAAGCCACAGGACCAAGCGACTGGTTGAGGCTGGCATGGTTTCATATTGTGGTGCATGTGGACCAAGCTAACCATCACCTTGGGTACACCATGGTTATCTCAATATCTTGGTATTATTCCAATAGCTTTGCTACGCAACCTGCGATAGCAATAGATGGGAATGTGAAACTTCTGATCGTGACAGTATCCCACACCCGGGGGAACGGGCCAATCTGTGTTGCACAGCCTGAAAGTAACCACTCCAACCCCGAAGCAGGCGACTTTAAAAACTGTTATTTATGAAAGACAAGCCTTCTGTCGCTGCAGCCTTAAAATTGATTAGCAGCTGCTAACGCTGACCCAAAGGAACAGCAAGCGAACTATCATGCTGGCTTCAAGCTATTGGATTGCGGGACCGAAGAACAAGACAGAGCGGAAGTTTCCACCTAAGTAGATCATGCCAGGAATGGAGTTAATCATGCTTTTCTTCATGTAGTACGGAGTACTCTGTACTTACTCTAGTAGCATCCAGACCGAGATACCATAGAACATGCAGACACGTGGCAGAATAGGCTCGAAGATATTTTGACAATACTAGCTCTTTCTGGCTTGTTGAGCATCTCCAGGACCAATCGACGAAGTGGGGCCAGACACTTCGTTCTGGATCGGAGTATGGATTCTGCCCTAAAAGTCAGGGGTTCATAGCTCGAATGATAACTAAGGATAAGCAACCATCGGATTGGGTCAAGCTAATCGAGCGGGTGTGCAGACTGCACGGTTGCCTACAATGTTACTATGGTCCGGTAGCTTTTCATGCCTGTTTAGCAACTCTCTTGGCATAAATCCAGCCTCTATTGAATGACTCGTCTAAGCCCGAGTGTTCACGTCAGACGTTAACTGCCTTGCCTACATCCTTCCGCTTGAGTAGACCACCGAGGCTCACAGAGAATACGCCTTCAATCAAGATGAATCTGCTACCACGATTAGTAAAACCGTCATTCGTCCCTCGTCACAACCTGCACAGCTTTCCCTCACGAATTCCCCTCGGAAATGGCGTGGCCAGCACACAACTCCGGTCAATATCCATTCTTACAACCCAACACAGCTTCCGATCCAAATGCACAATGGCTTCGTTCTACCCCTCGGCCAGACACTCACACCCATCGAGCAATCTTAGCAAACTCTGGCCGCAACAGACAAGGGGAATGAAGACGCGTGCCTCAGTGAAGAGACTGTGTGATGGTTGCAAGGTGGGGAACGACTCGAAATCCTTGTCTTCTCATAGCGGTACACTGATGTCTGCGTTCTGTAGCCGGTCCGAAGGAAGAGCCGAGTGTATATCATATGGTATGTGCTGCAGTGGCTCTCTTTGAGCTTGCCCAAACATCCATCTAACACTGTCCAGTTCAAAAAACCCAAAACATAAACAGAGACAGGGAAAATGAGGCGGAATCTGTGCAGCTTGATGTCTCGTTATGAAGACTCGTGTACAGTACGGCAGCATATCTGGCGTTCAGCATTTATATTATTGGGAATCAAGCAGCACCAGGCATCAGTCTCGTCATCGAGCTCAGAGAATATTCCGACTTGCACATAGAGATCTATGCGCCTCAACGGAGAAATTAAGGTGTCCAATCAGACTTTCATGAATTCACCCACCCCACGCAAAGCCAGCAACAGCGGGCCATTTCTCTTCCGCAAAGAGATTCCACAACGTTGCAATTGATGTATCCCCTACCATAAAAGTTTCCCTTTTCACTGCCCATGCGAACGCGTTGCTCTCTGGTCTGGTCTCACCATCTCATGTGTTGATTTCACGATTTCTCGTTTGCTGCTTGTTCATCTGTCTCTGACTGCACAATCCTTTCTCGGCTTCTCAATCCTTCTGCTCTTCTAGGCAGTAAGACGAAGTGCTCTCTGCGTCAGTTAGAAGCTGCCTATAAGGAGGTAGTCGGGGGCATCAATCACTTGATGCAGACCTCCCGTATTGTGTATACACATAACTTACCAAAACAAGGGTCCACCTGAGCCTTCGCCAAGTAAGGTGCCGTGGTTGTTCCTCTTCTGAAGCAGGATTTGTCCTCTTGTACATCAACACCCTTCACTGCTCTTCCCATCCCGCAAGCGCTCCTGTCTGTACTCCATGTGCCCGCTCTGCTACCCATCAGCCACTTATTGCTCTTCTAAGTAGTCATTGTCGCCATCGCGCTTTACTACATTCGTTGGAAAATCCATCCAACTTTGTCTGCTTTACTCAGGGGAAGAGGTGGGTGTGGCTCTATCGAGTGCCTGTTACATGGTGTCTTGCCTTTCCGCTTGTATCTTTCCTATTTGGTTTTGTACTTATCTAACCAGTACGCCATCTCTTCGACATACGGAACCGGACGTCTCTTACCTCGCATGTTCTAGGACTAGACTGGGTTACTTCGCCTCTACTTCCTTCACGATCCTCTGCATGACTTCATCCAGGTCCTCCTCTTTCAATCCCAATTTTTCGTTCGCCACTTCCCGACCGTGGAACTGATCTCCAAGGCCCTTTTTGAACGTGGCCCCATACAGCACATTGATCATACCCCTTCGCTCCCCCTTGGCAAACATCTCCCGCCCTTCCTGCATCCATCGATCGACGGGCTTATGCGTGACCGTCCAGTCGGCCGATGTTGTACCAGTGGCGTGCTGCGCAGCGGCCAGCATATCATTTTGGGTGACGGAGAAAGAGGTGATGTATACAAACTTGTTTTTGTAGTCCGAAAGACAGGGAGAAGAGGACTCCACGGGCAAACTTAGCAGTCGAGCGATAGCGCGACCGACTTGAGGAACGGTGGTGGCGACGATGGAGGTGCTGCCATCGTCGTAGATTTCCGCTTTGCGTGCTGCGATGTCAATGCCGTAGAATCCGCCTTTCAGGCTCTACATGGGTGGTATGGGTTAGCTAACAGACTGTGCCACAGGGACTACAGGCGGGACCGGTCATACAAAGTCAAACCAAAGATTGTTCGCAATACCAATCCAGCTGCTCACACCCAGTGCTTCAATCTCATTGCGGTATCTCTCTTTCATGCCCAGGAGGCCCACCACTTTTGCGAGCTCGGGGTTAGCCCCGTCCTGTCCATATTCATTGGGCAAGATCCACGGAACGCCAGCTTTGGCGGCCGCCTTGATGAAGTCGGATTGAACTTCTGGAGGCGTCGTCACGGCGAAGGTGAGAATGAGCACGTCCTGATCTTGCAGGGCGGATTCAAGGAACTCGGGGGACTTGTAGTCGCCCTTCTTCACTGTGACGTTGGAAGGGAAGGCGGCGCTGGAGTCTTGACGCGAAATGGCTGTTACATCGAAATTGCCTGATTCGAGTAGGCTCTTCAGTATGGCACCACCAACTAAGCCGCTTGCCTGGGAGGTACGGATTAGCTTTTTCTGTTCGAAGGGGAAGATGCTTCCCAGTCATACTCACTCCGACGACTGCAATATTCTTGACGTGGTCACTTGAAGTCATTTTGGATATCAGGATGAACTCCGTTTTTGTCTCCAGCGGGCCCAATGCTTGATATATATATTCAATGGACGAGTATAGTATAGTGGTAATGCTCCTTTCCGTCTTGGAGAAAGGAAAGGAAAATCGAAAGAAAGTATAGCCGATAGTTCCAAAACTACTGCCAGTAAATCCGAGAGATCAATGGCAGTTATTGATTGTGCCCTAAAGAAATAGAAGTTGATTCTTTGTTAACTCCGGAGGCGTCTGCAAGGGGAAAGAGCTAGCTTGCGCGTAAGGAGTAGAATAGCCGGGCATTTCGCTCCTTCGGTGCGTCCGGAACTTAACGTACTCACATAACATTTCTGGGATGTTGTTTAGTTGATCCTGGTGTCTACCCAGCAGGTCATAAATCAAACATGATGGAAATGCAATGATGGTAACGAGTACAGCGCTACCAGCGAGCGTGATGTCGAACCGACCACTATTTTGTGGTGATTCAAGCAAGCACTTCAAGATCTCCTAACAGATGAAGATCCCCTGAAAGCTTGCTAAATTTTGATTTGAAGAAGACTTGGTCGCCAAGGAAGTGGTTGGGGCCTCGAAGCATCTAGAGATGTTCATACTCGCATATATGCACCATTTCATTGTGTGACTTCGGAGATACATAGAACGTATTGCGTATCTCCACCACAACCTCGCCTAAACATACCATGCAAATATCTACCGCCTTTCATCCCATCTACAGACTTCATATTTTCGCGAGAAATGACATGACAATATCCCTACTGCGTAGGACTGCCGTCGTCTATTGTTGTCAAAGCCATATCGAAATCAGAACCATTGTCTCTGCTTCTTGTTCGGGTTAATTCCATGTAATTCATGGGATTCGCTTCTCACGTGTGCAAGCGACAGCATGTAAGCCTAGTCAGAGTGTATGGATGGACACTCTGAGGGTATAGGTCAACACAATTCAAACGGATCATAGAGACTTTTGTCCCAAGTCCCAAACCAGCCGTCACTTAGCCCTTCATCCTTGAGGCGTCTTTCTTTATCTCTTCGAATTTATAGAATGACATTAGAGAAGGAACTTTCGGTTCATTTTTCATTGACCGGATAAGCTTGCTCTAATCGCCTCCACGCTCTCTCCGGGCCAGGGTCCTGTTCATAGAAAAATGGTGCATAATGACAAGCAAATCTTTCTTCGTCGGCCTACTTGTAGTCGCAAAGGTAGAGTCCATCGTCATGTTCATTCGAACGGCTAAGAGCCTCATGCAGGAATTCAAAAGTGGATTTTGAGTGCACATCATAGATGACGCTGTAACGGTCTTCGTAGGTCTTTGCCGCCGCATCTCCTGAGTACGCACTAACCCGAGTGACATAAGGTGCTGTACATATCCGGAGCCTACTTCATCGGCGATATTCACCTCAAACGCGCCCATGCCACGTCTTCCTCCGCAATACCGGTGAAAGCTGCAAGAGGGTTTGGTATCGAGCTTGGACAGAATAAAAGGTGGCAGAACACTATACCTAGTGAGATAACCCGGAAGAGATAATCGTGGATACTCCCCAGCAGTTCGATCTCCCAAGGGGAGAATTTGAAGAAGAGACATATTTGCTCATTGATCTTGAATACTGTTCGTTCTGGATCCCTGAAAAGGTTACAGTATAATTCAAATCTGTACAACCCACACGGTATGCGATGTATTTCATCAAGCGAAGGAGGATATTTGGAATTGCATCGAGCTCGCCCAGTCAAAGTAGCTTTGTTAGTGCCTCCGAGGCGAAGGCCGCCGCAAAGCTTTGGACATGACGATGGAGGCGATCCAGGGGGAGAGCTTCAGATAGAGTCCATGAGGGTGGTTGGGATTTTCGAGAGTCGAGGTGATAATGGACGAAGTCCTGAATGCGCTCACGAGTCCATGGCTGTAGGTAAGAGGATTCTAAAGCTGCGACAGCTTCTGGTAGCACCTCCAGATCCACTTGATTTCTCAGGACACTTGTCGTAAGCAACACTTCGACGCTGATGAAAGCTCGGTGGAACAAGGAGCAGGTCAAGGCAGTCGATCTCAAGGACATAAGATCCGGCAGAAATCCGAGCAATTGCTGCCTTAATTCCACAGGCATGCGCTCCAGGGCAGACTTGCAAGCCATGACGTTTACCATTCTATTGCAGATGTAAACGACTTTTGGCAGAATCAGAGGGCTATCAAGATTGTAGACCCACTATTGATTATCTTCAGTGATATCGATGACTAGATGTCACGAGCAGGGAGGCAAAGGGCTTGCAGGCTGCAGCAATGATATTGATTGGCTCAATATCAACTTGATTTCGAGACATAACAAGTGCGAATCTCCAAGGCCCAAAACTGCCATTACATGAGTCTTCTGCCCCAGTCATGGCTGCGCTGTGGAGCAGTATGACTCAAAGCATCAATCTTGTGTGTTGATAGAATTCCAAAATACAAAGTTCGGAGAAAATAGCTCCTTAGGCGCCAAGGCCCACAGCGCGAAACTCGTCAACCGCTGCATGAATATTACTTATGAGCAATCTGGTAAGCCATCTGCTAAGCCTTACCAGAGTGCATACGTAGTAAGCACTCCAAGGACAGAGTCGAAACATGGCGGAAGAAATTGACAAGATTGGGGCCAGGTATGTCTTACTTACCGGGCTGGAAGTATACAAGCAAAGACGTTAATAGCTGCTACCGCGGCGGACAAGTGCAAATGCATAACGATCGCTAGAGCTGCAGGTAAGTTGTATCCACCTAATCATCATCTAAGACAATTATAATCACCTGATCCCAAAGCTGTCTAGCTGAGGGGCAAGAAGTCGTCAAAGCAACGGCACAACAATGCTACTTTACTACCCTTGTACATAAAGCTTGTCTTGAGGGTTGAAGACCGTACATGCGTTCAGAGGTATTGCATCAGTATCTGTCATATCACAGTACTCAATCATATTGTATGTCGATTTGCTCGAATGCCAAGGTATGGCAGACATCCCAGCTCGACAGCACTCTGAAAAGCAGGTCCAACCCGCCTGGCCGAGAATCAAAGGGGTCACGGTTGCACAAGCAACACTATGGTGATGTGACTGGCAGTCTACATGTTAATTGATTGACGGAGTTCATGAATCCAGATTTCAACCACAATAATACGTCTACCGTTGATACTTCCTGACCTGCTTAATCTGGCCTGGTTGAAAGTAGGGTGGAACTGGTGCTCTATAAAGCCAGCATCTCAATACTGAATCGTGTCTTTTAGACTGGTTATCTAACAGAAAGGTCAGGACTTCGTGAAATCAGGAGAGCGGAATACGAGCACAATCGTGGACGGTGTCGTTTCAGCATAGGGAAAGTAAGCGAAATTTGGGGGCCAGTGAAACGGTGATCTATACCCTAAACCGACATTCTGGAGATCATGGACCAGTGATCAACGCATTACAGAATGAGTTCATCAGCTAAGTGAAGTAGCCGCTGGGCTGTAACTTCTAATTTAGAAACTTCATGAATTCTACCCGCCTCAGTGGTCATTTGCTACAACTTTTAATGCCTGTAAGATTCCTAGACTGTCATGCATTGGGCCCCTATCCTACCTACCCTGACAAGCTCAGAATCCCTCCGCTCAATGCTCCAGTTACCCTCCAATCAGCACAAGAACTTACCGAAGACCACTATAGTTTGGCTAAGGTGCTTCAGATGGGGCTGTCCCTGTACTGAAAAGGACAATAGCGAGATTACCCTCGAGGATGCCCAAAAATACCTGGACGATCTTCAATGTCGTTGAAGCATATAAATATGGACCGTGCCCATCCGGTTGAAGGGATTGAAATTCGACTGTCCTCGTTGTGTGATTCCTCCTGCAAGTTATTGCTAGCTCATCAAGCTTGGCGGTTTTGTCAAGACGATCACAGTGCTAGCAGCGCAGATCTCCCTTCCTGACCAGGTCAGCCACGATGAAGGCTATCATTCTATCGGTACTTGGGCTCGCTGTCCTGACGTCCGCTATCCCTTCAGACTATGAGGATGACCTTGTATTCCGTCGTGCTGTCAACGATCAATGTAAAGCCCCAGAAGGGACTGGGTCTTGCCAGAAGACATCCAATTGCGCTGGGATCTCTTACCCTACCGGCCTCTGCCCCAAGGACCCAGATGATGTTCAGGTATGTAGCCTCATCTGTCTATGGGAACTGTGTGCTGACCCCCAGCTGCAGTGCTGTGTGAGAATAAACTGCAACGTGCCTAACGTCGGACCTGGGTTCTGTCGGAGCGTCAAGAACAATGGTTGCTCTGGTGGAAATTTCCATTCAGGTGTTTGTCCTGGCAATTCAGACATCAAATGCTGCGTTAAAGCCATTGCTGGGCCGCCAACACCGCCAACACCAGCTCCCACTGTGACAAATCCATGCACCGCTGCAGCATACGACAAGTTAATGTTCTCCGATAGCATTTCCACTTTCATGTCTGCTAAGAACTCGGAAAGCCCATCTTGTTTCAACTGGGGAGATGATGGTTGCAGTTGCTCACCAGATGAACTTTTTGGCTATGACTTCCTTGATCCCTGCAAGCGCCACGACTTTGGATACCGGAATGGGAAGGATATGGGACGCTTCGATGCAGCCTTGAAGGAGAAGGTCGACAACAACTTCAAGGACGATCTCTATGATGTATGCAACAAGTTCAGTGGCTTGCAGAACTTCAGAGGTGTCGAGTGCCGACGCATCGCGGATATATATGTTGCCTTTGTAAAGAAGTTTGGGAAGAAGAAGAGGGATGAGACAAGTGCATTACTCCAGAAGCGAGAGTGTGATCTCAAGTCTGCACTTGGATTGTGAAGCTTCTTGTTACCGGACTTCAGGTTTACTAATTAGTGTACTTTGTAACGAACCTTTTTCTTGGATACATTATGAATGTGACTATGGCGTATCAAAGAATTTCACGCCCGCTGAGCTTCACGATATGAGAGTGGACCGAAAGGTAACCGGCCCGATTGGGAAGACAGAGAATCGGATGCAAAGGATCTTCGAAGACATATACGTACTCCGGTCTATGAGCAAGGGCTGATGCTCCGAGTCCGAAGCGGCCCCTAGTCATTATTAATTGGTCTGAAAGTCGTAGGGATAGAGCACAAAGATGGAGTTGGGTGCGTCGCAGAAGGTAGACTAGAGCATAAGTTTTGGCAAGACCTAGAATAGTCTTTGTCGAAAGACTCCTGATATGCTGTATGCTAGAATGATGAATAATTCTGCATCGGATATAAAGGTGGATAATGTAGATGAATCTTCCTTTGCCGGGTGCACCAACATGGTGATTGCTCCCCACCACATCATGTCCGCGACGTCCTACCCACATGCTTTCAGTATGGAGACGCTGGGCAGCCAACAACCTGAGAACGGCGCGACGATTCTCGAGCGCACGAATCAAGATGTCGCGAACTTACGCAGTATGACCCTTCAAATGCCGACGTAGTTGAAATTTTTAACAGTCAGTAGGATGCGGTGGCCTCACTCAACACGTTGCAGTCGAACTTTGCGGTCGTGGACGCGATCCGCAAATCGGGAAGGAGTATGAACAAGCTGGCAATCCCTGAGATGGTTGAGTGGGTTCAGAAAATTGGATATCAGGTACGGGGATCCACAGGGAGATACCATAACAGCTTCGCTGAGCATGAGCGCCTAGCCTGATGATTTCAATCGCATGGACCTCATACACATAGCTGGTACAAAAGGCAAAGGCTCAACATCGGCTTTCATCTCCTCTGTGCTTTCGCAATATATCGGCAAGCATCCCGACTCAGGCACAGGCAGCCCACTGCAGAAAATCGGTCTCTACACTTCCCCACATCTACGCTTTGTCCGTGAGCGCATACAGATTAACAACAAACCTCTCACTGAAGAGAAATTTGCGCAATACTTCTTCGAGACATGGGATCGGCTCGAGGCCTCAGCGGTGCAGAAAGGTCAGGACCCAGCTGTAAAGCCAGTGTACTTCCGCTTCTTGACACTTATGGCTTTCCATACCTACATGAAAGAAGGAGTTGATGGGGCCGTGATAGAATGCGGTATTGGCGGCGAGTACGATAGCACAAATATCATCACAAAGCCAGTTGTAACAGGCATCACCAACCTCGCAATCGACCACATCGGTGTGCTTGGCAGCACGATCGAAGAGATAGCATGGCACAAGGCAGGCATCATGAAAGAGGGAGCAAAGTGTTTCACTGTGGCCCAGCGAGAAGCTGCTCGAAAAGTGCTGGAGGAGCGAGCACGCGAGAAAGGCGTAGATCTTGAAGTCGTTCCCATACACCCCGAACTTCAGTCCGACAGTGTCCCCCTAGGCCTATCCGCCTCCTTCCAAAAAATCAACGCCTCCCTCGCGATCGCCATATCCCATGACTTCCTCACTCAACGTGGCTTCACAGACATTGGCACCACGCCCTTAAACGAAAGTTTCAAACAGGGTCTCAAAGACGTTCGCTGGGGTGGCCGCTGCGAAACCCGTCATGAAAACGGCATAAAATGGTGCATCGATGGTGGCCATACGCTCGAGAGTATCGAGTTGGTTGGAAAGTGGTTCGCTGAGCAGGTCAGCAACCAACAGAACACCATCACTGCCAATCGGAGAAGCGAACGCAAAAGAGTCCTCATCTTCAATCAGCAAACCCGTGACGCCAACGCCCTTGCTCGTGCCCTCCATGCAACGCTGGCTGCGGCGCTGGGGGATGAAAAGCCATTCACGCATGCAATATTTTGCACGAATACCACGTTCAAGGATACTGGATTCAGGCCTGACCTGGTCAGTGTGAACACGAACGCTAAGGAGATCGAAGAGCTGAGCGTGCAGAAGGGGTTGGCGAGGGCGTGGGAGGAGATTGACTCCGGCACTGATGTCAAGGTTGTGGGGACTATCCAGGAGGCTGTTGAGATTGTGAGGGAGATGGCGAAAGATGGAGAGGGGGAGGGAGAGGTGATGGCGTTGGTTACGGGAAGTTTGCATCTTGTGGGCGGGTTGTTAGAAGTTTTGGAGTCAAAACCATAACATTGGCCGTAGAATCTGGGATAAAATGATGTATTGCAGGGTACTGGTAGATTTTAGAATATCAATTAGGAGATCAAGGAATACACACTTCCAAACCTTTTGGAAATATGCTGGCCATTTCTATGCACAAATAACGTGTTCAATTTACTCCATAGAAGTATCTCTTCAAGTAGCTGCTAAGAAGAATGTAACATCGATAAAGATCTTCCAGTGACTCATTTCAAAAGATAGAGCTTTTAAAAGAGTAGCAAATCATCCATAACACTTGACACCCAGCAGATAATAATAGCGACCTCTAGGACTTCACATAGATGGATGAAATGCAAGGAGCACTGATGGTGGCCTTCCCCTCTCATTGCAAGGCATGTCTTTCTTCCAGGCTGAGAATATGCTGGCAGCCTCTTCACACTGCTTGAATGACCTTTCCCAGAAACTGAAATCGACTATTTCCGTTCTCTTGCGCCATTACCTAAGTAAGGCCTGCAGGCAATCAGTGGCTCTGCTGGCTGCTTTTCCATCACGTCTTGTTTGTAGTAAGTTCTTGATTGGCTGCAGCTGTGAGGTAGAAGATGGGCTTTATATCCCAGTTTACAGTGTAAACTCTGACGGTAAACAAAGGACTGGTGACCTTTCACTGCCGTATAAGATCCATTATAGTAAGCGTAGAGTTCTCCTCTTGTAGCACACCGCCTGGACACTCTAAGCAATGCAGATGCCTGAAATGGTGCGGAAGGCTTCCAGATTGAAACACTGGTTTAAGGGTTTCTTTCCAGGCAAAAAGTCCTCAACCAACGATGAGACCACGCGGCCACCATCACCACCAACATCCCTGCAACAAGGGCGAAGACGCACAATGAGAGAGAACACTATACCGAACATTAAGGACTTTCACCCGCCAAATAAGTCTGAAGAAGACGCTGAGAGGATTGGAAAGATGACGGAGCAACAGGATCACCATTCTGAACAATTGAAGCGAGAAAACGCCGACGAGCGGGCCAAGGAGGCTTGCAAAGCCAGAGATGCGAAGGAAGAGGGCGAGGGCCAATGAGAATGTGTCAGTCGAGGGAACTTCGTCAATTTGTGGAGTGATATTGTCGACAGGGAGGCATAAGGGGCCAGGTACAGGGCATATCTGCAAGTCCAGGTTCAGGGCTGCTTTCCAGGGACGTTGATATCGCTGCTCTGGCCGTCGCCGGCTATGAAAACAACTTGTACGGCAGCATAGCTAGATACTTCAGTACCGAATCCAGATGTGAGAAGGGTACGTACGCTGCGGCTGCTGCAAAAATCTCCACTCTCCTAGCTCCAGTAACCAGTCCAAGGCTGAGAGAGAAGAGCACAGTGAAAACTGCGACAATCCCTAAGCGGACGGATACCTTGTGCACGGTATTGAGGATGAGTATTGAGCACAGAGGGAGTATCGAGGAGAGAGCCAGAGCAATGACGGAAGTGATGCGCAGGATAGCATCCTGCGTGAGTATGCTACGCTCCATGAATTGCGCAGACTTGTCTCGCTAAGACGAGATCAGTAGGCTTGGGCTGTTCGCTTATGTCTCTCGCAATACTTACCTTGAAATGTCTGCCAATCATCGGATGTAGCCAAGCCCTCACGAACTTGATCATCCATAAAGATAACAGGTCATCATGTTCCTTTCGCTTCAAAGCCAGCAGCTCGTAAACATCTGCTTTCCTCCATAGGTCCTTGTCTGGCCCTAGCAGATAGACCCAACCCATTCTCGGACTTTCCATCCAGTCTTTGATTGCCGATAGAGCTAAGCTACTCGGTGCATCCAGTTTGACGAGTTCCTTCTGCTGGAGGATAGCGGTATCTTTATGCATACACTGGTCAGCAAAGCTTACAGGTAGAATGACAAGAGACTTGCACTTACTGTATTCTTTCAAGGCTTTACGGATGTTCATGAAGATTTTCCATTGCTTGGAATTGCTGTCAGAGTGCTCCTCAGAATGGCTAAGCCGGTACCAATCCCTCGAATACAGCGGCCGGTTTCCATTCGTACATTGAGCATCATCTTTGACCACCTTTTCGAGCTCTTCCTCGAGCCAGAAAAGCTCAGCTTGCAGGTATAGGATGTTCTTGGCATTTAACGTTGCAAACCGCCGGAAGATCGCTGTTTCGGGAAAGTACCCCATGAAGGATGCTAGACGGTCGTATCCTTCTGGTGGCCTTGGATCCATTGGCATATCAATCTTGACCTCGTCTACCGTACTTGATTCAGCCATTGAGCCGGCTTCCATGGTGGCAGTAAGAGTGTTCGATAACATCAGAAAGGGAGGTATATACGAAAGGAGTAATTGAGGGGAAACCGCGATGCTACTGATCAAAGAACTCGAAATTCTCCTCGAAACGAGACGAAAACATGGAAATAAGAGCAAACCATCCCGAATCCGCCTTACCATCCTTGTGATACTCGACCTCCAACTCATCTTCAAGCCCATGTAGCACAAAGAGGCGGGACCATGCAGGTCTGCTTCCAAGTCCATCCAATCTTTCTGTTGCAATTTACACTATTCTGCTCTATCTTGTTGCATTGAAGCGCTTCACAAAGGTAGGGACAGTTGTTACGTCTCACCGAGGGCGTGTCATACGTCCTGACGTAGCAATGCCGGAGCAGGATTGGACCTCTGGGTTTTTATCATCTGGCACAGCCAGGCGTAGGGCGAACTCATGAAACACAAAATCTGGAATTTGTCACACAGTATGCATCAACTTGGCTGAAGTGGCAATGTTTACGGAGTACATTGTAGGCACATATTCAGCACCGAGGGAAGGTGGACGACGCTAAACATTGAAAAGGGGTCGAGCCGCCCGGTAAAATGTCGGTGCAATCTTCCTCGGCATTTTTACACTTAAACATCAACTCCTGCAAGACGACTACTCCGTCCTTTATCACTGAACGATTAAATTCGTTGCCCGTTGGATAGGGCAAATTACCTGTTAAAGGTCAATGAACCCGTCCTCTATTGCCAAATGTTACAAGCTTCTCTGGACTTCTTTATTCTACTGTAAGAAGTAGCGGGACTCTGTCATGGCGGTGGGGGTGGTGCAAGGACACAAAAACCACCAATAAGGTAAGCCGAGCAGTGTCAAACAAGAAAAATCATACCAAGTACTACTCATGACCAATAATCGGCTAGTTCTGCCATCGCGTTAATGACTATTACCTGGCAGAGAACATCCATTGGTGTTAGGGATGACAAGGCATGGAAGCAGTTGTCACTTGAGCAATTAACCAACACAGCTATTACAGATATAATTTAGGCCCACGCTACGAGTCATCAGGTTCCGCAGCCAACGGGGCTGCATCCAACATACCCTTGAGAACAGGCTGGAGCCTTAACCTACGTGGTAGAAGGCTAACAAGAATGGTCGCCTGTCCTTCTCCATGCGTATACTGGGAGCAGATGCCAACTCAGACTAGACCAATGATTCCTGGCTCTATGGCTTCCAATCTTTCCTCCAGCTCGGTCCATATCTTCTTCTGTGCCTTTTGTCCGTCTTCACTACGCACAAAGTTCGATAATGCATTGCTAGACAAGTATTGAGTCAGCCCATCTGATTATCCGGCCCATGTGATAGCTGAAATGGGCAACTTACTCCTGGACTTCGCAATCATTCAGGTACCGTCCGTTGGCCTCCCAGCCAACCGTAACAGCATGCACAAGCGTCCTGCTACCTTCCTCAGTTGTCCTTGCATACTTGGCTTTCCTATCCTCAATGGCCTTGGCAGCTTCACCTCTCGCATTGCGGCAAAGGTTTGAATGACACAAGCCAGGAGCAACTGAGTTGATGACAACTTGGGTTTCTTGCCGAGTTTTCTGAGCCAGCTCGCGCGTAGCGAGAAGGAGGACGAGCTTTGAAATGCTGTAGCAGAGGAACTATTAGCATGAGATGACCAATTGACGCTAGTGCGGGATTATCCCAAATACAGCAGTGGTCGAAGCGATGCTGGGAGCTATGTTTACCGGTCTTGCATATTCGCCGTCTCTTTGTCATTCAACTTATCAAAAACCCCCTCTGCATTCCATTCTGGAAATTGAACGAATACGTGGGAGCCCGAAGAGACGACTGGCATTTTTGGAAGAGTCCCATATTCATCCGCTACTCCATCAAACTCCAAATCCTGCAGCTTACAACACCAACCATTGCAAAGTTATGCGCTCTTTGCGTTCTCCGCATCTGGACGGCGCAAAGACCCTCCGCGCCGTATTCGTGCCACAATTCAGACGATCTATTGTTGCAATGTTCGGATACCATATTAGACCTTATACTCCCTCATACGGACAGATTCAAATGCCATTGCCCTCGCCGTTCCCATTCCGAGTCATTCCACCACTGTCACCCAATTTCTCGATTTGCTCCTTAAACATGCCCTCAAACCTCTCCTGCCTGAAAATCTTTGTGGCATCTAAAGCGCTAGGCTCTCCTATCGTTGGATCGGCTCCCTGTGTGCTGATCAGCTCTTGCGCCATATATACAATCTATGAACCACCCAAAGCACAAACGTGGACTAGATAATAACTCACCCCTTCAAGCAAGGCCTTAATGATTTCCTCTTCATTCTTGAAGACCGCGCCAGCGAGAGGTGATTGCCCTCGGTCGTTGAGTGTGTTTGGGTCCGCGCCATGGCGGATGAGGAGGCGGACGAGCGGGACGTGGCCGTGGTAGGATGCCAGCATGATCTACAGAATATGGTGGTTAGGGGGATAAGGATAGAGAGCTTGGTAAGGTAAAGAGAAGGAAGCTGGGATGCAATGGTAGCTCCTAGACAAAAATAACTATGATAAGATAGCAGCTCAAATGGGACGCACTATTTCGTCCTCGCAAATCCCTTCCAAAGCTTTGCCCTGCCTAGCCGGCTCTTCTCTCAGCTTTTCGGCCAGTAAGAATATATAATGAAAGTCACATCACGCACTTCGCAATTATCATCCCTTGCATATCATCCTATGAATTCTGCTAGAAGCCAATGGCATAGATGCGGAGGCGACGACTTCAAAATACAAAAAGACGTACGAACTCACTAGACTGTCTCCCTTCCCATTCGTCATGTTCGGCTTCAACCCGCCCCGCAGAGCCTGCTCAAGGATATCTATCTGTCCATTCCTCGCTGCGTCGAATAGGCGAGTTGCTAGTGCTAGAGCTTCGGGTGGGAGTTGATCCGCCGAGGCGGGTTGACCTACGGTGCTCGGGGGTGGGGTGGATACCATGACTAATTTGAGATTGGGGATGATCACTCTTACACGTTGGAAATAATGCGATACGAGGAAAATTCACTGTCCCAAAGAGGAGAAAGTAGAATGACTAATTAATGAGTAAGCGATTGCAGTCACCACTACGAAGTTTCGCCAGTTCTCAGACAACAATATTGTGCAGTCGCACGTCCCGCGTGTAGACTCAGGAGCAAGGCTGTGTTTGGGACCTTCCCATAACTCGTGTCTTCGTGAGCTCAATCAGAAGAGGCACAGCCACATTTGCCATGGCCGCCCTGTTGCATGGCCACCTTGTGCGACGTCTTTCCAGCACTCTTGGGTAGTACTTAAGCCAACGGTCTCGGCCGGGCCGCATAATGGTGTTCGTGAACTCGGCGCTTAGTCTACGACAGGAGGTCGTTAGATATTTCTCGAAAGATGTGCCTGAGAAACAGTTTAAGATTGAGCATCAACGAGCCTTTTGAGATGTTGTGAGAACTGCCATTCTCCGGTCTGCTGCCCACAAAGCCGTGAGAACGAAAGCATGGACGGTCTTTCAGGCGCCGCCAGCGGTATAGCCGTTGTCTCTCTGACCTTTCAGATTGTGGAAAGCATCTCCAGACTCCGTGACTTCTTTGAGTCCATCAAAACAGCCCCAGCAGTGGTTGCAACCATCGTGAAGGATCTTTCGCAGCTTGCCTCAATCCTAGACATCATCAAGGTCGACGGATCCATAAGCAACGACGTGTTGGCCACGTGCATGGATAAAGTCAAGGATTTGAACGCTTTTACTGATGAATTAGAACCTGGATTTCGATCTGCAAGTCGGAAAACCCGAAGATGGACTGCATTTACAGCGGCACGTAAGAGCAGCGTCATAAGTAAATTTCAAGCCACTTTGGGGGAGACGAAGACTACTTTGATATTGGCGCTACAGGCGAGGAATCTCTTGTTGAGGTAAGTCAAATGAGGTCGTAGTCCCGATTGACGCTTTGAGCTATGTATCGTTTGTTCAAGGTTCGGCTCCTCATTTGCCATAGTACTAACACACCCTTGTTGTTCTAGTCGAAAGAATGCTTCTCACATGGTGTCCATGGAACGGCGGATACGCGATGACCTGGCCGAAAGCCAACAGCATATGCTTAAACTCATTGACAACCACCGAGACAAGCTATCAGGAGTTGTGCAACAAGTAGCCGACCAACTCGCTGATTTATCCGTCGAGCACAAATCGCGGCTTGTTTCTACCACATCGCATTCCTCCAGCGTCTCAGAACATACAGCGGATCTTTTAGAAGAGATAACCCGGATGATGACCAAAATACCGAACCCGATCATTCGCCAGAGGTTCGAAGCAGCTGCCAAAGCAGCCCTCGATTCCCACTTAGTCATGATAATAGACGAGGGACCTGTATCGCAGCAGGCGGCGTGGTCGCCTCGGAGAGAGGCCTTTTCGGCACCTTCAGAGGTTGCTAGTCATTCGGGTATCAATAACCACACTAGCAACAAATGCGCTGCCAGTGGGAAAAGGTCTGTGAGCCCAAGTGCCAAGGAGTCCAGTCGAAAGAGGGCGCGCGTGCGCTGTCCTGCACGGAGCACGTCGTCCATTAAGGATTTCTTCGGCGGCCGGATCTACATGCAAACGGATGTGTATTGTGACACGCTTCATAACAATCATTCTTTGGAGCACGCGACGTCATTTATTTATCATCCTGCTTCATGGTATTTGCGGATGTGTTTCAATTTCGGCGTCAATGTGCTTGTTGCGAAGGCAGCCCAGGGATGGCAATGGAACATACAAACCTTTCGAGCTGTCCCCGACGATTCGTTGATCTTTGACTTCTGTGAAAACGGTAACCTAGACGGGGTCAGAACCTTGCTTGGCAGGCGGGAAGCCTCACCATGGGACGTAAATCCAGCAGGGTGGACACCATTACATGTGAGCCTTGCGTTTCGATCTTTTCGATCTTTTCGCCCTTGAGTTGTTGCGCTACAGCTCTGTCATATCCATTGTTATGGCTCAGCTAGGATGGACTTCTTCTCTGTAGGAGCAGTTCTCTTCGTCGTGCCTACACGTTCCGTCGTCATCAGGTCTTAACAATAGCTAACTCAGCATGGCTCACCAGATGGCTGCCTCTAACCACCATGTCGAAATCTGCGAGCTGCTCTTGACTGAAGGTGCTGACCCGAAGGCCAAGACATACCGTCTAGATTCAACACGTTACAATCGGCCACGGTAAGACATGTCCTATACCCTGGGTATACACATCGACCGACCGCTGACTATGATGCGATCAACTCAGCTCTGCTTTTGCGCGTGCATGCCAAGGTCAGAACCTCCTCCGTCGTCCATCTGGTAACCTTGACACATCTCGTCTGCTTCCCACGCTTCGCTTGTTATTCCCATATCTAGAGCTCGAAAATGGACTTGAGGAAGACGCTCTCTTCCTTAGCGATCTCGTGTACCATGCTTCTAAAGGATCTGAAGAAGCTCTCAAGTGGGCCTTGGAAGCTTGCCGTTCCGAATTGAAAGAAGAGGCAATCAGACCGATTGTAATTGGCGCTTGCGAGCAAGCATCTCTTGGATCCTACATCTCGGTACTACAGCACTTGATGACCATACTCGATATTGACATAGACGCCGTTGCTGAACCCGGAGGTTTTTCACTTTTACATGTTTGTGTCGGGGCAATATGTTCCTACTCATCAGGAGATTACGAGTGTATTAGCTATCTCGTGGAGCAGGGTTCGGATCTCCATCGTGTAAGACGTTGTATGAGTCTTATGGCTGCGTTGTTTCCGATCAGTGGACTTCAATCGCCGACTACAATGGCGATGCGTCAGTCAGGGATGTTCTTCTACTGGCGTATGGCGTTACTTGAGCATGGACATTGTTTGCATCGCTTCGTGATACAGGAACTACGAAATTCGCCATTGGCTAATCAGGGCTGGACCGAGCATACACTCCTGGCTCTGTTCATGCATGAGTTTGAGCCCGTTTGGCAGCCTTCGGGACTATCTTCGCTGTGTCGACGATGCAGCCAAAAGATGCCTTGCCTCCGAGACATACAATGGGAAGGGACGTTGAAGATGATCAAACAAGGCAGAATATCGGAAGTGCGACACCCGGGCTGTCGAAGAAGTATAGATGAAACGTATTCTATAGGTGATGCCTACAACTCGACTAGGTGCTCTGAACATGCTACACGGCCCCTAAATGCGGCAGGCTCAATCGACTCGAGACTTCCCTGCACGGAGCAGGAGGACTGCCTTTCAGCTTCCACTAACGAGGAAGATGAGGATAGCGAGACCGCTTTCCTCCCCGAAGATGAACGTTGGCAAACCATTTGCGACTTGTGCGAAATGGAGTTAGCAAACGAATCAGAGCAAGATTCAGAGGAGGATGCCTTCCAGCCGCAAATGCCAGGAGGCTTTGACGTCTGACCATTCCCATAACCGCGAAATCATGTCAATCAAGAAAGCATACTCACGATCTCGGTTGTGAAACCTGCAAGCCAGGGAAAGTGCTGGACATAATCACGAACGCCTCGACCTATCTCACGAAGTCGTCATTCTCAAAGTCCACGAACGTCACGTTTGGTTCGCACAAGATCATTCCCCCTTACTGCCCTAAAGGATCAGTGCATCGATCGAACAGATGACAAATGCTGCCAAAGTCGCAAGAAGCTATTCAAGCAGCACAGAATCCAGGTCCAAACCAAACAGCACCACCACCCCGCAACCTCACGTAAAGCTCAGCGAGGACAGCTCCACCACGCGGCTTGACCAGCAAAAGTCCTCTTCTCACCAACTCGACCCCCAATCGAAGGAAGGACTGCACACCTCCATCTTCAGTCTGACATGGCAAAGAGAAAATAATTCCCAAACCCCTTGTGCAAGACTCCCAATCCAATTACCTCATGGAGTACGGCTGCCTGCTGATTCAGGGGCTGGTCTAGCCTGGCATTTCTGAGCCTTTGAACTGTAGCAGGGCCACAAACTTTCTTCATTGTTGCCATACGCAGTTGTGTCTTTTCTACCACCTAGATAGTAACTATCTATCTTCTCCCGAAGCAAAATCCCCGAAGCAGCTGACACTTAAAGCCCTTTTTAGGGGAACTGCAATCACAAAGTGCGTGCGCGACTTAGGTATGCATTTGCGCAGTCCAGAAAAGAGCGTGACCGTCCCTTTCTCTAATTCCGCTTCTGCTTCCATCTAAGTCCCATTCGCCTGCTGCTCAAGCACTGCACAAGCCCAGCCCAGCGTAGAACAAACGACCCAACACCTGCACTGCCTGAATCTGAATCATCACTCCTCATCACTATCGATGTACCTCGGTCCCTCTCCCACCCCAGCTGCAGGCGTCGGTGCGCATCAACTCCATACCCTCCACCTCCATAGCCACCACCAACACCACCACTCCCATAAGGCGCAGGTGTCATCCCCCCACCCACCCCGGGCGTCGGCGCAGCCTCAAACCTCGAATTAAGCAACGGTTCTGTATTTGCACCCCTTGCCGCTCCAGCAGTCGGCGTGGGCGCATTGCCGCCTCCAGCTTCCCAGCCCCTAGGCGTCGGCGCATCTTGAGCGAACCTCGGCGTCGGGGCACTAGCTGCCGGGGTCGGCGCCGCACCATACGGAGTCGGAAAGTCTTCATGGAGACGCGCACCGCCGGGTGTGNNNNGGGTGTGGGGGCATCGTAGGGTTTTCCTGGTGTTGGTGCGGAGAAAGTACTGGAGCCGCCGCCGCCGCCCCAGGCCGGGGTTCTCGAGCCAGATGTAGCGCCCTGGGCGGGTGTGCGGCCGCCGGAGGGGAAAGACTCGAAGCCGTCAGAGGTGGAGAAGCCGTGTTCGCCGCCGGCGTGAGGGGTACGGGCGCTGGAGGACCATGCGGGTGTTCTACCTCCTGCTCCTCCCCCACTTGAACCGCCGAAGCCTGTGGTCGTGCCTCCGTAGGAAGTCATGTTTCCAGCACCGCCGTAGGCTGTTTGAGATCCGGATTGAGGTTTCCAGGCTGGAGTTCTGCCACCATCGGCGCCACCGGAGGAGCTGGAATTGGGTGCCCATGCGGCTGTTCTGGCTGAGGCGCCCCAGGCGGGAGTCCGTCCACCGTCGCCGGCTCCCCTGGGTGTGCGACTTCCTCCGGACCAGTCGTTGGGGATTCTGGAGGTTGTGGTGCTGCCGCTGCTGTAGTTGGGACGGGATGAGCCAGAGGCTCGGGGACCTCCGAAACGTGACATGTCGATTGTTTGACCGGTTATTGGACTATCGGCGTGTTAGTAGGGAAATGGAAAGGGGTGGTAGGAGTACATACTCTTTCACAATCAGCTCGTCTTTGCTCACCGTGATGACCTTGGCCTTCGAGTGCATCTCAATGCGAGCTGTTGTTTCTGTGGTATTTTTCACAATTCCAAGCACGCCCTTGTATGGCCCCTTTCGGACACTCACAGTCTTGCCAATCATCCTGTCTCGACCAACAGACTTTGGTGGAGCCATTGGAGCATGAGCGCCATCTCCGTTTTTCGAGTGCATGGCCATATTGGTCTTCGCGTCTGCTGCAGTAGCCCGGCCACCTTTCGCAGCAACAGTGGTGACGTTGACACATCTCGCAACGAAGACGCCTGCATTTTCTGGCTGGGTGCGGTTGTGGACGAAGACAAATGCTCGGTGAATGTGGATGATGACTCCTGATTTGGACTCTCCGCCTGCTTCACGGACAATATCACCATATCTGATTTCGGATCCATTTCGATCAGTTGCAATAGCATCTTTTCTCTGCTCGATCTTGTTGGTGACTTGAGAAGGTAGCATTTGGCGGATTGATCCATTCTGGTCGAGGACACGCATTGATTCACGATCGACTTTGACAACGCATCCGACAGTTGCAGGACTATATCAGAGTTAGTTTTTCTCAAGTTACCATCTGAAGGAACGTACTCCATCTGTATAAGATCGTGAATGTCGTAATTTCCGAGCCGCCCATCACCAGTAGCATCGCCAGCTTCCCGTAAATCCTTGCTGAATACAGTAATTTCTTGCATCGACATATCGGTGAGAACTGTCACTCGATCGTCCTTGATCCGCAGAATCATGCCGACCTCGTCTCGATATCTGCTACCCCCAATGACCTGCACATGGTCGCCTTCTCTGAACCGTTTTCGCAACCCTTTCATGGGCACATCGACAACCTGACCAGCAAGTTCGCCTTCCTCGACTCTGATGGAGACGATGTTGCCGGCAACGGAGATTGTACGACCAGATATTCCTTTTTGCTCTCCGTCATAAACCTCCACGTGATCACCAGATTGATAGCTATTTTCCGCGGTATTGTTTTTCAGACTTTGTGCCAATGACTCAAGGTCCAGCCGTTCTGTGCCATCCTCGGCACCCTTGGTGAGCTTAGTCACCTCGTCCAGCTTGGGATTGACGTTTTGAGTGATGAGATGCTGAATTCTGAAATCCTTGATCAAGAATCCGTCCTCGTAGGTCTCATTCTTGTAATTCCAAGCTTTACCGGTCAACGCTCCGCCAGTGGAAGCCAAATACCTCTGATGGCGTTTCTTCGCCTCGTTCTCGTTGAATAGTCTTTGTGGTGGACGGGTTGCAACGGCATTAGTACCGACAGCATTCATGCGCTTCCTCTTCGCTAGAGGGTCGCCTTTCGCGTTGACACCCAGCATAGGGTTCTTGTCGTCTTCATCGATGCCATAGTTCAGACGAGGCACCAGTCTGACAGTGACCGAGAGGCCGTTGCTCTCAACGTCCTCGACCACACCAAGGTCACCGGTGTAAAGCCCTCTTTTGACCCTGACGTAGGCGCCGATCTGGAGCTCCTCAGTCTTGGTCACTCTCAGTAGGTCCGGCATCTCTTTGACGGATACCAAGTTGAGCTTGCTCCGCGGATAGACATTCATAATGCCGTCTAAGGCGTTTTCGATATGCGCATTTTGTACAGCTTCAACGTAGATGTACCCTGCCATCGGACCAGCACCACGCTCAAAAGCGGACAGAATCTGCATTGGCTGTTTTGTGTGTTGTCTCTCTTGCATCCTCTTCATGATGCTCATGATGACTTCTTTTTCTTTGCCGACTTTGCATTTCACACCCCAAATCCGGGGATCGTCCACACCAGGGAGCAACAACCTCTTAGGTACGACGACTGACTCTGTCAGGGCAGCTGCTGCCCTTCTGCCATAACGTTCCCGTAGAGCCTCAGCCTGCCTTTCTGCGTCCATCGAAGCTTCCATCTCGCGCCTGCGATCCAGCTCTCGATGTCGGCGATCATCGGTTTCTGTCCCCTCGGGTAAGGCAGCAAGATCGTCAGGATGTGTATCTGCGACAAAGCCATCGTTTCCTAGGTCGTCCTCGTCATCCTCGGCATCGTCATCTTCGTCGACTTCAGCCTCTTCCTCGAAGAATTGGTTCAACCCGCCTTTCCTCCTTCGCTTTCGTGGTCGGCCCTGGAGAGAGGTCAGACTAGGTCATTTGTCCGCGTAGCACGGCCAGACTCACAGTGACTGCTTCTTCGTCCTCGTCATCATCTTCATCTTCATCATCGTCATCCAGCCCTCCGTTCAGGTCCTCACCCTCACCCTCATCATCCTCACCATTGTCTCCGTCAATCTCGTCGTCGATGCCTTCATCAGCCTCATCATTCGGTCGCTTATTTCTCCTTTCTGGTGATATGCCCCGTCTTTTCACTGTGCTCTCATCTTCTGAATCGTTTCTAGGCCGCACACGTGGAGCTGAGTTTGATCGTGAAGGCTTGGAACCAGCATCACCGTCACCTTCGACACCTTCATTCTCATCGTCTGAGGCAGCAACAGGCTGAGGATTGAAGTCCTCATCTTCTTCCTCCGATTCGTCGAAAGTCTGGTTTGCGAAATTTGAAACGGCCATTGCTAACTGTTCAATGGGAGGGTGCGAAGAAGTGGAATATCAAGAATCAGAGAGGGGCTCACTCAGAGAGCTTGGGAAAGGGTGAATTAAAAGAAGTGGAGCCTTGAATTGGACCTTCCGACCCAAATATATGCTGCATGGTAGCCAGTGAAGGGGCAGCCAGAATGTTAGTTAGCTAAGTTAAGAGTGCGGAGTGAACATTTTTCCAAGCTGGTCTCTGTGGGCCGCCCTATCAACAACTGTGTAATTCTAACGGTCCTCAGCTTCGTTATGGTTTCTACATTCTCTCTCCTATATTGCTCCAATGGTGAGCCGTCTTCACGTGTCATACAGCTGTCATCAAGATCCTCAGACATGCGTACTTTTTATACTGGTCTCGGACATCAGACAAAAGAGCAGTGTCCACACATGAAAAGGATTAGCAGGCTAGGGATTGACAATCTTTGTAGACACAGCTCTCGGGATTGTATTTCGTCTTGCGTAACGCGACTCGTCTATGAATAGAACCTCTGCCTTCACATCTGCTAACAATAGACCATGGCTTCACTGACTGTAATCACTGCTTCATGGCACCTCTCCTACGAGGCCTTGACAATCCTGCAAACGAGGTCTGAGCCATCAACCGAATCTCCCTCTTTGACCTTCAAGTCATCGACTTTGCCGGAATGCGGAGCGCTAATGACCATTTCCTGAAAATCATTAGTACAAGTTGATCGTTGGATCGACAAAGGCAACTCACCATCTTCATTGCGCTCAATACAGCCACGGGATCGCCCTTCTTGACTTCCGTGCCCTGGTGGACTCTCACTTCCACTACAACACCGCTCATAGGAGCACCGATTTGGCTGCTGTCACCAGCATCGGCCTTGGGTCGGCTGGTGTTCTCCACTGAAGCCTTGTTGTCGTCGACAGAGACCTGCCTGACTTCACCGTTCACCTCGTAGAACACCTCTCGTTGGCCAGTCTGATCGGAAAGTGGCCCAATCGCAAGAAGCTTCAAAATTAGCACCTTACCCTTCTCCAGCTCCACGTGGAATTCTTCGCCGATTTCAGGTCTTGAGAGGAAGTACTTGGTCGGGAGGACCGACAGGTCGCCATATTTATTGATGAACTTGCGGTAGTCTTCGAAGACTTTGGGATACATGGCGTAGCTTGCCACATCACACTCGCTGGTCGAGCCGAATTTCTCTTTGATGTCTTTCTTGATCTTTTCGAGATCCATGGGCTCGAGGTAAAGGCCTGGTCGTTTGTCCATCTTTCTTCGATCTCGGAGTGCTTTGGAGCGAAGAGGCTCTGGAAAGCCTTTGTATGGTTGGCCCATCAGCCCTTCGAAGAATTCGAGCACTGAACCCGGGAAATCAAGCTCGCCAGCCTTCTCGATCACATCATCGTACGAAAGCTTATTAGAAACCATGAATTGGGCAAGATCGCCAACAACCTTCGATGTAGGCGTGACTTTGACAATGTCGCCAAGCAGGTCGTTTGCCTGCTCGTAAGCCTTTTTGGTCTCTGCCCATTGAGCGCCCAATCCAAGTTGGGATGCCTGGAAGATAAGATTGGTCAACTGACCACCAGGAATCTCATGCTCATAAACCTCTGGATCTGGACCAGTCAGGCCGGCCTCAAACGGTGAGTAGAGGAGTCGAAGCTGAGCCCAGTATGTGTCGAGAGCTCGTACATTGTGACCGTTAAGACCGGGATCGTACTCTGTCCCTTCGAGCGATGCGAGAATTGCACCAACACTCGGCTGGGAAGTCATGCCAGACATGCTGTCAGTCGCTGCGTCAACCGCATCAGCCCCAGCCTGAGCGCAGGCCACCATCGAGGCAACACCGGTACCAGCTGAGTCGTGCGTGTGAACGTGGATTGGCAAGTCAGGATACTTCTGTCTGATACTTCCAACGAGCAATTTCGCAGCCGTAGGCTTCAGAACACCAGCCATATCTTTGATGCCCAAACAATGTGTGCCGATCTTGACAATTTTTTCTACCAGATCCATGTAATACTCGAGGTTGTATTTCTTCTTCGGATTCATCATGTCGCCACTGTAGCAAATGGTGGCTTCAACGACACCCCCAGCCTTATGAACTGCTTTCATGCCAACTTCGAGTTGGTCGATGTCGTTCAGAGCGTCGAAGATTCGGAAAATGTCGACACCGTTTTTCTTGGCCTGTTCACAGAAATGGAAGATGGCGTTGTCAGGAAGAGATGAGTATGCAACGCCATTGGCTCCACGCAGCAACATTTGGAAAGGAATATTAGGGACAGCTTTTCGCATCTTCCGTAGACGATCCCAAGGATCTTCGTATAGAAAGCGCATGGCCACATCAAAGGTTGCTCCCCCCCAACATTCCAAACTGTATGCATTGCTGTAGGCATAGCTTGTTTCTCTGGCAATATTCAACAGGTCCACCGTTCGGACTCGAGTGGCAAGCAGAGATTGGTGAGCATCTCGCCAGGTCGTGTCCATAAGGAGGCAGCCCTTGTTGGCACGCACGGCTTTGGCAAATGCTTCAGGTCCTTCCTTGTCAATAATCTGTTTCCAGCCTTTGGTACAGGGAGATGAGATGTCAAGATCTTTTCCTTCGTCATCAACGAGCTTAGGCATGATGATGTCTCCTTTGAACTTTGGCTCGCCAATTTGGCCTTTAATGCTGCTCCCGTTGACAGCAAGATCACCAAGGTAAGCAAGAAGTTTCTGTGCACGATTCTGACTCCCAATGAGAGCAAAGAGCTCCGGCGTGTCATCAATGAAAGTTGTCCAGCAAGTACCTTCGATAAATGTAGGATGTGTCAGGAGCGAAGCCAGGAAAGGGATATTGGTCTTGACACCTCTAATACGAAACTCGACCAGAGCTCGAAGCATCTTTCTCCGAACGATCTCGTAGGTTGAGCCATGGCATGAGCATTTCACCAGCATAGAATCGTAGTGCGGCGTAATAACTGCCCCAGCAAATCCATTACCACCATCCAACCGAACGCCATTACCACCAGCAGAGCGGTAGACTTCTATCTTGCCCGTATCAGGTGAGAAGCCCTTAGCAGGGTCCTCTGTTGTGATACGGCATTGGATAGCAAACCCCCGAGTGGAGATGCGATCCTGAGTCAGACCCAGTTGCGCAAGTGATGCACCCGCAGCGATCTGGATCTGTGCCGCAACAATATCGATGCCGGTGATTTCTTCGGTGATGGTATGCTCTACCTGAATGCGAGGATTGATCTCGATAAAGTAGTAACGGTTCTGTTGGTCAACCAAAAACTCTGCAGTACCTGCATTCCGATAGTTGACCGAGCTGGCGAGCTTCACGGCATCTGCTAAGATAGCATCTCTTACCTCACGTGGTAGATCTTTGGCCGGAGCAAGCTCGACGACCTTCTGATGTCGTCTTTGGACACTGCAGTCACGTTCATACAGATGGACAACATTACCATGGTTATCTCCCAGCAACTGCACCTCAATATGCTTAGGCCTGTCGAGAAAGCGTTCCACGAAGACAGTCCCGTTGCCGAAGGCAGATTTGGCCTCCGAAGTGGCTCGTTCAAAGGAATCCCTAAGAGTCTCTTGCTCTCGGACAACTCTCATGCCGCGTCCACCACCACCAAAAGCCGCTTTGATGATGATCGGGAAGCCATACTCGTCAGTAAATGCCTTGACTTCCTCGAATCTCCCGACAGGTCCAGGTGTGCCGGGTACGACTGGAACTTCACATTTCATGGCCAGTGTTCTGGCTGAGACTTTGTCGCCAAGTGCTTCGATGGTTTGATAAGTAGGTCCAACGAAGATGAGTCCAGCCTCCTCGACTTTGCGTGCAAATTCTGAGTTCTCAGAGAGGAAACCGTAACCAGGATGAATCATTTGAACGCCATGCTCTTGTGCAATTTTGATGATCTCGTCTCCAGCGAGATAGGCCCCTACCGGAGTATATTGGCCCCGCTTGCCAATGACATAAGCTTCATCGGCTTTTTGCCGGTGCATGCCGAGACGGTCTTCATGACTATAGACGGCCACTGTTTGTAGGGAGAGTTCGTGGGCAGTTCTGAAGATTCGAATTGGGATCTCGCCTCGATTGGCAACCAAGATCTTCTTGAGTCGCATGATGGACGAATTAGCACGTAGGCGCTGATGAACAAGGTTTTGATGGCCATCTTGAACAACGTCTTCAACCGCGGTGTCAGCCATGTCAAGGACAGGTCGTGACAATTGAGGTGTTGTGGTGGATAAGCTGTTGGAGCTATCGGAGCTTATGTGGGGACAGTAATTGGGGGGCAGTTGCTTGCCAATTGAAAGCGGAGAGCTGCGAGCAAGCAAGTAACAGACTCGATCAAAGGGTGACAGAAAAAACGTAGGAGTATTGCAATAACAAGCGGCGGGCGACGGTTTCTATGAGGCAGCACAGCAGAGGGGGAGAGGGAGAGGGAGAATCTCAAACAGAAGCTGGCCTTGACCGAGCTGTGTTTAGAAAAAGGTTGGGGCCAAGTTGTCGGAGGGGCAGGAACTGCGGGCGCAGGGCACAGCAAGTACTCGTACCAACGGCAATAACCCCTAGCATCAATCCCGAACGCCAGGCAAGATTGACACCCACGCAGCAATAATTATGCGCGACGACGGACATGTAAATGGGCAGCCACAACCGATAAGTACAGTCAACGAGATCTGCTAGATTGAAAGCTTCTTTCTGGGGGATAGACGGGGCCTCATGCGGCGATCTGTTATCAATTGATAGCCTCATCTTGATTCTAGTTACTCATCACTTTGGTCCACACGGGCCTCATTCTTATCAGTTGTGACATGTTTTCCTGACTCACTGCATGTTGTCGAAATGAGCATGGAACCACAATCCACCGATCTATACTGATTTTACTCAAAGTCCGCCTCAGCAGCCTTGAATTCAATTATCTCTACGGAGTACTGTACCATGATGTGACCATCGTGCGGCGGATGGGCTTTAAAAAGAAAAGTCCTGACGGAGGACGTATCCACTATGATTTTCTGCACCACGGCCTCAATCTTTTGTCATGTTGCTCATCGGAATACGGCAATGCACGGCTGTGCATATCGTTATCGACCGCGATTGAAGATTACCAAAATAGTTCACAAAGCTGTTACAGAAGTGAAACAAATGTAAAATGAAGGCTTTGCCTGCACTACTCTACCATGAACAATGTGCTGTTCAAGGTGCAAATTCTTTCGATAAACTGATACTTACTCGAAGAGGAGGCAGTGCTCAATGTTTTCCTACCAACAGAAGAGCTATGGAGATCTTTTCTTGACTTGAGGACGCTTTATCTGCATTTGCATGATAAGTACCTGTACCAATTCTGAAGCCGACGATTGAGGAACTAAAACTCGGACACTATGCTTGCCGCCTTTGGCCTACTCCAATGGAGAGTGCTCATACTCCTACTGATCTTCCTCGGACTCGCTTGACTTCGTATCACAAGTAAGAGGGAGTATTCAAACCGAAGGGGTACATGGAGGTGTACTTTCTACTACTTAGCAGGAAGAAGCCCACTTTAAAAAATGGTAAGAGAGCCGCTAAAGTGCGCTTAGAGTTAGCCTAACCGTAAGATTGCTTAGAGTGTACCAGGCTATACAGCTAAGGCATCTGTAATCCAATGAGATTTCATCATTTACAACATTATTTGTCAAAAATATGGTCTTACTATGGTCAAAATATGCCTCTCTGATCATACTAATATGGTCCTCATTTGACAGAATAGTTGCCATTCCCACTAACGGCACTTAGCCCACATTTTTTATTACCCCTTCTCCTGGTAAGTAGTAGTACTAGTAGTACACCCACTCACAGCAGTGCTTGCCGAGCTTCGGTGCTTGGCGCTGCTAAGGCTGGAGTCGGAGCAATTCCGGCGTCCGCGCCGCTAACCGGGAGCACAGAGGACTCCCTAAACTCCTTTTCAGCGTGATCAAACACAAGGTCCAGGCACGGAGGCTTAGAAATGAGCAGTACAGTAATCCTGCATTGTTTCTGCTTTCGAGAGCAATCCAGCACCATTGCATGACGGAATGGATTCAAGACCTCTTCAGAGCAGAGCACCTCTGCATAAAATCTTGCACGAAAACTACATTGAGAATGACTTCGTTATGCAGCAGAACCTGTTTAACTACGGAGAACGACCAGGTCCAAGGCGAAAGATGGATCGGCCATCTACTGGACAGTAAACACGGAGCACATCTCAGCAAGCATAAAAGTTTCCTGCAATGGACTGCATCAAACTCAGTGAGCATTTCTTTGGTCAGAGGGAGAAAACCTTTTAGGCGCCAGTGCATTCTGAGTTTGTGAAGTGTCTGATATATTTCCGATTGGATTAGAGGGGCTCAGTATATGTGTGGCGGCAGTTCCACATTGCTAATTACCCTCATATATACGTTGGCCTTTCAAATCGGGCTGTTGGATCACATCGACTTTCCAGATATATCAGATCACAACAATCAACCTTCTTTTCAAGTCTTTGGAGATAAGGTCGCTTCTGTTGGCATGGATTCTAACACAGGGCGCTGCCTACTAATACGACCCTAGCTGTCGATCGTTTATTGCGAGGAGTAATGATAGACGCTTCGGAACGGAAAGAAAGAGAAAGTTTGCACGGCTCCTTGTTGTTACTTTGCGCTTCGTATGCAGAAGAATAACTGTGTTACGGTCGAAAAACCTCTTTTTTTTATTTGTCATTGTTGGAGCAATAGACTCAGTTGTATGAACAGGGCGTCAACGCTTGACGCTGTGAAACAGAACTCAACATGGTATGGACGAGATTTGTGATACCAGATCTGATGTCGTGCTACCCAAACCCCAGCTTATTAGAACGTGGTCCGCCCTTAGTGCTGTGCTTGTACACTCCTTCGAAAGCTTCCGAAGTCGCCTCTAGAGATCTGCCTACCAAGGTCTCGATCGCCGACCAACACATGAAATCACCATTTTTCAATATAGCAAATCACAGTTGTCTTTTGTATTCTTCAAATCATCTGGCTTCCTTTTCTGACGTCACCATCTCCTTCAATCCTCCTTCCTTCGCGCTCGCTAACCATTTACTTCCATAGCTAGGCTCTCTTTCGTCTAATATATATGCTAAGTAGCGTCTGCTTGTATACAAACTCAGCCTTACAATGATAACGTCCACGATAACGTCTTACCATCATCCTCTCTCAAAAACCCTTTCGGCACCAACTTCTATTCTAAGACCTAGGTACAGGGATGTGTTCCGTTTTGTTGTTGGAAGTTCCACTTGTCGGAACCCTGGCCAGCGTTCGATGCTCGGACCTATGCGGCACCTCGAAACTTCGTTGACAATATATATGCGAGAACTCTTCGATCCTTTTGAATTGATGGCCTTTGACATACCTCAGTTCCCATATTGGTTTCGTTATTCCCGGAGGTCCCTTAGCAAAATCAGTCGACAACACAGCCAGTGGTGCGCTCAACTTCAACACCTTTGTTCACGCTCTGCTGGACCTCACACCAATACTCCCTGCACCTAGCTCGCCGAATGTGATTGCGACAGCTACCATTGCTCAAGCACTTCGTGGCTAACTAGAGATTACTCATAACTCTTCCTACGCTTTCATCGGTCTTCAGTCGCTGCGATATGCCTGCGTCTATGCCGCTCAAGTCCAAGTCCCATAGCCCAGACCTACACCATCTAGGTTGGGGGCGTAAAGTATGACACCGGTGCCACTGTCATTCAGGAACTGATCTTCAACCCTGTCGCTGGTGTCAATTAATTTGGGTCTGCTTCCTTCCCCGAGTTCACTCGGGTGAAGCAACTTAACCTGCAGCTAATACAAGCTACCAGTGGGCAGGTCTTAGGGGTTCCGTTTCTTGACGACATTTCGTACGAGGCTTATCCGGTAGCTCAAGGGATATGCAATGCCAACCTCGCAAAAAGAAGGAAGCAACAAGTTTACGGCTTTTTTGATCAACAACAACTACGTCTGGCGAGAATATCATATCTGCAACAGTCATTCATTACCTGTGCATGGGGGCAAAGGTCGCGCTTTAGGACCGAAAAGATTGGTACCAAGAAGGAAGATCATCATCGGGGCTGATGGTATTTGCTAATGGATCATACCCTGGACAAGGTGATCTATATTACTCTTCTAAACCTTTCTTTCGTAACTGGTGTACTCATAAAGTGGTTGTTGGTGAACCAATTGATGCCCGAAAACTAGTTAGGAGACGTACTGACTGATAGCGGGCTGGCGATAATTATGACTAGTAGCAGGAGTACTCCGTACAAAAATACCTTTTCAAAGGTGGTGTACGCTAAGAGGATACTACTCACTACAGAGTACGTACTAGTGTTTTGGCTTCCAAACGTGGTTATCATCACGTGCAAAGGGCGATCGGGGGAAATTGGAGGACCCAGTGGTTGAAGTTCATTCAACTTGAAGTTCATCCAACTTGAAGTTCATCAACCATTTGATTTCCTTGGCATCGAGGAGTTCCAGCACCCTCTTTCCATTGACGCCTGTCTTCTAGAAGCGCAGAACTTGCAGATACCTTCTTTATCCTGAATTTTCATCTGATCTATCTGGTATAGTTAATACTAGATTAATCATGCTCGAATCTATCTTCTCTGTGCTGCGTGAAACCTGGAAAGATCGGAAGGCGCCCAATACATCAAATTATAATGGATGGCGAGATATGCTTCAGCGCAACTGGCATCTCGGTCTCACCAGCTTTGGAGGTCCTGCAGTTCACTTTCAGATCGTATGTCTGCGCCAACATTCAGATGTTTGGAGCCAGACATTGACATTTGCTGCGATTAACCAGTTCCGACGTCTGTTTGTGGAAAAGTACAAATGGATAGACGATCAAATGGTACGTATCACACGCGGCATATATGCTCCTCAATAAATATGAAGTTGAGTGTCTGACGCGTGGATGTGTACAGTATCAGGAGATCTTCGCGCTGTGTCAGGCCCTCCCAGGCCCAGGCAGCACTAAGATGATCTATTGTATCAATGTCATCCATGCAGGCTTCCTGCCAGGAATGGTATCTTTCTTCGTCTGGAGGTGAATTCAACCACATGTCACCAGTAAATATGGGCGTCGCGAAATCTGATTCAACTTTCTAGCTTGCCCGCTGCTATCGGAGCTTATGGTCTTGCTGTTGGCATCGCGCAGGTTAACGAGCGGCTACCTGACCCGGTCTATGCTTTACTGTCGGGTCTCAACGCAGCCACCGTCGGCATAATCGTTCTTGCTGGGGTTCAGCTTTCTCAAAAGGCTATCACAGACAAGCTAAGCAGGATCTTAGTATTCTTTGGCGCCGCGGCGGGCATGCTTTATAACTCACTTTGGTACTTTCCTGTCCTCATGGTGGTGGGTGGATGCTCCACAATTATCTGGGATCGTAGATGGCTTCAGAACCTTGTGAAGCGGTTCAGAACGGTGCGTCGGAGGGTACCAGCCACTGTGCAGGATGTTGAAGCAAGTGAGAGCGCAACAGAACTAAAGGAGACAACAACTGCCGAAACTTCAGAGCAGAGAAGAAAGACACCTTCAATCCGTTCTGGTGATAATACTGATAGTACTCCACAGAGCGCGTCGAACGAGGCTCAAGCTACTGGCAACGATGGATTGCAGCGACCTGAGGAACGAGAAAGAATCGTTCCTGATGCGTTACAGATGCGAGTCTTTTCTTGGAAACTTGGCGTCACCATAATTGCTTGCTTCTTCATCACCTTCATTGTCATTATGACTTTGCGTGGTGTTCTCTCAAATAGACCTCGCGGATTTAGCTTGTTCGCCAATATGTACCTCGCCGGTACCATTATATTCGGAGGAGGGCCTGTGGTTATTCCGCTACTAAGAGAGTTAGTACTCCTCCAGCGCAGTTTTCATCGCCCTGCAAAGAGGTCAGTCTGACAGGATCTTCCTTTCCTCTCTAGATATGTCGTTACCGAAGGCTGGGTCTCCCCCCGGGACTTCCTTCTTGGCCTTGCCATCATCCAAGCCTTTCCTGGACCGAACTTCAACTGTAAGTTCCGCATACATGCCCCTTGCTTCCCCCAATCTGGCATCACTCCCTTACTAAGCTACCCCCAAAGTCGCTGTCTACCTCGGTGCCCTCGCCGCCAAGGGAACCTCCCTCCCCCTCGCCGCCGGCGCCGTCATCGGCTTCATTGGCATCTTCACCCCTGGCCTCGTGCTACACACTGGCACCATGGGTGTATGGCGCACTCTCCGTGGCTACCGCTGGTTTACTTCCTGTCTGCGTGGGGTCAACGCAACAGCCGTCGGCCTCGTCTACACGGCTGTCTTCCGTCTCTGGCGCATTGGATACATTGATGGGGAGAACCAACAGGGAACCTCGCTGGAGACGGATCCGTGGTGGGTGGTTATCACCGCGACGAGCTTCGTGGGCGGGATGTGGTTCAAGTTGCAGGCTCCTGTGGCTATTCTACTTGGTGGGACGATGGGAATGGTTTGGTACGGGATTGTCAGGGCTTGAATCCGGCGGTTTGATTCTCGATTCGAATGTGGAGGTTCACAGTGAGAATGTTATAAGAAGCGTGGTAAGGTTGAGGATTCAGTTCATGGATACTAAGTTCTCGTGCTGATGACAGGAACTCAATCGAGTTATTCTCTGCTTTCCCACAACTCCAGGATGGTCTACTATCGATGTACATTATCGAAACGCTCTTTATTAAGCTCATTTCTGAGGGCGATTGCGATTTTCGACTACAACGTGAGCTGCCTCTATTGAGTTTATCGAAGTCTATTCACCGATCTATTTTCTTTACGAAGAGAAAATCAGGAAGCCACGTACGCCTTGCCCTCCCCCACCTTCCCCTGTGTAGCCAGTGTTTTCGCATCGAGCTGAATGTGTAGAGTCATAGCCGGGGTTGTGTCTGTCACCAAGCCACGTACACATCTTGCTGAGATTTTGCCCTCGTCCTCTAGAGTAAGTTCATAGATCGAGGCGCAGAGTGGTATCGACTAAGTCACCGACACAGCTTCTCTTGGAGGGCTTGAAGTGGAGGTGCAGCTGCGGCGCGCCAATGCTTACAAGGAGCTTCGGAGGGGCTTGTTGAATGAAGTTTCTGGCGTAGAAGCGTCACGATTTGTAGATAGGCGTTGGCACGCCCTGTCAGGGCTTGGAATAGCTTCGGCAGGCGCTGTGGATGAGAAGGTGGTTGGCATGAGGGTAGGAGCAGACTCCTTACGAGCCGCCTGAGTTGGTCACACGCTCGGCGCACCACTGCCCCGAGGTGCCGCATTCATCAGCGGCCTCTTACAGTAATGCATAAGAAAACAACCCAGATCTTTGGTGCAAAGGTGGCGATGAGTAGCACAGAGGGTCCTACAATCGACAGACCAATACACAAGCCTCGAATCTTTGATAAAGCTCTAGACAGGTGCTTGCATTTGACCGCAGCACAGAAGGCTGTGCATACCATGTACAACAATCGACCCTCGAGAAGACCTTCTGAACATGACCTCTGCGACATCTCCCGTGGGCAATTGACTACCCCAAAACATTCAATAGCCGCAACGCACTCGGTACCGCTGATCTCAGACTGGTCGCGATCAAGCATCGGCATCAATTTGGAGCTCTTCTGCAACCGCTGCATTCTTCCGCTTCATTCCCGTTCGTCGTCTACCGATCTTGATCGAATTGACTTCTTTGATACAAGCAGGACAATACGTTCTACTCTCCATGGTCCCACTTTTACTAATTCTCTTGCCCAAGCTTATGAACGTCCAGTCTTCGTCTTTCCACCGTGTAATCTTCAGGGATATTTTGGTGGTGTGATCGCCAGACCTCTCAGAAACATACTCTTCTTCCAAGTGACCGCCATTGATAGGGCGATATATGCGACAGATGAAACACATACGGTACTTCTCCGGCATCCAGCTCTGGAGCAGATTCAAAAAGGTAACGCGACGGGTGTCGTCTAGATATGCGCCTTTTTTCGACGGGAACGTTGCCTCTGCCTTCAAGCAATGGAGGGCAAGGTATTTCGAAGCCAAAGAGAGGCATGTTTTCCCCATAGGATCCGTATTCTTGACGATCTGAAGAAGGATTTCTGATGGCATTGAGAGGAGGCCTACTTTCGAAGGGCGCCCAGGCTGGAACGACCGTGCCAGCACAAGAGGGTCGACATTCTCTAAGGAACCATTCGGAGCGGGTTCCTGCTGTGGATACGCAAATCCCGTCGGGAAGTAGAAAGACTGGCTTTGATCGCAATCGCAGACGCGTACTTCGAGAAGATCTGAAAGGAAAGTCAATTATCATTCAGACAACGGAAGGAGTGAAACTGGCATACTTGCTTCGGAATCACAAGTTTTCTGTGGCGCTTGGGGACTGCTTGGGTTCTCTTCAACCTCTTTCGCTTGTTTCTAGGCTGCGAGATGTCAGCTGTGCCTTCAAGCTGGAAGCATATTTCTTGCCATCTTGAAACTTTGGATGTCCTCTACTGAGACGGTGATACTGAAGATGTCAAAGATAAAAGTGAGGAAAGAATGATGTTTCGTACGGGAGATAAAGTGAAGGTTTGCTGAAGCTGATGATGTTGTGTCTGGGTGAGTTGATCCCTATTAGTAGACTTCAGTGAATACAACATGTCGGTGCCCTCCATAGTAGTAAGTGGATCTTACCTAGGTTTCTGCCTTGATTCTACATTCAAGTCAGCTGGCCGGGAAGCTGGACTCACATAATAAGGTATTCCCTCAATCCGATCGACCCCCTCCCTAACAGATAGCTGGTACATGCCAACAAGATGCCTTTCAATGGTAAGGCTAAGACCAGAAAGGGTCTGCCTCTCCCATTCAGGGCATGCGATTGTGTCTCATGTGAAGAAGACCAGTAAGCCAGCATCCTTCGAGAACCAGTTACATGATACCGACCAGTGAGTTGAAGCTCACATTGCACCAGGGGAAAGTTTCGAGAGATTATTCTTCATCGTCAACATCGGCTAAATCCATCAACCACAGACTGCCGTCTCAAGGTCAACTTCGAGTTCGCTGCCAGCCCAGCCAACGCGCTCGACTCTCACTCTACAAGCAAGACGACGATCCTTCGACTTCCAGATGAATTGCTACTGCGGATCTTCAAGCTCACCAGATTCGTGCCGACGGCGATCTGCTTAGCTCTTACATGCAAACGTCTATGCTCACTTTATCTCGACAACTTGAAAGACCGCTCTGAGAAAATTGAAAATCGACTCTGGAATTCTACTAGTGGGTTCTGGAAATATAAGCTTATTGACAATCTTATCCGTGGCTGGATCCCTCAGCAGTCTGTTCGATTCTGCTGGGCTTGCTGGCTCTTTCGACCTTACGGGGAAGCCTCGACAGAGTTCTGGCGCGCCAAGATTCCGGCCTTGACAGCGATTCCAGAACGAGAGAGGTCCCGTGTTGCGGGAGGATACTGCTGCTGCTTTCAGAACGCGGCTCATTGTACTGGAAGCCTACTGTTCTCCTTATCAACTATGATCTATGAGGAGGTTCCAGGACTCCGAGATACCAGCCAAGATCCCATCGATTGGGAGGAAGAATATGAGTACGCGAGGCGTCTTCGAGACTGTGATGATCTTCCGCAATATCAAAACAATTGGGAGGTTCAATTCTGGCTTGGTGAGCAAGGTCTGGCTGGGGTAGAGACGTCACTGGCAAAAGACAAGAGGATCCGTTGCCCTTCCTGTGTGTTAGTGGACAATCAGTTGCGCTTGGGGCACCGGGGCATGAAGGTTGTTTGGCCTGATGGCCATCCTGATCCGTCGGTAATCGTGAAAGATACATTGAAGCGGCGGGCGAGCTTACTGGGCTATGAATGGAACCCAAGAATTGCATTCTACTCCTTGACAGGAACGGAAGGCCTTTCAAGCAGAATGCGCAAAAGCCGTCAGAAAAAGAGAAGACAGAACGTAGCAATCATGGAGACACGCACTGTCTCCGGGTAATAGTTGGGACGCAGAGATTCGCAATTCAAATAATCAGAAAGCTGAAAGCCGAGGCAACGACTGGCGATTAGAAGATACAGGACGGCTTTGCAGCATGCTATCGACAGAGATGGTGGTTACGGTATGCGACAGCTATTAAGGAATGTCGATACGGACGGCCAGTATCGTGGACTAGGTCAAGAAAGCAACAGCCAGGGAGAGCTGAGAATAATCAGATACTCCGTACCGAACACCAGATACGCTGCACTAATGTGGTATTCGCTTCCAACAGAATCATGACTGTTAGCAATTGTGGCTGCCCTGGATGCGCCCATGCACAGCCACGGCGGCCCATTTCAGATTCATGCGAGCTAGGTCAAGTTCAGTATTTTGGTTGCCTGGCATATTTTCATCCAATCAGAGAACCAATGATAGGCTAGAAGAACTCTTTCTCTCCGCCAGCCAGGTCTCGCATGGTCCACAACGCTCTAGGCCACGGTCACCCGTTGCGCAGATGTATCTGGAAGCCTTGCACTCACATCATTCCACCACAAGCAAGCATCCTCAAGATTATGCCAAGGTCATCATGGAAAATTCTGGCTGCTTTGGGTCCGGGAACGTTTCTTTAGGTAGAGCCTGGTAGAATTGCCACCCTATGGTTGGACCTTTCTTTAAAACGGCAGCTATAGAATGTCAAGATATTCCCTACGAAAAAGCAGCTGTAACATATCTCCTTCATCCTTCAAGCATCTTCAACGATTAGATCCCAAAAACCTTCGCCCCGACTCATTAATCATGTCCGCCACCAGCGGTTACGATGGCTTTGCCAGCTTCGATATCGACCCCACCGCCTCCATTGTCACAGAGTTCAACCGCCTCGCCATCCAGAAGAGTTGGAAGAAAGACTCCAAGCAATACAAAAACCAACGTGCCCGCCTCGTCAACCAGGAATTCAATGCCTACTTTGGCAGCAATCTCAACGACCTCGCAGCTTGGCAGGCTCTTTGTAAGGCTGTTGGCATCACAACCATTCCTTCATCTGTCACTCAATGCAAAAAGGTACAGAACTCCCATCCATCTCCCATTTGGCTTAGCCTGATCCCGTTTCAGCTTCTCAAGAAAGTCTATGTCAATATCTATGACCTTATTGACGCTGCTCGATTGGGTGAAGTGGCCCGAACTTTCCCCAACAACCAGCAGCTTGCAGCGTACACGAAACCGAACAAGGTTTTCCCGAAGAGAGAAGCGAAGTTAAACAAGCTTCTGAAGTTCATGCTGAGGCATATCTTCTAGTGTGAGGGCAGCTGGAGGCGGTCTTGTGCTTTTTCTCGGGTTGGAGCTACTACAAGAAATGTTTGGTGCATTCTCAGCAGAGGGGGTATCCTCAATCAAGGGTCAAAAGACTTGGGTCACCGTTGATTAAACGAAGGTCATCCATAGCGGATGTTGATACATCCTTTGCAAGGACATCCATGGCTTAGTCAGCATGTTTTAGCCACTTGGGATCTTTACGGAGTTGTTAGCCTAGAAGATGTATGCCTGGTATCGTCAAGTTTCACGTTAGACACGGTGGTCCTGTTGGATTACAAAAGCCCTTGGTTGCGGAAGAACGAATTTCGGTGCTCCAGGGTACGATGTCGCTCGGCTCATTCTAACAGGTTCCTATTTCGTTCATCTACCTGTGAGCACCCTTCTAGCCCTATCATCTTCTTCTTTTACATCCTCTCCACGTTCCCAAAGTCCAACTCCTCCATGCATGCTCACGCAAAGCAATATTGTTGCTAACACCCCGGTTTTGGGACAAGCTTGCGAAATCTTCCTTGTTGTGCGGAATTTACTTGCAAGAACCATCACATCTTTATGCATGCAGAAGAGTACGGTGTATTCTGCTGCTGATGACATAGGGGAAAAGTTCAAAAAGAGTAAGTAGTGTGTAAAGAATCGATGTCACATGTATGTACCATCTGCATTTCGTGGGTAGCGGATGTTTCGTACATCCTGGCAAGCCGCAAGATGAGATCGGGTGATGCGGATGGCCCACTCACAATGACAAGAACCACGACAAATGTGATGTCATGTTTCAAGTAAAGGTGAGAAACGTCAGCCATTTGTGCTAAAATGGTCGCTAAAGCAGCTTGAACAACACGATATAGTCCATGTGTAACATGGAAGATGATGCTGAGACGCTGTATGAAGGTAGGATGGCAGAGCCACTAGCTATGGGTTTAGAAGTCTATGCTCGAAGAATTCTAGAGATGCTGTACTAACTACCACACACATTCATTCCATCTGAGCGGAAGAGTACCGATCAAAAACAAGATTTCATACATACCAGCAAATCCCGAACAAGGACTCCTTCCCCTAAGATATTCCTCCGCCTCTGTACGTCTTTGTCAGAAAAAGCAGCGACTACTAAATACTACGCAGGCAAACTGCAAGTATGGCTCAAGGAGGTTTGGAGCTTTCCCGGACCTCAGAGCCCAAAGGTCGTAGACTGACAGCGCATGTCCAGGCATCCGTCACACTGGAGACTATGTCTGGCGGTGGGTAGCTTCACCGAACCATCAAGAGAGACGACATTGGGGCTCGACGTCTTCTGAGAAATCGTCACCCCCAGACCATCCGATATCCCCGGAATGTACATTCTCTGACGTATCAGCAACCCCAAGGCACTCAACGTCCTCCGCAGATGTGACAACCTTACCCCCACCACCCCTATCTAGGAGCAGCTCACCTGGTCGGGCGACAAAAGCAGAAATCACACTAGCCAGACCGGCAGCGTCCTCAAACCTCCTCCGAATGTCAGAATCATCAAGGCGACAGGAGCGGGCACCCTTAGTTCATGGCTTACATCCCACAACGACGGAATCAGTATCCGTATCATCTTTAGAAACATTGCCGCCCAGAAACATTACTCTACCACCGCGGCAACCGCTACCATTGTCAAAAGATCAAGCAGCTCTCTACCTGGCTGTATACGAGCGCGAGCCCCAATTTGATCCCATTTACGATAAGTCGAGCACTGCGAAGCGGGATTGCTCCATCCTGGTTCAATGTGAGGCGCACATCCAGAATTACACAGAACACTTTTGCGACATGACGTCCAGCTCTCGCCACAACCACAACAGGCAGTTTTACGTGATTCCGAATCTCCCTAATCCCAGAATGAACTCACCGGGTCTTTTAGGTATGCATTTCATTGCAAGGATTCCTCAGCATCGCATTGGAGAAGTCGATGCGGCAATCAAGTACGTGGATGCGCACTGGACACCCTTGATGACTTCCAGGCGGAACTTCTGGATTGACACAGTTCTTCTGAGACTAGCGCAAGCCTCACTCATATCGCATACTCAAGCACAGGCAATGCTGTTAGCCAAGAAGCGAACTCTTGAAAAGCCGCATAGAGGGCCCTTCCCAAATAAAGCTCTATGCTTTCCATCTCTCAGGATAGATGCTGCTTCTTCTGAAGGGATATAGCGCTATCTGTGTTGAAGAGCCAAGATTATTGGCTTTCCGTCCAATGCCTTGCAGAGATCTTCCAAGCTACAAAGCCGAGACTCTCAATACAGGGACATTTGACTCTGGAAAAGGCTTCCAGATAGGATGGGTTTAGGCCAAAGGCGTGACATAAGGGATGGAGAGAAAAGATTAGGGTAGGCGGAGCTATTGCAACCCAAATCTTGCCCCTCCATCCTCCCAATGCCATTGCAAAATCACCTATGCCACTAAATACCACAAGCAGACCCTCAGATGATTTGGTGTTGTGAAACCTTGTTGCCATCCGCATTTGTTCAAGATTTGGTGATGTCCAACAAACATTTACTTGAAGTTACGTAGTACGGTTAGCGCCAAGGCTTTTCGTCATGGCAGCCATATTCCCCCAACCAGTTTCACATTATTTTTCTGGTGCCTTGTCACAGAAGCACGGCACACAGCATTAGTTGCGCAGAAAGATTGCCTACGCTATTGCGGTGAACCAAGGGCAAGGGTATCAGGAACAATGTTTCACATCCCCAACATATCGGTAAGATCAGTTTTCAAAAATGCATGTTGAGCGATTCCTGCCATGAAATAAGGGTCATCCTATGACCGCACATGCTCGACTTCCTCTTCGCCCTACTGATCCTGGAAATGTCCTCCAGCTACCGCATCCAGTTTTCCTCGCTCCAGCGCTCTTTATAACAGTAATCTTTTTGCCAACCCCAAAGGCTTTGGTTTTTCAATACTCCTAAACATGTTCATTGCCGCTGCTGCACAAGAAGCCCTGTTCTGGTTGCAAGCATGACGATGGAAAATCTTACGACTACGTTCCTAAATTTCTAGCGTACCGAAGCCGTCGCGAAACCTTTACTGCATCAGCAACTAAACAAGCTCAACACCCTTCGAGGTTAGGTGAAGTGGTCCACAAGATTGCCCAGGGTCTTTCACGTGCAGAGAAAAATCCACAACTCTTTGGAAATGGGTTGACCGGATGAAAGCTCGGTCTTGCAGCCGCTGAACGCGCAGCAGATGCGACCACCTCTCAGAATCCTTCGACTGAACAACGGAGGCCTCATGCTGAAGCTCCATGCACAGCACATCCGCAGGCCTCGTAAAAGTGACCTGAGTGAAAGTAAGACTACCCGTGCCGCGCCCAAAAGCCCAGGATCCCCCTTACATTCCTCAAAGCGCTTCGGTTAGACCGTTGGCTACTCAGTGCTGTAACTCCACGTAAAGGGAAAGGGCTCACGGGCACTCCAAAAGGGTTTGCAATTAGGAATTGTTGATCCAGCGCAAGGCGGATAGATGGAATAGGTCGCCGTGTGCAAGCGAATTGCAACTTCTGTGCGGAGATGATGGATTTCCAAATCGAGCAATTGTGAGAGATGAATATACACTAGAACTTACAGATTGATCGGGAAATGATCGAGTTAGTCCTATTGAGCGTGCTAAGGAGCAAAGAACCTAATTTCAAGGGTGTGGCAGTCAAACTCAAAAGTTTTGAAGGGAACTACTAACTCCACCAGGTTCATTCCAGCTTACATAATTATGATATCTTTCTCTCGTCTTCGTTTAGACCACACAGGAACCAGCACTCCTCCCGTTACCCAGGCAGTTGATAGAGGTCAGCCAGCTCAAACCCCACAGCAATGGCTACAGCACTCCTCATCATCGACATGCAAAACCACTTCGTCTCCATGACCAGTGGCTCGCTCATCCCCAACATCACAAAGCTTGCATCCCACTTCCGCTCTCGTTCCCTCCCCCTGATCTTCACGCAGCACGGCCACTCCAAGACCGAACTCACCCCGCCCTTTCGAAACCAGCTCGTCCGGAAATGGGGTCCCGAAGGCTCGATCGCCAAGGGATCCGCGGGTTGGGAGTTGCTTCCGGAGATCGCTGCACTGGTAGGAGGGGTTGATTCATCTCCCGTTGTGGCGAAGAATACGTATGATGGTTTTATCAATACGGAGCTTGCGCGGGTGTTGGAGGCGAGGGAGGTGGAGAGAGTGGTTGTTGTAGGTGTGATGACGGATTGTTGCGTTGATACTACGGCGAGGGGGGCTTTTAATAGGGGTTTTGAGACTTGGGTCGTTGGTGATGCTTGTGCTAGTGCGAATAAGAGGCAGCATGAGGCTGGGTTGAGGGGGTTTGAGTATGGGTTTGGAGAGGTGGTTACGACGAGTGAGGTTTTGGAGAGGATCTGAATTCAGCTGGAGAGTGCTTGAAGGGGGAAGCATCTGCTCGACACTTCTTCTGAAGCTGGGGATAAAAAATATGAAGGTAACCACCAGTAAACAGGTTACGAAGCGGATCACGAGTCGGAGACTTGATCTGCTGCCGATGCTGAAGAGACTTCAAGTGTCCATGGCGTGAATGTGGAAGAGGTGAAAATGCGGTAGGTAAGTTTTTGAGAGTCAGATGGGAATTTGATTTGAGATATTGTGACAACGCTTGACAGGGCTCGGTGTTGAAGCTATTGCAGCAAAATTTATCTCCTTTCCATGAGCATGTCTCGATACGTACAGATGCAAATGAGATGAACTCTCGGTCAGCAGGATGTTTTTGGCCAATAGGGCCTCATTTCCGACGGGCACAACCCAGGGGACCATAGCAGCGAAGATCGAATGATTCATCTTCTGCGCAGCTTCATCAGTCTGAACTTCGGCATTGCCTCCCGCATTGAATCTAATGCCGGCGGGTCTATTTTCCAGAGCCCACGGGCCACACTGGTCCATGCGTTTGTCAGACCCAGAGAATGAGGATAATCTGGCAATTGACTCGCTAAGAGCTTGAATATGAGCACTTCAAAACAAGGATGAATCTTCGCAGCTCACGGGAAACCCATCTCTTTTTAACAAGACGTGTCCCTTCCCAGGATATACCAGAAAGACGGAGGGATCTAATACCTCTTGAACTACTACGTAGTACTGGCGACAGCTGCGGCTCTACTCCGGTACAGTACTGGCGCATCCTCTATACGAGACTCATTCTCGGGTTGAAGGAGGGTATCTACATAGCAAGCTAGAGATCGTTGGCTTTGTTTGGGCGTGGGACCCAATTGGCCAGTGTCCTAAAATAGGGTGCCGCTGACGCAATGACGACTAAGAAGCATGGACTGAAACGCCACGTCTCGCTTCGAGATCTCTTACTAGTACTATGCCGCAGTACCTGTTACTTAAAGAGTCGGCCCCAATGCCAAGAGGCTCAGAGCAGGTTGCCTACACCCTTCAAGTTTCTCCCCAATTTGTCGCTCGGCGAAGACGCCTTGCCAAGCGTGAGACGGGATCATCTGCCCTTTGAGTTCACTGCCATGTTCCCGAGGCTGTGAAGAGCTTGGCCCTTCGGAAGATACAAGTCTTATATGTAGAGGCATCTACATATCTTGAGAAGCTCGTGTGACACATCAACTCCTTCTGTGCTCGACTGTTAGCACGTCGAATCCTTTTGATAATCCCACCTCTTTTGATTCAGGCATTGACGTCTCAAGCGGCACCACCAAACACAGAGTTTCACCTATCAGCACCGAGATGGATGTCATGTCGCCTACGAACGATACTGACAAACAGACAACTGATTTCACTGCCGATATGGGAAAGGAAGTCTGTCACACTCCACCCTCAGATACCGACAAGGTGGTTGTGCCACACCTTCCACCCATTACTAGCGAGAAGGAAATCCGACAACCTACCAACAATACCGACAAACAGCTCTTCCCAATGCATGATGGCTCTTCAACCACGAGTACTAGGTCAACGCCGAGCCATACCTTTCGTGTCGAGAAATCCAATTCCATGGGTTTGATAATGCCACGGAACCAGACATTGCTACTCCGGTCTCTCAATCCGACGACAAAGTTGGATCAAGGACCTGCTTTCATCACGAGCGAGATGGATTGGGTTGATGTTTGCGCCGTCAACCCTCCGCCATTTGAGCTCTACACCGCCCACGTCTTCGGCCGGCCGGAACTGGTGGCAAGACTCGTGCCAAGAGGCTGGCAGGGTTTAACCAGCATGAAGAGCGAGTTCGAGTTGTCTTGTGGGGGAGACAGGCAGAAATGGGAAGTTGTGAGAAAAGGTTTGAATCGGACTTACCAGCTCAATGGCATGCTCGGCCATGAAGGGCGGGAGTTTGTGTGGAAGGGCAGTACCAAGACTGTCAAGTCTTTGACCGGAGATGAGAAGAAGACCAAGGGTAACTTGTAGCTGACGACTAAGGATGACGAGGTGCTGGCAATTTGGCAGCAATGGAGAGATAGGGTAGTGCTTGGAGACATCCTGATCTTTGAGAACGCAAAGGATAAAGTTGCGGTAGAGGTGATACTGACCAGCTGTATCTGCGTGGTTTCGTCAGAAAGGGCAAATAGCCTGAACTGGTTCGGTGGGCTTGGAAAATGAGGCTGGAGGGAGCGGAATACATTATTGTTATAGGGGCGTTTTGCTCTCTTGATTTGATATGCACTGGCAGTTCGCGGTTTAATGAATCTCGCAGACTTGACGAGTTCGTCTGGGCGTTTTTGGCACGGCTTTTCGACACCCCTTGGTTAAATGATATCATCCTACTTTTGGCCAAGCTGAGATTGAACCTCTCGTATCTCCTCTTTCAAGCTCCGCGTCTTTGCAACTCGTTTACTCCGCAGTACCGTGACTGATGTGTATTTGATGGAAGAATGAATCCCTGCTTCTTGGCCCCTTGCCATCTAGGCATCTGGCTACACCCATCACTTTCCCTGGTGATTGGTCTCTCTTGCTTCGACCCAGTCTAGGATCCATACTCCCTCTTGTCCCTGCAATAGGCTATTGGGAGTCATACGAATATGACGGCGCCAACACTCAGTATATAGGGGAGGTGAGGTGTCAGTGCGAACCTACATAGCTTGGGTTCTCTTGCCATGTGCTCCTTGGAATATGACCTGCAAACAACAAGTCTATTACAAGGATTGACGAGGCGGACAGCCCACTACTGTAACTCAATTGCACAGCTTGACTCCAGTAATTTGACCTAGCGGCCAGGACGGCCACCTATATTGACAGTCGCTGTCGAGTATGCAGCCACAAGCTTGAAAGAGCATCAAAGCCTTTCTGACCGTACTAGCCCACATTATTACTCCCAGCTTCTGACTGGCTCTGTTCGGTCGACAATGTCCAGATCTTTCAAAGCAAGCGCAAAGCCGACCATGGGCAGACATAGGCTAGTTCCAATAACGCAGAGCAATCTCAGATGTAGCCATAACTAGGTCGCGGACCTCACCTCCGTGCCGACCGGCTACGATGGGACTGCCTCAAAGACGATCGGTAAATCTCTTGCGCCAGTGTAGCCTCAGACTGGAACTGCAGATTCGTATCTCTAGACTGGTAGAGCGTTTATGTCCATATAGCGCCCGAAACGCAGGTGCCAAGTGCACTCCCAGTATTGAGAGCGGAAAAATGAAGGTCGGCCCAAAGAACGTCGAGTAAGAGCACGAAGGTGGTAGGAGAAGGTCGGTTGTAGGTAGGAAGCCGGTCAGCGCCCCTCGCTGCAGGACCCGGCGCACCAAGCCCGAAGGTGAGGCCAGCTAGAAGAGAAGCGGGAGAGAGGAAAAAGGAGTAGAAGACAAATGAGAAGGGAGGATAGCGGGGATCGAGGATCAGCAGGCTGTTAAATTGGGGCCAAGCGGCGAGAGGGCGCGATAGGTAACGCACGGGATAACAGCCGGTCTTTGCGGCCGCTTTTGACACACATTTCACCCGGTGGCTATGTGACCTGCGCCTCTCTTCTGTCACCTCCATCAAAACAATCCATAACAACCAGGTCTCACAAACGCACCCCCCAAACCCCCCTAGCTCCCCTAACCTTCCACGACCGTTCTATTTGACATTGCTGGCATAATGATGGAGTTTCTTTCCATGATCAACATGATCCGTTGTATCACTAAATGGGCGACTCTGCACTTATTCAGAATAGCGTTGCCGTGATCTAACTAACTAGTGTTATATATCTGCTGCAGCCTTGGCAACAAGAACATCAAAACTTTTTGAGTATGATTTTTGTCTTAGATGTTTTTGAATCAAATATTGATATTTTGAAGAATTTGAAGATGTAGAAATATTCAAGTCCATAGCGGTGCCCCCCCAAAAATAAGAAAAAAGGACACAGGGTAGGGAGTAGCGCACTTATGATGGTAGTTTGATATGGTTCACCATGTTTGCAGAATAAGGAGTGTCATTGCCGGTTCTGTATACCTAAGGCCTGAGTAATGAGAGTCAAATAGAAACATGTCCAAAAAGTCACACCACCTCTCATCTATCTAAGCTTGCATCTTGGCCACAATCTTCTCGCACAGCGCCGTCAAGCTATTCGCGCTCGTGATTTCCAACACCGTCACCTCGACACCGAGTTCCATACGAATCCAGTTCCGGAGCTCAACCGCAGACAATGAATCCAAGCCGTACGTCGATAAGCTTTTACCGGGCTCCATGGGTTCCGGGAGGCGTAGTGTGCGCTCAAACTTCGACCCGACGGCGACCGCAGCCGCACCAAGCATGGCCGCTGGCTCGGCCCCGGAGCCGCGAAGGAGCAGAAGCGCCTGCACATCTTTCTCCGCGCTGCTTGCCGTAGATCCAAGCTCTTGCCCGTCGGCGTTGGAATGGAACAGTGCCGAAAATCGCGCATCGTATGCGAGCTCGGAGTCGGCGGGCTGAGGAACCAGAATGCCGGTGATGAGCTGTGATGCAGAGGCGTGCTTGATCGGGGCGGTCTGCTGTAGAACGCTGAGGCCGAGGATCTTGTGCAGGACATACTCGTTGATGCCGATCCATTGGCGGTCGTCGAAGTGCTTCTGCATACCGCCCTGCTCGGCCACGTAGCCGACATCTTCGATAACGCCAAGATCAACGCTGTGTGCTGGGAGGCCCTGGGCGAGGCGGTAAGAGGAGAATGCATCGAGGAAGACATTTGCGGCTGAATAATTCGCTTGTCCCTTTTGTCCAATCACACCACTAACAGATGACAGCAGAGTGAAGAACCTCAGAGGCTTTTTGAGATCGAGGGATGCATGGTGAAGATTCCAAGTCCCTGCAACCTTGCTGGATAAGGTGGTGTGGTAGTCAGAGACGGTCATCATCTCATATGGTTTGTCCTGCATTTGTTAGCCGCGAGAACGGCCCAGCTCACCCTGTTACTTACCTTGAGCACCATTGCACCTTGAATTATACCGGCGATTGGATACTTGGCGCTCTGGAATGCCTTCTTGACGTCCGAGAGACTACTCACATCAGCCGCGGCCTCTTGTACTTCACAACCCAGCGCATTGCAGTTGACGATGACATTTCGAGATCGCTCATCAGAACAACCGCTTCTTGACATCGCAACGATGTTCTTCGCACCGTGCTTCGCAAGATAAATCGCGAGACTGCCACAGAGACCTTTGAGGCCACCAACAATCACGTACGATGCATGATCCTCAAAAGAGACTGCTCGAGGTGGCGGTCGGACCTGAACTGGTACCTTGGTATCTTCCTCGTCAGTGATGACAATTTTTCCAATGTGTCGTCCACTTCGCATGAAAGCGAAGGCTGCAGGTACCTGGCTAAACGAGTAGGTTGTGACGGGGTGGATGGCTTTTAGATGGCCCTCGGAGACGAGCTTGAATGTACGTTCTAGCAAGCTATACTTTTGTTAGCCTGAAGAAAAAAGGATATCAGAAGCGGCTCTTACCTTGCAATGAGGGAGTCCTTGATTTGCTTGCTGAACGAGAAATCGACAGCACGGAACGAGCAGTTCCTGTCGAAAGGTTCCATGGAGAGAAAGTTTCGGTCAACAATGTCCTTCTTTCCAATCTCCACCATGTTACCGCCGTCAGCACAAATTCTCCATGATTCATCCAGGAGTTCGCCTGTTAGTGAGTTAATGATCACGTCAATGCCTCTGCCCTCCGTGGCCGCCATGATCTTTGGCGCGAACTCTGTGGTGCGTGAGGAGAACATTCGCTCAAAGGGGATTTTGAAGTTCTCGTGCAAGAACTGGCGCTTGTCTTCGGTTCCAACGGTGACATAAATTTCTGCACCAATCCACTGCGCCAGCTGGATGCACGAAAGGCCAACCCCTCCAGCTGCGGAGTGTATCAGCACCGAATGGCCCTTTGACAGCCCACCAACGTCGAATAGTGAGTACATGGAGGTAAGGTATACCAGAGGGATAGTAGCAGCATCTTTGAAGCTCATGTCAGCAGGAATGTGGTGAGCGCGATCGACAGGACATTGAATCCTGTTTGCAAACGTGCCATTCTTCAATAATGCCACTCGATCACCGACGCGAAATCTTTCTGCTCCTTTTCCAACTCGGCGGACAACACCAGATCCCTCAAGACCTAGTAGATGCTCGTTTTCGGGAACGATTCCCATAGTAACTGCAACGTCCTTGAAGTTCAGACCTGCTGCTTTGATGTCTACTTCGATGTGGTTCTCGAGGATTGGTAGTTCTTCAGATGACATTTCCGAGTAGCAGAGCGAATCCAAAGTGCCCAGACGCTCCGCTCGCAACATGGCCACGCCATCAATGTCTTGTAACGAGCGAGCAACAGGAGGGCCACCTAGTTTTTCATTGTTCTTAGCTGTGTTGATGGGCTCGTCTGGGACCACTCGATTGACGTGAATGATGCTACCCCTTTCGACAAATTCGCTTTCAATCTGAGTTTTGGATGGTGACTTCAGGAACAAGCGAAGGACTCGCTCAATGGCGAGATATGTGGATGGACTCTCACTGTATTCGACGTCGAGTGTAACGAGATCGGCAGCCCTATCTTCAGCTCGAATTGTGCGGAAGAGACCGTGGACCAGAGCATTGTCCGGCTTAGTAGCCTCCATCTGAGAACCCTCAGTAACCCATAGAATTCGGTTTCGTTGCGAGATAATGCGACGAAGTCCATCCCACCGAGATTCGGATATGGAATTGAGCACAGGAGAAATCGTCTCATCAATAACCAGTACAATACTCTTAGCTTGTACGTGAGAGTATGGGTGGAAGTGTTCGGTAAGCTGCCAATCTGATTGCTCAAGAATGGTCTTAAGACCATCGCTTAGGCGACTATGATCAGATAGATGCATAACGCTGACCCTCTTAGCGGTAGCAGTATCTATTGTTTGGTTAACAACTTTCCCCATGTAGGCCTTGGGTGCCCAGCTCTGAGGTGCTCGAAGAACGTTGCTGTAACCGCAGTTTGCAATAGAGGAGACAATCGCATGATCCTCACAGGCCATTCTAGTATTCTCGGTAGTCTTTGTTGCCAACTCATGCCCATGGACGAAAACCGTACTTGAGTCGCTGTCACTTTCAGAGACTGGCGTGGCGGCTTCCGTTTGTTGCTCCAAGAACACAACAAAAGCATCGTCGGACATGCCAGCGCGTATAGAGGCTGCAACCTTGGTCACAGTTTCTTCGTTCAGATCTGAAACTTTCACGATGGCGAGGTCGTAGTCTATCTCCGGCAAAGAAGATCCTGGCCTCAATATATCAGTAAGGTGAAACGAGGTCCGCTTCATCACGTCGTAGTCCTCCTTTGCGCTTAATAGGGCTTTCGCATCAGATGATACATATGAGTATTGAGCGACTCCTGAACGGATGACACTAGTTTCGCTTGAGAACCACAAGCTTGTAGAGTCTTCAGCTAAGCATGACGCTTCCAGAACTTTAAGAGCAGGCTTCTTGTGGGCGATGAGATCAATGAGGTGCTGAATTCCCCGGGAGCTGTCCCTGTGCGCGAGCGAATAGAGCTGGTCCTGTGAAAGGAAGGTAATATCGGGTCGCCAAATGGTGCGGTTGTATGTGTGCCTATCGTGCATGTCGCTGCCCATATCCAGCTTATAGTATCGAAGTCCGTTCATCTTGAGCATGATCTTACCGCTAGCTTGATCGAAGACTGAGCAATCAGAGAAGAAGCTTTTCGCTTCCTCCCTTCTTCCACGTCCAGTGTACTGGGATCTAGCAAGAGAAAGACCTTCCTCAACACCAGAAACCTTCGGGTACACCACCAAGTTATCGAGCGTGGCAGGAACCAGCACGGCATTTATGGTGGCTCTCTCACCAGCCCAGAGGGAGGGTGTGACAGTTTGAAAACAGCCATCAATGCATGCAGGATGCATTGGGTACAACGATTGAGGCGAGTGGGCAGACTCAGGTTCGGTCAGCGATGTTATAGATCTGCTCTCCCTCTGTCCAGCAACAGTCTCAACGAACAACTGTTTTTGAAATCCTGGACCGAAACCGTAGCCAACTTCGGTCTGGGCTTTGTACCACAGGTGAGCAGGTGTGGGATATTTGAGCTGAGCTAGATCTTCTCTCGGAGCGACTGTATAAATATTAGACTGGAAAATAATCAACTTTGTTTTGGGAGAACTTACTCTTCACATTGACATCTTCGGTGCGGATTAGTCCTGTGCAATGCGTCATGGATATCCCATCATTCGACGATGACACCTGGAACTCATACCAAGTATTCTTGGTTCCTGCCAGAGGATTCAATGACAGCACCACTTTCGACTCCGTGCCTTCCTCAAGAACAAGAGCTTTTTCAAACTTGACGCTCCGAAGGCGGTATTGCAAAAATGCAGCAGATGGCTTATCCACATGGATTCCTTGCGCTGTGCTGGTCTGATACAAAGCCTCCATCGCCATGGAGATATAGCCAGAGGCAGGGAAAATGATGTCTGTTCCCATTCTATGATCCTTCAACCAAGGAAGGCGTTCAAGCAGGAGCGTCTTCCTAAAGGCTGGGGCATGCCAAGGGGTTGCTAATATCTTAGAGCCGAGGAGGTCATGTTCAGGGAACTGACGGAATCTCCAGTCTTTGCTGGCTTGGCTCTCGTGCCAGTACTTATTGTTATGGTTCCAAACATAATTTGGCAGGTCCACAATCACAGAGGGCAAAGACAAGCTCGAATCTTGATCATTATTGACTTCTGAGAGGGCAATGCTGGCTCCGGAAATGAAGAGCTTGCCGGCCATGTCGAATAAGGAGTTGATCGAATCGGCACCACGGCTCAAAGTAGCGCAGTACTGCACCTTCAAACCGTCTGCTCCCATGATATTTTTGATTTGTGAAACAGGACCAGCAAGCGCACCACTTGGACCAATCTCGATTAGGTAGTCAGCACCGGTGCGGCCTGATAGCATTTCCCGGCAAGCTTCCTCGAATCTCACAGGGGATTCCATGTTAGATCTCCAATATTTGGCATCCGTTAACCCTGACATTTTCTGTCCCAGAACGGAGGAGAACATGTCTACACTCCCTCTCTTCGCGTCCAGAGGCTTGAAATTTTGTTGCAGCAATGTTTCATAGTCTTCCCCAATTTCAGACATGAAGTTGGAGTGATAGGCCAGATCCACTAGCAGCATTCGGGCGAAGTGGCCGTGCTTGACAAGCTTTCCTTTGACGATCTCGAGAGCGTCAGCCGCACCTGATAACGTGACGCTTTTTGGGCTGTTGTAACAGGCAATCTGAACTTTTTCCTGGACATCGACCAAGTACTCCTTGACGGAATCTGGCCCCAATCCAACGGCCAGCATACCGAGCGTTTTCTCGCCCTCGTGCCTGCAGTTCTTCGCAGACTGGCCGCGGTAGAACGCAGCCTTGATGGCATCTTCCTCGCTAAGATAACCTGCGGCGCACGCGGCGGCAATCTCACCTGAAGAGTGGCCGACAACGCTCTGAGGATCGACGCCCCAGCGTCGGAGTACATCGAGAAGGACGAGCTGCAATGCTGTGACCAATGGCTGGGAGAATTCTGGCAGACGGAGGTGCTCGCTAGGGCGCGACTCGGTTAGCTCGCCAAGCAAAGACCAAGAGGGCGGGTTGGGCAACTGCCGTAAGGCGGCATCAAGTTTTTCCAGCAGCGGCTTGGCAGAAGGGAGCGTGTCAACAACAGCTTTACCCATTTGCGACCACTGAGCTCCTTGTCCCGTGAAAACAAAACCAATTCGAGGCTTTTCACCGGATTTCTTGCCACTTACCATGGTCTTCGAGTCGATCTCATTGCCATGAGCCACAATATAACCCCGGTAGAAGTGGTGGCTACGTCTCTCGGACAAGGTGTAGGCCAAATCTCTTGGCTTCACCTTCACGTCAAGACTGCTGACGTGCTGGTCTAGTGTAGCAACATATGCTTGCAGCGAAGCTGCGTCATTTGCTGAGAATACGAGAGTATATGGCCGAGCTGACACTTCCTCATCATAAATATCGTCGTCCTGCGACAAATAGGACGAGACGTGGTTGGCATTCTGCTCTGGCCGGAGCGTCTTGAGCTCGTCAAGGATGACGTGCGAGTTGGTGCCCCCATACCCAAAAGAATTTACGCTCGCGCGGCGAAAGTCAGATTTTGGCCAGGGAATCGCAGTGCGACTGGCACGGATTCTCAGCTCCTCGAAATTGATTTTCGGATTTGGTGTTTCGAAGGTAGGGTTTCCAGGGATAATCCCGTTCTCGATTGCAAGTATTGCCTTGAATACTCCGCTCAATCCGGCTGCTGGCTCTGAATGTCCGAGGTTGCTCTTGATCGATCCGACTATCAAGGGTGCAGATGCTGACCGGCCACCAGCAAACACTGCTGAAACACCCTGAGTCTCCAATACATCACCTGCCGGAGTGCCTGTACCGTGGCATTCTAGATATGACGTAGCTTCAAAGCTCTCAATGCCTGCGTTAGAATACGCAGATTTTACCGCCGCGGCCTGAGCGGCTGGATTTGGTGATGCTATACCAGGCGTTCTACCATCGCTGTTGGTTGATGAACCTCGGATGACAGCTCTGATAGGATCCCGGTCTTGTATAGCATCATCAAGACGTTTCAAGATGATAGCGTTAACAGCTTCGGCCTTGATATACCCGTCCGCTTTTGCGTCGAAGGTGTGGCATCTTCCGCTTGGCGAATGTGCCATTCCGATCGGACCGGTGTCCATGACATGCTCCGGGCTACCCCGTATTTTAGTATACAGCTTTCGAGCTGGCAAATGGTACAGACTGACCTGAGGTATAGATTGCTTGCTGCTACAATGGCTGACGATATCTCCCCTGTTTGAAGATATCTGCATGCCATATCCACCCCAACAAGGCTGCCAGAGCAAGCACTATCGACCGTAACACTACAGAAACGTGTTAGCCTCACGACATCTTTGACTGAAAGAGCAAAAACTCTTTACCTTGGGCCTTTGATATTCAAGAAATGGCTTATCCGGTTGCTCAGTATTGCTCTCCCAATTCCCACCTCGATCGAAGGTGGCCTATCTTCAGGATCTCTGCCTTGCATATCATGATAGTCTTTCTGATTAGTGCAAGTTCTCAAATGGATTTTCATTTCTCACCTGCAGCAAAGGACCCGATAAAGCAGCCAACCGGAGCTCCGTCGATCGATTCCAAAGAAACGCCAGCATTTTCAAGTCCTTCATAAATGACTTCAAGAAGCTGGCGCTGATTTGGATCCATAGAAACCGCTTCAGCCCTCGAGATCTCGAAGAAGGATGCATCAAAAGTTTCCAAATCCACATCTTCCAAGAACATTCCGCCAGGCGGCCTCATCGTACCTGGCTTCTTTGAGCCGTCATAGTGTCCTTTAAGATTGAAACGAGACTCGGGGACGCTGTTACTCGCAACATTCCCTCTTTCGAGGAAATTCCATAACGTTCGTGGTGATGTATTTCTCCCTGGAAGTCGGCAAGCAAGCCCAATGACAGCGACAGGCTCTTGCACGAACCCTTCCGAACCTTTGCCAGATGTCTCAGGTGGGGACGCTCTCGTTGGGCCCTTATTATCCGCATGATTGAAACCCATTTTTGCTGTGATGATGTTTGTATGCCACAACCCTTTGGAAAGGTTCAAGCATGGCCTTTTATACTACCAAGAGGCGATCACCATGCCGTCACCGTACACCCGGTCAAGCACCACAGATGGATCACACGTGCTAAACCCATTGAGATTTCTCGTGGATTCCATCATTGGCTAGAAGTGAATCGTCGTTCTTCTGGTGTCTCAGAACTCGCCAAGCTTGATGATTTGTTGATCTTCAGATATTGTGATAGATGTTACTGATGTCATGGACAACCCTGCAGGCCTTCGATGCATTTGGTGTTTCAATAAGCAAACTCAAGTTACATTGAGCATGCCCTCAACAGTTGTCAGTAACAGCCATGACAAACAGGGTCTTCAACCTCTGATGCATGTTCAGTCTGCAGGGTTCCTGGATGACAGCCGTTACAGACAGGTTTCTTAGCTCTGGTGCATGGTCAGCCTGCAGGCCCACAATTTAGCTCCATTAATTATGGCTGACGCCTTGCATATCCACGGCTCAATTCCATGGCTTACACTCTATCCATCATCACCGTTCAGCGAGGCAAAAGAGCTCAGCTATCAGAAGCGGAAGATAAGCCACGGAACCGTCACCCTATTGGGCGTCATGAATCCATTGGCTGTCAGCTAGCAGATTCGACGTGAGGAATGTTACATTTTGACATTCATAGTGCCGACAAGAACTTTGCATGCGTTATGTGGCAAGAGACGGTGTGAAACGCAGGTTATTTGCATATAACGTATCGTGTTCAAGCATACTCCTGCCTGGATCGCTGTCTTTGTTGACTCGTACTTCAAATTTCACTGATTCAGCGTTGAGACTTTTGCCTCTTGAATCGATTTGCTTCTGCTGGGCAATTGTTCGAAATCGTTCGCTTTCTTGGTGATTCACCGCTGCATTCCTATCTTCCTAAACTCGCTGGACATCTGAGCAGTGTTTTGAAGCACACCCACTGCAACACGAAAGATGCCGTCTACCCGGCAAATGAATCTCTGCGAAGAGGTTGAATTCAGAACAATCGATAAGATCACATTACGAGGTTCGCTGTATCCCGCAACGGCCAGGGGACCTGCTGTGATTATGACTCCAGGAGTAGGTGCCATTCAAACTGCTACACAGGCCAAGGGGGCTTATAAGAGATAGTTCAATTGTGTGAAGGAAATGCTACTTCCAGAGGTCGCCGAGAGCTTTCAACGTGAGGGTATTACTGCCCTTATTTACGATCCACGAAGCATTGGACTCAGTGACGGTTTTCCACGCAACGAGATAGATCCAATGAAGCAGGTTGAAGACTATTCTGATGCTTTGACGTTCCTATCAAAGCATCCGCTGGTCGACGCTTCTCGAATTGCGTTCTGGGGAATGTCCTTCTCTGGATCTGTCGCCGCGTGCGCCGCCGCTCTCGATAAGCGCGCAAAGCTCGTCATCATGGTCTGCCCGTTCGTTAAATTCTACACAGACGAGAAGAGGTCCAAAGTGCTAGCCAAGGCCATGGCAGACCGTGCTTCTCAGGCCAAGGGCAACGATCCCTTTTCTGTAGTCCCTTTCAACTCTAATGGGGACAATCCGGCCGGCATGGCTGCTGGCGGCGGACTAGAAGCTTATGAGTTCATGACGAACGTAAAGAACCGCGGAGCTCCAAATTTCGAGAATCGAACAACCATTCAAAGCTACTACAAGATCGCCATGTGGCAACCATGGGGTTTGATGCAATGCATTAATCCAACACCCGTCATGATGCTCATCCCCGAGAACGATGCTATCTCGAACCCGGACGATCAAAGGCGGGTCTTCGACAATTTCGAGGGCCCAAAGCGACTTTGCAAGGCTCCCGAGAAGGGTCATCTTGACATTCTCAGTGGAGATCGTTCCCATGAATTGATGGGGCAACAAGTAGAGTTTATGAATGATGTCTTCGGACGGTATTGAGGTTCCGGGTGGTTTGATCCACGAGAAGATAGGAACAAGGGAGCATAGCTGCCAGTGCTGTTCTCAGCAATGGACTATCTACCGGAGTGCTTCATGTCGTTCCACACGGTGTCGCCTCGCGTGTGGTTGATAGAGATGTGTTGACGAGTTTTAAGTCCGGATTCCGAACCACCAATCACGCGACAGCTGGATATATCGCTGCGGCTCCATAGATTTAGACAATAGACAATACGTATCTGTATCCCGGCCATAGTCAAGTGCAATGACGTTGAATTGGCGAAGGTAATCATTCGGTGTGTGGTAAGTTTACTTAATAGCTAGTATGAATATGTAGATGCTCACATTTGCCTCTGGTGGCACCACTGGCTTGCCGACCAGAAAGACAAGATACAACCTTCTTCCAATGCATGTTGAACGTATTACCCCTCCGCGCGGCCCTGTGGGTTCCAACCTTGCACATATGCAGTAAGCTCCCGGTCGGGGTGGCTGGGTCTCTGATTTCTCGTTGGTCAATTAGTCTCGGAACCTGAGTGACGTGTTTTTAAGGGATCTCTGAACCAATCTCCAACACTTGTGATGCAATCGCTGCACTACATTACATCACAGTGCAGTGGTTTGGCAGTATGCACTTACTGTAATCAATCTCTCGTCTCCTACGAGCAGAACGACAGTCGCTCCGGGACCTCAGCCGCACTACATTCGAGCGAGCCATAACGGGAAGGAACACCTGTGGAATATTCTAGGTGGACCCGAGACAGCAAATAAGTCCCGATACATGCTGTACTCAAAACGAAGCCGATAAGCTCTCGGGGCAATTTGGAGGATCAGCGTTGCGCTTTCGGCAACTTGTTCGTCCGGCTTCTAGCGCCTCCAGGAAGATCTTTCTGCAGCATTCTAGCTTTGTTGTAATGTGTGAGCAATACGTACTACTATTGTGGGTCGGAGTGAAGTGCATGGATGATAGCGCAACGCAAGGCCGAGAGGCCCATGCACCAAAACATTCGCCTGACACATGGACGAATTTGGTCAATACTACGTAGGCTCTCTGCATCACGATAAACATGATAACCAGATTCTTCACAGGCTGACCTTATCACCGGCATCGTCCCGCCGCTTATGGAGATAAGAGAACCATGTCCGGCACCCAAATGGCATCTGTATAATAGCGGGGTGATGACGCACATCCATCACGGATTCACCTGGCTTGTTTTGCGGGCTGTTAAAAACAGGCTGTAACTATAAGGTTTTGTAGTCTGAATGTTATTGCTTACCGTTCCCGCAGATTGCTTCCAGAAGAATGACTGGTCCGGAGCGACGGGACTTTGTGCCCGCCACCAGTGCCACCTAGTTGTGCAGACGGGCATCCATTCGACCGACTGGCATGCTCAAAGGAGGATTCGCGAGAGTGTTCGTGCGCGACTTGCAACAGATTAGGCACGACGAGTAAATTGTGGGAGTCAAATTGGTATCCTGTAAATCGATGAGCATCGGGGTATCCCGGGGCAGGCATACTCTGCGTCCCGAACCAGTCATTGGTGTTTGGGCTTAGATTGCAATGGTTTGTGCAAGTTACTTGATTGTATTGAGTGTGTTGTGGTTAAAGTTGCAAATGAGCAACAAGAGCGAATCTATCTCCTGCCAAATAGAGCCAGCGCACTTGACACGGATATTAGTATCATTCGACAAATATCTTGGCTCTCTCTGCACCAAATGACAGCCTACGGAATCATAACAGATAGATAAAGACAGCTGGTTGTTGGAGGTCATGGTCGATTGAGGCTGGACATTAAGCTGTTAAGATTCAATGACCCGATCGTTGAACGTTCCAGACATGGTTGGGAGCTATTCGGCAATCAAAAATATCCGATTGCAAATTCATGTTCTCAAGCGACGGTGCCTCCAGAGCTCGTAGGTCTGTTCTGTATGCTCTCCCATCTGGGCACCAGCGCTGCAAGCAAGGCCAAGCCGGCCAGAACAATTCCCGCCTCCCACGAAGCCTTCAAGCCAGCCATATAAGCCTGTAGGACTCCTGGTAATACGTCTGGTGCAAAAGCTTTGCGTAGTTCAGAGGCACCAACAGCAATCACGACAGCAGGATCAACTGTTGGAGCATACAGGGGAAGCTTGGAGAGCAGGGTGTTCGTGAAAAGGGTCTGCGCGAGCGAAACAGAGAGCGCTCCAGAGATAAGTTGAAAGACTGTACGCAAACATTAGCTTTGGGGAGTCAGTGCGCTCAGATATCTTACATAAGACTAGTGCTGTAGTTACGGCAATGTCCTCAGGTGCAGCAAAAGCCAGGCTTGCGATTATAGGGATTTGACTGCTGATTCCGTTGCCAGCGCCGACAAGGATTTGGTATCCGATATGCTCTCCGGTCGAAGAGCCAATATCCAGAGTGAATATCAACCCAGCGCCAACGGTCAGGAGGACGCTGCCAACCAGAAGGAGTGGATGAAAGTATCCGATCCAACTGACAAGAGCTGAGCTGGCCAGTAAGGCGATTGACATAGCAAGAATCAAAGGGAGACTTCGAACTCCGCTCGCGGAAGGCGACAGATCGTCGATCGCCTGAAAATATATGGGCAAGTAGTAAATCAAGAGGAAAGTGGTGGCGTTGAGGCTGTGGTAACGACTTAGCATTCGTCCAATCGTCATCTTCTGTAGCGAGATTCGTCTGAACAGAGAGCAGTAGGAGGGAACCAAAGGATAAAGCTTACAATAATATAAAAGCCGAGAGCCCAGCCACAGTACGGTCTTTGATGATACGGGTGACGATTTGAGCGCGATCCCCTAGTAGCCACTGATCGATCACGAAGCAGATCCCCAAGACTATCCACCCCACAAGCAGCCCTATGATAGTTGCTGAGTTCCATGGTAGCGAGATCCCGCCCCATTGCATTGCAAGCATATAGCAAACAAGCGATGCAACGATCAAGACCGTGCCTTGCAGGTCCATCTGCAAGAGTTTCTCCTTCAGCGTCGCTTCGGCTGCCTTCATTAACTTAGGCGTGCGGAAAAAGAAGAGTACGACCCCAAGAGACGCCGCTCCAACAGGCAAGTTGATCCAGAAACACCAACGCCAGGTCAATTTCTCGGTGAAGATGCCTCCGAGCAAAGGGCCGGCAACACTGGCGATGCTGAAGACCACGCCAACAAATGCGAAATACATTGCCACTTGCCGCGGCGGGACAATACATGCGATGATGGTATAGACGCCATTCGTAACACCGGCTGCGCCCACTCCCGTGATGGCTCGTCCGATAATAAGAGCTGCGCTCTTGGGTGCTGCGGCTAATGAATCAAAACATTAGTACGGATAGATGCTGTGAGTTTCCCGCCCGTATCTAATAGATTCGCCAAGAATGGATGATGTAAGCATACCACAAATGATAGACCCAATCACAAACACGACAACGGAAGCAAAGAAGGCATTCCGCATATCGAAGTACTTATAGACTTTGCCCCACGCCGACTGATAGGCAGCAAAAGTGAGAAAAAAGGCGGAGCCATACCACCCGACGTCTGCAATGGATTTGAACTCGTCAGTGATGCGTGGTATCGCCGTAGCGACAATGGTCTGCAATCAAGGGCTCCAGTCATCAAGTCATCCTGAGCGGTGAATTAGGAGACGCCGTACCAGATCAAGAGCAATCTACCATGGGCATCAGCAAGACAGCTACTGGAGTAGTTCTTTTGTAAAATTGCTACTGACCAGAAACTCTCCAAGCAGCAACGCGATCACGATGGCCCAGCGTATGAAGGGTGAAGGATAGTCCTTTGCCTCTACGGCGGCATTGAGACTGTCAGTCAATGCGGGGGGCATATCAGAAGATGAAGAGTGTTTCTCATCCTCTATCGGCCTCCTAGAGGCAGAGCTATGCGAGTTTGCTCGCGAGGCTCGGTCCGCGACCATCTTGATTATAGAACGAGAATGACCACACGAAAACGGTCTGAAACTTTGAGGCGGTTTTTGAAAACACTGGAGCTCAAGACCTCAATCCGCTCTTTATTAAATTTCTCCAACGCGATCGTCACGAGCACTCCAGTCCGACCGCGGAAACGGAAGCTCCATGCTACGTACGGTTCTGGAGAGCTAATGCAGGTGACAGCGTCATCAGCTGGTGCTCAGTGCATCGAAGGGCCCTTTAGAATGGGCTTATATCAGCGTCAGCATAGCTGGGAGCGATTGCGCTGCCCTCGCTGTCTGTCTGGCACACTTGACAGCTGACGTTTGCCTCAAGCCGCGAGCATTTGCTCAGAGCTCAGCCATCTGCCATGACGTGGATGAAGTGGTAGGACCCTATTCCAAGTGCTGAGCATAAATTTGTAAGATTAAGGGAGGCTATCTTGTACTCCAAACTGCTTGGCTCATGTACTTTTACATTTACGCCGCATGCACCGCAGTGGCAGCACCATGTGTCTCAGTCTACCACTACCTCATGTGTCATCTTTGCTATCTTTCTACTGGACTAAAATGCCTTTCTATCAGGGCTGGCGGGTTATCCGCTAAAAGCTTCTTGCTTCTTTGCCTGCCTGGTTCTGGTGACCTTCACCATCAATGGTGGCTTCTCCCAGAACGTGAAGAGCTTTTGCACAATCCATGTCTCACTCTCCGGCTGCAACCGGAAATCAAAGTCCAGTGCAAGCTTTGCTAGAACCAGCCGCATCTCTGCGTACGCCAAACTGCCATTTATTCAGCATCCCAACTTGAACAGGGTCCTGCAGGCAGCGAGGGTACATACTTTTTACCAACGCAATTTCTAGCCCCCATGCTAAAAGGCTGAGACGATTTTTTATCGTCTTTGGCAAATCGTGGATCGTCTAGCCATCTCTCGGGGGCATATTCCTCTGGAGCCGCAAAGTTCTTAGGCGAATGAGTGGCAGCCCAAGTGGTCACTCCAACGCCGGTCCCTGCTGGAATGTGCTCGCCGCAGATGACGGCGCCACCGCGCGGTACGATGCGAGTCAAGCTCAATGCGGCCGGTGGGTATATACGCAGAGATTCCTCGATGACTGCATTGAGATATGGTAGCTTTTGAATCGAGGCTATGGTTACGTCCTTAGTATCATGGAAGGCCGTTTGAACCTCTTGCCGCAGTTTCTTCATTACACGGGGATTTTGAGAGAGGTGGTAGACAGCGCCACTGAAAAGCGTGGCTAGCGTTTCACTCCCTTTAAAGGATTAGCACCGGCTTTAGTGGCCCCAGAGGCTTAATGGTTTCTCACCAGCCGTGACGAGGAGATTGATCGAACTTTCAAGCTCCGGATAAGTCATGCCTTTCTCGTCATTGGCTCTAGAGAAGCATTTAGCAGGCCTCTTGCCAATTTTCATCGCTTTCGATTTTGGACAGGCGCTTTCACTCACTTTAGGATTGGAGTGATGAAATCTCTCCTGTCTGCCTCATCTGACAAGCGGATCTTGATCTTTTCATTTGTGAACTCAGCATGCTCTCGTCGTGCGGCCAGGGATGGCATGATCATTGCCAGAACTGCCTTGAAGATGAATTCTGGCGCGTGCTTGAGTGCAAGCAAATAGGTCATGGTTCTGGCCGCGCCAGGCAACAGTGCAACCCAAGGGTGCAGCTCTCCGCTTTCTAGGCAGTCAAATGAATGCCCGAAAGTCAGGTCTCCAATAATGTCAAAGGTCATGAAATTAACCCATTGAGCCTTGGAAACATGGCGTGTTAGTTTAGCGTGGGGATGAATGGAACGTGCTGTCTCTTACCATGTCTAGCACACCATTTGCAGGCCCATCAATCTGCTGGTGTAGTTTTGAGACCAGCCGATTAACGTACGTCTGGAGAATTGGTTCTTGATCGCGCAGAGCCTTTTCTGAGAAAGCGTGGGCAAGTAAACGACGGAATCGAGCATGATCTTGTTCGTTCGCGTCAACCTGGACTGTTTCAGCGATGACTGTTCCACCAAAGAACTGAACTTCGTATGTACAATTGAAGGCGCTCCATTGAACCTTGGCAGATAGACACTTGGGTCTTTTTCGAACCAGACCTTTTTCTTCTCGGAACGATGGCCTTTGATGTTTAGTCAGTGAGCGTTATAGACGAACTGTCCCTGGTGCCCTTACCATGGATGTCGGGCCACGCTTGAGACTGGATAAACGATAGCTTGTTGGGCGCCAGGCGCACACTATCCCCATATTTCTCGTGTATCTTTCGGGCCTCACTCGTGAGCTCTCCCGTCGCTAGCCAGTATACGTACGGGAGTACGGAGGCTCGTGCATACCACGGACCCGGGTAGGAACGAAGCGGGTGTATACAGAGGTTGTAGAAGGCTTGTCCAATGCATAATGTGAAAGTCTCAGAAAATGTAAGATGATTTTCTTTTCGTAACAGCAGGGACATCTCACCAGAAGAAGCGCAACACCGCCAGCAAAGTGGGCGTACTCAAAATTGGACTCCGCCATTGTAAGTTGCGACGTACATCCTACCAAGGAGGTTGAGGTCCTCGACAAATACCCGGAGCAAAGCACCAGGGTTCGGCTTCCTGCGTGTGGAAAGCACAAGCCCCGGATACGGCTCATCGGCAGTATCCGTATTAGGAAAGCGAAAGCAGATGCAACCCACAGGCGAGATCGCCCTGCACAATGATCGACTACCCTGTCATCATGCGACTATTTGACAAGGAAGTCTCCAAGCCCAAGATTGTACTGAGATGTCACCCATCACACTTGGAGCGGAAGGGTTTAGGCTGACGGTGACGGCCGTCAACATTGACACTGCAGGGCAGCCCAGATAGGCAGGGTAGAGTTTTGGAGACAAGGGTGTAAGCAAGTCGCAGATGTCAGCATACTAGGGTAAATATTAGCGTCGTATCTCGTTCGTCACAGTATTACTCCGTACCCACTGTAAGTGGTATTTTTCTGACAATCCCTGGTTCTAGAAAGGCAAAGATGACGAGCGTGTTCGAGGCAATAGTTATCTTCAAACGGCACCATCATTACTCGTGAAATCATATCATCATGCTCGCCGTTACCGCCCAACACATCACTCTGCCTTCGGGCCGCATCCTTTGGACCGAGGTATTCGGTGCCGGCTCTTCGGCTTCTCCGGCCATACTTTTCGCTAATGGCATGGCATCAACGACTAACGCTTGGAATTCACTGATTTCTTCCCTTCCTGAGTCCTTTCTTGCTACCCACACAATCGTCCTCCATGATGCCGCAAACACTGGCAAGTCAGTCTACCAGCCCGACCTCCCAGCGCCCACGCTTGCTTCCTTTGCGACCGAGGCCCGCTCTGTCCTCGAGTACCTAGGCTTTGAGGCGGGTTACTGGGTCGGCCACAGCTTTGGCGGACAACAGGGTTTTGTGGCCGCCGCCCAAGACGCTCAATTCTGGAAAGGGCTCCTACTGCTAGCACCACAGACGGATCGCATAACACCACGGACTATAAGCTCTATGCACGCCATGATGGATGTCTTCGCCGCGGATCCGGAAACGGCGGCGTACGCCAACGAGATTCACGGCACACCGGGGCCCAGCATGGCGGCCCGGAACGGCATATATGGCGCTTTCGCGCGCGAGATGGCCCTGAGGCAGCGGAGCGAGGGGCTAGCGCTCGCCTTCCGAGCGCTGCTGGCGCCAAGGGAGGGTGATTTTGCATGGCGGCACATGAGGACAAGAATAGTTATGGTTTTCGGTGGGAAGGATGAGATTGCCCCTATCAGCGAGGGGTTGTACGCACTTGGTAGGTTAGAGGGTGTAGAAGGAGTGCAGGGGCAGTTGGTGGTTCTGGAGGAGGCGGGCCACTGGATGAATTGGGAGTACGAGGAGCATACAAAAGAGGAGGTGATGAGGTTGGTCGCAGGTACTAGTTAGTCTCATGTCACGTGCCGTATACACCTAGCTGCTAAATCGAAACTAGCCCATAAAAAACTTAGCAGTAAGTTTTCCCTACTCTGATTTAATCGCCTTCGCTTCCCGCCTGTAAAGCTTAACATGATGATGTACCCTTTATCATTAAATTCATGTCCTAGAGGGAAGCTCCCAAAGACCACATGTTTTAAGAGAAGCCCGAAAGACAGGGCTTGTGCAAAAACCAAATTTTGTGAGGATTCGTTCAGCTTGGCATTGGATTTCCTACTCAGCCGGCGGAACAAAAATACCACCTGCAACATCAATACCCGCAGAACATGTAGTTTGCAGCTCATCAATCTTTGAAACTGACATATCTTAAGCAGCTTCTCGCGACAACCGTCCCACCGACTGTTAGTGTCTGACCGTGACTTGTACGCTCTTGCTTCCTTTGGCAGGAAAAGGAACAATAAAGTCAGCATTCATGTCGACATCCCTTTCTCTTAACGTGTTATGTAGTTCTAGTGTGGGCCCCTGTTGCTTGCCCGTGCCATCATAGGCGTCATACTTTCGAAAGACGCCTGCTAGCAAAGTATAAAGCTCCTGGTAGGCGAGATTGATCCTAGGGCAAAGTCAGTCAAAAATCTCAGGCAAAAGCAGTAGCTTTGTAAAGGAACATTTACCCGAGACAGTTTCGCGTTCCTCGGGAAAATGCGATCAGGTATTTATCTAGCCGGGGGTTCTCGATCCACCTCTCAGGTCGAAACTCTCTTGGCGCCGGGAAGAAATCCGGGTGAAAGTGGATGTGAGTCGAGGTCATGGACATGGGCGTGCCAGCTGGGAACGTGTAATGCTTGCCTCCCCTATCATAAGTAACTGGTACTTCAGGAGAAACTCTTGCCATGCGTGTAATCACCCCCGGGTGACAACGAAGACATTCCTGAATAACAGCTCCTAGGTATGGCAGGTGCTCGACCTGGCTGAACGTTATGGGTGATTCTGAATCCGGAAATGTAGCAGCTAGCTCCTCTTTCAATTTCTTGAGCTTGTCAGGATTGGCAAGAAGCTCGTAAACTGCGGATGATAGAGTGGTTGCTATGTTCAAGTTTCAGCATAACATTGAGACAAATAGGCCATACTGAACTTACCGGTAGTGTCTTGGCCAGCTAATACAGTGAGCTGTGCCTCATGCCCTAGTCTCGCCGTAGCTTTCTCCTCTTCTGGAAGTTTACTTTTCAGCACCCCATCGAAGATGGTATCCTTGCCGGCATCCTTGTCCTTTGAATTCTTGATCTGGTCAATTTGTGCCATCCATCCCTATCGTCCGTCAGCATCGTCCAAGAGTTCGGAAAGCGAAAATAGCTCACTTCTCGCATCTTGTACATATCGGCCAACCCAGGCATCAACACCTTGGTCATAGACTGGGGCAGAGCCTCCATCAATGGACCCAGCCACGGAAAGTGCATCAAAGCCGGACTCAGCAGAAAAGTAACTTCTATAGCCTGAAAGAAAGGCATATTGTAATTGTCGAGATCCATGAAGTTGGTAGAATTTCCAAAGGCGTATTTTGTGATAATATCACTTGTGGCAGCTTTGAAGACATACATCATAGGCATTTTCTCGCCAGTTTTACTAGCCCTTTCCATTCTCGACAGCAATTTGCTCAAACTGTTTTGAATGATGGGCTCAACTCCACGGACACTTGCCTTGGAGAAGAAATTTGCCATAGCGCCTCGTCTTTTGCGATGAATATCGTGCGATATTGTCGCTACCATTGACTGCTTTGCTAGTTCTAGGGTCAAAAAATTTACCCAAAATGAAGAATTCGGACAACTCACTCAATGTCTTTCTGCCCGTGAACCTATACTTGTCCGTTTTGCGCGATGGGCCCGAGTAAATGTCGTCAATGAACTCTGGATCATTACAGTGTATCTCATGGGGATTGATTCTGATTACAGGGCCTTCGCCAATGGATATCAGTTTATTGGAAGATCGAACTTGACCCGGATTAACTCACCGTACTTTTTATGCAGCTCGCCTATTTTCCACACGTATTGTCCTCCCAACCAAAGGTCATAGTAAGCTTCGTACCATGTTGTCATGGCTATCGATGGTTATTATGCACAAAGAGAGTATAATCGGGAAGTAGGCAGAAATGTATCTATACCTGCTAGCTTTGGGCCCGGGACGCCGGCGAGTGGGTCAAAGTATACTGTGGTCATGGTCAATAGAGAATCTTTCGATAAGCAGCATACCGGATTCATACATCGATACACGATGCCACAGACGCAGTACGTCGCCCACAGTGTCAGAGCAACGACGAGCGACGAAGTACTGATCCATCCCTCGTGGTGCCAGGACTGTATCTTTGGTGATTCCGTGGTAGTGTGCAAGAATGACTGCAACTTGGGTGAAATACTGATAGGATCCAAAATCGAGGCCATAGTTGCGGTTCTTCGAGGAATACAGGGTTGAGAATACCCGTTTGCATCGAAGATTGTCCATATCGAACATATGTCCGATTCATATAGTCGATCCACGGCTTACTTCTCTAAGCGATATTCCAGTAACAGCAGTAATCTTCCATGGTAGCCTATTTCGGAGGGTCTCAATATTGCACCCTCAACATCTTGTGGGTAGAATGTGTACGAGGATCTAAATCGGCAATCTTTGATCTGCTTGGTCGGACATGGCCCCTTCACGGTAGCTGTTGTGCGAGATGAATGCTGTCAGACTTGCAAGGACTCAGTCTGCAGGGTCTACGCTTTATGCCAAGTTTGTAAGCAATGTAGACCAGAGCGTCGACTTACACGGTTGAGATCGGCGGGAAAGCGATACGTAGTAAAGACAACGGTGTGGGGACTTGGCGCCTGCGGAGCTATTTCATCCTTGCATTTGGAGTTCTAGTTAGTAGCATTGACCAAATAGCGCTCACGACGGCAAGAATTGCCCTCTAAACTGCGTGCTGGGGCGGCTCGGCCATTTAGGGGCGTCCTGGTTCAAAACGGGGGGATAAGCCGCAGGGATAAGTACAAGGGAATAAGCAGCAGGATAAGCACCGGGGGGAAGGACTAGTAAGTACTAGGGTGTAATGCCGCGCATTGAGCCAAGCGGTAAGCAGCAGAGCGCTACTACTAGTAGTAGCACTTAAATCGTAAGCGCAAGGCTACGTAGTACATAATCCTAAAGTTCTAGATGATATACGTAGTAAACTGCAGATGGCTAGTTTAAGGACGTGTACCAGGAGGGATAGCGTCCATCGCGTGTTAGATCATCCTTTTCTTGGTCCCTTCGAGACTTTGCTCGAAATGGCTTCCCTGTTTTTCCTTGGTTGCCAGTATTGCAAAATGATACAGTACGGCAACTTCTACAGTCGAAATTCGATCGTGCCGTGATTCCACAATGGTTATGAGGTCATTGCAGCTATCACGTATCCGTTGGCTAAGGTTTGATCTAAGCGAATGGGAAACTACCGAGAGATATCCTATGCACGGAGTAGTATAGTAGCCATCCAACATCTGGGTGACTGTGGTGGAAAGACCTTCCCGAAGCTGCCCAGTCCCAATAATACCCTGTCGAAGAATGTACGGTGGGTTCGATCTGACAGCTTGGAAGGCACATATCTTCTGAATCCAGTCTTACTACGTACCTCTGTCAATTGCTGAAGCCATGGCATTCACATGGACTGAATCCTCTGCGCGAAGGCGAACGCCACTAACGTTAGCGATAGGCCGTGAAGTTGGAGCTGAATAGCTGTAGATAAATACTTCTATTAATCGCAAGGATTTACTGTTTCACTGGAGTTGTACGAGGTCGCTTCTTAACATTTGCTTTGTGATTCCTGAGCTCGCTTATTCAGCATGAACATCTATCTTTGCTTGGCACTCGCCATCTGGGCGTCCACTTCCACTCCCTCCTCTTTCGCAAGGGACATCCCAGCAAGGAGCAACAGTAAATCATGCAGGAATCTGGCTGGGGATGAGGACTGGCCAAGTTCTGCAGAATGGGCGCAACTAAATGACACGGTCCACGGTAGACTCATCGCTACGAAACCACTCGCACAGTCATGCCATGTCCCCACACTCGATGCTACCGAATGTGCTAATGTCAAAGCGGATTGGACGTGGCCGGATCTCCAGTATGTACAGGACGATTGGCTATGGCGACTATCTTCTTTTCTAATCAAATTCAATAATAGTTTCAAGGATCCAGCGTCGATAATGAATCCCTACTGGCTGAATAACTCGTGCAGCCCTTTTACATCGGAAACTTCAGCATGCACACTTGGAAACATCGTCGACTATACGATCAACGTTACCTCTGCCAAGGATGTTGCTGCTGGAATTGACTTTGCTCAAAAGAAGAATATTCGGTTGGTCATTAAGAATACCGGTCATGAGTATGTTCATTATCCCTGCAGTCTTATGCAACCAAGAACCCATTGGCTTACGAGCGTGACAGCTTCCTGGGTCGATCTACCGGGAAAGGCGCATTGGGTCTTTGGACTCACAACCTCAAAGATATTTCCTTCTCTGACTACAACAGCAGCACCTATACCGGCCGCGCCGTCCGTATGGGCGCCGGCGTGCAGGCATTCGAAGCGTACGAGGCCGCTGACGTGGAGGGCGTGCGCATCATGGGTGGCTCTTGCCCCACTGTTGGCCTCAGTGGAGGCTACACTCAGGGTGCTGGCCACGGACCGCTCAACGGTGCATATGGACTGGCCGCTGATAATACGCTGGAGTGGGAGGTCGTTACCGCCGAAGGTGAGCACCTCGTAGCCACGCCCGAGCAACATTCGGACCTTTACTGGGCCCTCAGTGGTGGAGGAGGTGGCACTTACGCCGTTGTGCTTTCTCTGACCACTAAAGCGCATCCGGATAGTCCTGTGGCCGGTGCCACCATGCAGTTCAACTCGTCCGATATTCCACCCGACACCTATTGGGATGCGGTCCACACCTTCCACGAAGGCGTAGAATCGCTCGTCGAAAGTCCTGGCATGCATGCCGTATGGACCCTTACCAATACAAGCTTCTTCCTCAACTTTGTCACTTGGCCTGACCATACCGCCGAAGATGTTGAGGCCCTCCTAGAACCGTTCCGGAAACATCTCAAGTCTAACAACATCCCCTACCACAACGAGCATACCTACCACCCGAGTTTCTATAGCCACTACTCGCACTTCACGCCCGCATTGCCGTACGGTGCATACCAGATTTCACTACTCCTCGGCGGGCGGCTGATCCCTCTTTCCACGGTCGAGAACAACAATGCCGGGCTCACAGCCGCGCTACGCAACATCACGCAGGGTAATCGCTGGGTACTGAACGGCCTCTCTTCGAACCTCACACATGCGCGCGTGGGGAATAAACCGGAGTCCAACGCCGTGCTTCCCGCCTGGCGCGATTCGATCTTCTTTTTCAACGTTGTCCGGGAATGGGACCCTAACGCGCCCGTAGCCGAGGGCGTCGCGTCCGAGAACGAGCTGACCCGCGAGATCGTGCCGCAGCTGGAACGCATCACGCCGGGATCCGGCACTTACATCAACGAGGGGGACTTTAACCTCCCGACTTGGAAGGAGGACTACTTTGGCGCCAACTACGACAAGCTGCTGGCTGTGAAAAAGAAGTATGATCCAATGGACTTGTTCTATGCGATCGCATCCGTAGGGAGTGATGCTTGGACTGTGGCGAGCGATGGAAGACTGTGCCGCGCCAAATGAAAGGCCAAAGTGGGATTTTGGCGAAGAGAATCAAATTTGTGTACACGTGGTTGGATTAAAATATTTAGCTACATAGAGAGCAATCTGATTTAGACTATCAAACTTTGTTGCATAGGTTAAATTGCACTATGTTGATAATGCGGAACACCATTCGCAGCATTGCGCCAAACCATTGTCTTCGTTGTGATCTTGGTGAGAAGCTCATTCAATGTAGGAAGCGGTGGAGGTTTACGTTTCGCCGTTCAATCACTGAATGGGGAAAAAGTATTGTGTATTAGATAGAATCAGTTCAAGCTTCTTCGTAAGAATCAGGCGGTGGTTTAACATGTAGAATTGCTAGATGCAATGAACTACCCACCAAACCACACGGCCTACAGACTATTACAAGAGGGCTCATCTTGTTAGCTGACAGAGACCATAAGATTCCGGCCACCGTGATCGACCATCTCACAAACTGATAGACATCTCATTTTCCCAACCGCCGCTCCCGGCCTTGTGAAGGAAATCGACATCAAGTTTTTACCAAGCCTCGACGGTCCCGTTGTAGAACATGAACTTGCCCGAGGTCTTTTCCCTCGTGGCTGCAGCAATCTAAACGATTAAAGCGTCAGCGGCGATCGCAGTAAGCATGGAAGAGCTCAGCCACGACTTACCACTTTTGTCATGCCATCAATACTAACTCCCAAGGGGATCTCGGCTTTTTCAAAGCCTAGAGCTTTAGCACCGTCATTTCCCATGTCTGTTTGAACCCAGCTTCGTCCTGTTAGATTGCATCAATTGCCGGGATCGCGAATGGACAGCTTACCCAGGATCAAGCGGAAAGGCAGTCAACTTTGGGTTCTCAAAGTGGATCTTGCGGGTGATGTAGTTGAGCGCTGCTTTTGAGGTGCCATAGGGGGTGTTTGGGAAGTTCCGCTTCTCCATGTCACCCAGGCTAGCCGCCGAAGTGCTCATGGTGATAAATTTGGGAGCTTTTGCATTGTTGAGGAGCGGCAGAACGGCCTGAAACAAGTGGATGATGCCCAGCACATTGACGCTGAAATGTTCCAGGACATCAGGGATCTTGGCCTCGCTCACCGGTGGAAATACCTTGGAGATGCCGGCGGAGGCAACGACAACGTTTAGCGCTGTGATGCCGTGGGCGGACTGCAACTTCTTTATGGCGGACGCAGCATCCGTCTCGGAGGCGCTATCTATCTTCACTACTATGATGGAACTTCCGGGACCCTTAGGAAGGCCGAAGAGAGCCTTGGACGTTGCATCGTTCGGATTCCGAACGCCAGCAATAACGGTGTAGTTGGGCTTGGAGAGATAATGTTCAACGAAACCCTTGCCGATACCTACCAACCTGAGTTAGCTTTTGTCTAGAGTGGCTTGGACTAGGTGCCGATGATACCTCTATTGCCTCCAGTAACTAAAAATGTAGTCTTTGGAGATGTGGTTGAGGCGCTTGGAGGCGTGTTTGTGGCGCTTGGAGGCATGTTTGTGGTCTTTGAAGGGGTGTTTGTGGTCTTTGGAGGCGTGCTTGTGGTCTTTGGAGGCATGTTTGTAGTCACTGAAGATATGTTTTGCTTGCAACGAGTTGGATAGAGATGAAGGAGGGGTGATGAGATACAAGGGCGAAGCAAGGTTTTATATAGAGTTGCTCCTTCACCTCGACAAACCCCCTTGCCAGGTACGTGGCTGCGCCGCTGCTTACCCAAAAGGAGGCGGAGAGTAAGGGACCTTACGCACTAGTCAGGGTAAATATCCCCGTGACTTTGAATCCCACAGTGTGTCATCAATGAAACCTCTCACCAGCATGGAAGTGGAATAAGCGGTATCACACTATCGGAACGACAGTTTCGCATTGGGCTACTTACTCAACCTATCTAGGACTTTCGGTTCTCATAGGCTCCTATTCTTAATGCCCGAGCTTCCCCGGGCCGTCAGCCTCTCCTTTACTGTTGAAACCCTCCATCAGCTGTTCAGCGCCGGTCCATCCTTAACAAGTCAAGATGGCACCTCTCGAATATGCGAACAGTGTGTGGATCGACATGTTATGACGTGATCGATATGTATGGCCACATCAAGACGATTTTAAAGGAAATAGAGAACTACTGAGGTTGCTGCGGCAGAACTGGGTTGGGGTTTGTGGCATTCTTGGCACGAGTTAGATAGTACATAAAGTTTACGTTGATTGGCGATGGCGAGGGATCCATAAGTGATTATTCTTCATTATTTTGCAGAGACTGATGTGCCGTAGTTGATTGTGGGTTGTACTACATACGAGTTTCGTGCTATTTTCAGGTGTCTCATCCTAACCTTTCTAAAGTACCATCACCCATGATAATATCCCTTCACGACCATCTTTCCGAAACGCAGGCCCAAGTTACAAAGGATGACAGTCTTGTGGTTGGACTCTGTACTACGCGGTTAAAATGCGTCGCAATTGTAGGGGGGCCCGGCTGGCGGCACGATTACACCCCTGCTGCATTAGTACATTACTTATTTATGATAGGCATTACAGAGTAAGCTCCTGTATGCAACGGTTATTCTTCCTCGCCAACACCAAACTGCCGATTGCTCACTGCAGAAGGTGAGATGATCACGAAGAGCATGCTAGACATTCCCAAAGTCGCATTGACCTAGATTTTCATCGCTAGCTGATTCATATTTTGGAAATATGGGTAGCTCGAAATCAGGCGAGTTGTTAAAATAGGACCACTGTGGCCAGACCTGCTAATCGCGAATAGCAATTCACGGATTTTGCCAACAAGTGAATGATAATCATGGACTTTATCAAACAGGGATTGGCTGAAAAGCAGCTTCTTATCACTTATGTGGTGACTGCTCTACTTGTGAGCTGGGCCACCTATTTTGTGGGACTCGGGTTCTATAGGGGTGAGTCTTCTCAATCGACTAATGCTTTTTGATGGTGCAAGCTCACAGACTGCTGCAACACAGTGTTCCTGTCGCCCTTGGCTGCATTTCCGGGCCCCAAACTTGCCGCACTTACAACCTGGTACCAAGCTTATTACGATATCTGGCTTCATGGGCAGTATTTCAGGAGGCTGGATAGAATTCACGAGGAATATGGTATGCCCCCATGATGGCAAGAGAGATTTGCATTGTCCTAACAGTTGTAGGCCCTATTGTGCGCATAAATCCCCACGAGCTTCACGTAAACGACCCGTTCTTCATCGAAGAATTGTATTCGGGTAGCGCGAAGAAACGTGACAAGTACAAATGGGTAGGACGTGCGACCTTGCGTCTGTATCCCCGGCCCGCGCATTTTATCATAGCAAAGCTGATACCTACAGTTCCCGACTCACTGGTCGCCACCGTTCCGCATGATCATCATCGTAAACGACGTGCTGCAATAAACCCTTATTTCTCTAAAGCTAGCATCAGGAAGCTTGACCCTGTCATTCAAAACACTCTGGTGGCGCTTCTAAAACGAATGGATCAATCTGCTAAATCTCCAGACGTCTTCCACGCCAGTTTGGCCTACAAAGCCGTCACTTGTGATATTATAACCGAATTCTCTTTTGGAGTCTCGACAGACTATATGGCCAGGAATGACTACGAGCATTCTTTCTTCAAGGCAGTTGATGATCATCTCCACATGTCTTGGATGATGGCCTATATTGCTTGGTTAGGTCCAGCGATGAATTCGCTACCGCCATCAATTATGGGTCTCATCTACCCTGGACTCAAACACCTCTGGAACATGCATTCAGTGGGTAATACCAACACCTAGATATCTCTTATGAGCTGACCAGAATGCAGCAATGGGTCAAACAGATAGAGAAAATCCGTACTCAGGACAAACTGAACGGCAACGGGACAGTATTCCATGGCTTGCTTAACAGCGATCTTCCCCCCTCTGAGAAAACGGACCAGCGACTTCGTCAAGAAGCGCAGCTCCTGGTCCTTGCGGGACAAGACACAACAGGTGAGGTCGGCGAGAATCTCTGTTCATGATGGTTTTTAACTGGAACAGCGTATACGCTCTCCTCTCTCACCTACGAGCTGCTGGCAAATCATGAGATACTGCAGAAGCTGAAGGAAGAGCTGGAAGGAGCCCTTCCAGACCTCAATACGCCCTTCACCTCTGCCCAGCTCGAACAATTACCCTATTTGACGGGCATCATCCAGGAGGGCATCCGTCTGCATCCGGGAGCTATAATTCGCCAGACGCGAATAGCCCCGGAACAAAACATGATTTACCGAGATGCCTGCACGGAAAAGGAATGGGTCATCCCGGCTGGTGTTCCCGTGAGCATGGACGCTAGAAGCTGCAATCTGAACCCAAAGGTCTTTGTGGACCCGCACAAGTTCATTCCTGAACGATGGCTTGAAAACCCACGACTGGACAAGTATATGCTCACTTTCTCCAGAGGCACGAGAATGTGCCTGGGCATGAATCTGGCATATTCAGAGCTCTACATAATCATAGCAGAGATATTCAGGCGATACGAACTCTACGATGGTACTGACCAGCAGACTGCGCCCACGCTCGCCCTTTACGACACGATTCGCGAGCGCGATGTAGATATAATGTCGGATTGGAATATACCTTTTCCCACGAAGGGTAGCAAGGGCATTCAGGTTAAGGTACGCACAGGGGCCGGGTCTTGAACCATCAGTATCCAAATCGACCTCACTGGCCTTGAAATGGAACGCGGAATAATATTGATAAAAGTTAGGGTAGCGTTTGGTCATTCTAATATACTGCGTTTCATCCACTTTTCTTCCTCGGTTATGACGTGGCTTTTCCTCTCTGCGAGTCCACCTCAGGGTCAACTAGAACTGGAGAAGACCCTCTCAAGAGGTGTCTATGTGAATATTTTAGTGGCCATGGTCACGAGTCCTACGGGTAGTATTAATAAGAGTCCTTTTTGAGATGGAATTTCCTCATCTGCCATGTCATACTAGGATGGGCTGATAATAGGTAGGACGGAGTTGGGTTGACTAAGAGAACACATCAGGATATACTGCTTCCGAGTTCCACATCAAAGTGAATACACAGACGTAGTCCTTAAGTACGCGGATCTGGGTCAGATATGCTTACTGCTCGTATTTTATACCAGCGGGCGAGCCGAGTATTAATTACACCATTCTTCTCCGATTCTACAAAGTGAGGAGTTACAACTCACTCCCAAAAAGGTCTGAGCACTTTCTCTCTGGACCCTATTTTCAATCGGAAACTTCTGCCGGTCATGGGTCACATTGTCACACAACCCAAGTCAGCGTCGTGAAATAACGGACTGACAGGGTCAGATCACCAAGCATCTCTTCAAACAGGGATCCTCCTGATGCCAATTACCCCATCAAGCAGCACCTGCAGGACTGCTTCCAATCAAGCAACGTGAGATGGACTGCCAGATCGCAGCAAGCCGTGAGTTTTGAAGGCGGTGCGAGATTAGAAATAAAAAGGACATGCCATGACATCATGAAACGACTGGGACGTATATAAACCATGTAATAGATCGCTAAAACACTGCGATATCGAGTTGAAAAACATATGAATTCACTTAAAGGCTCATTCACTCCCTCTACCCTCTATAAGTTCCCTCCTCTCCACACCCCCACCCACCCAAATCTAAGCAGGCGGCTCGGACCGCTTCCAAGCCTCGCACTTCCTCGCCCTGAGGCTCAGATCCGCACCGTGCAACAACAGCAGTTTCAAGCCAGCCTCGAAGCCCCTCTCGACAGCGACATGCAGCGCGGACCAGCCGTTGGCGTCGCAGATATTAACGTCGGCCCCGGCATCAAGGAAGATGCGCAGCACGTTCTCGTGCTTCTGCAGCGCGGCCCAGTGTAGGGCGGTGCGACCGAGGGCGTCGCACGCGTTAATACGCGCGCCACGCCCCAGCCATGGTCGCCAGTTGCAGCGCTGTGCGTCCGGTGTTGTCGCGCTCGTCAATGTCTACGTCGCGCTCTAGCAAGAGGCGGACGATCGCGTCGTGGCCCCGGTGTGACGCGATGTGCAGGATCGGTAGCCAGTCGTTCGCCCTGCTGCTGCCGCTGCCGC